ACTGGAATGTCAGCTTAGACTGTGCCTTTGTCACCACCCTCCCTTTCCAATGTCAAACCATGACATTGAGCTGGAAATGTCTTGAGCTTAAACCCTTCATGACACACTAGTGCGAAGGATGCTATATAAATAAATAAAGTTATTGCAAGCATGAAGTTAACTTCCACATGTATGCGGATGACACCCAACCCTATCTCTCCACCTCCACCCTCGACTCCAGGACCACTGTTGTCCTGACCAATTGCCTGACAGATACCAAGTCTTAGAGAGCTAACTTTCTCCAATTGAATGTCGACAAGTCTGAGGCCCTCCTGCGTGGCTCCCATCAGTGCTTCACCTCAGGCACTGACAGCATCACTATTCATGAATGCATTTTCCATCTCACCAAGCCAGTATTGTACCAACTGTCTTTTAACACCACATCGGTGCCATATCCAGTTCTGCCTTCCTCTGGCCTGCCTCCGCCATTGCCTCTCCCCTCATGCCACCAATTCTTCATCCAGATCCATCTTGTGATATTGTGGTGTGAGAGTTGAGAGTATAAGTCCTGAGGAACTGTCTGTGTCACATACACAAGTGGTGGCAGCAATAGAGAGAGCATCTGATCCTCTGCTGTTAGAGCCGCAGTAAGATAATACAGTAGTGAAATGAGAGGTGAATGCTGAGGAAATATGTATGCACTGTACCTCCCACAGCTCTACCCATCTGGTCAGAAACCCAGCAGCTTAGATGCTCAGCTAAGCTGGGGCTGAAGGCAAACCGCAAGGAAATGGATGAGTACGAGTTTTGCTGCGAGGGACCTTTGTTCTTTTTTATGGGGTTGTATAAGAGTTTCTCTATCGTATGGCTTCAGCGTTTCCAGTGCAGCTGTTGTGCAGTCATATAGGATGATGCAGCTGGAAGATTTTAGAATAATTACCAGGTTTTATTACACAATGTAGTCTGACAGCACATCTAGTACTTGTACATCACAGATCTGCCCTAGTCACCCCTGGCCTCTCCCAACACACATGCTATCACCCCCACACAGCCCACAAGTTTAACATCTCATCCGAATGACAGCAGAGGGTTGTAGGCTTAAGTCCAAGTTGGGACTTTGAGCTCACGCTCCAGACCGATGCTTTGGTGCAGTGCTGGAGGGAGCGCTGTATTGATACAAGTGCAGTTCTTCGGATAACACAGATTCTGGTTCACATTCACTGGAGTTGGGATTATGTAAACTCTTGGCAGTACTGGAGCATGTGGTGTATGAGGGCCACTGAGACCTCTTACACCATCACTTGGTACCTTGGGACATTCTCTTGACGTGAAAGGCACGATACAAATGTAATTTTGTATTGTATTTTATATTAGCAAAGTTCAGTGTTACCCTCTCGCACTGAAGGAGACACAAATTTCCAGTTAAACTCGCATTAGACCCTCCAATCTGATTGTGAGCCACTGTGTTAATGAGAGATGGTCTCAGTATACCTGCTGGAGGGGACTAACTTGCTGTATCATGGTGTTGATGGTCATCCAGGCTGGAAGCAATGATAGGAACAGAAACGTCAGCCCAGCTCACTGCTCCCCACCACAGCTCTGCCCTTCCGTTCTGCAGGGATTTATTTAGAAACCTGAAGTAGGCCTGTGTGTTTAGCTCTCAGCCATGTGTAATTAATGGCTTGTGGCCTGTAACCACAGCTCTGCTTGGCTGCAACACAAATGTCCCACAAAGCAGCAGCCAGGGTGACCCAGGCCACTCCGGGTACAGGTACCTCTCCTCCCATTCTCTGGCCCTCGGGCACTCAGTGTCGGCCCCTCTCTGCTCCTGTTTGGGTCTATGCAGAGCCTGTGATGGCCTTGGACGGACGGCCCTGAGTAGCTCACACTAGGGCACAACCTCTTCAACTTTCATTTTCTCAGATATTCTCTCCCCTTTCACGATGTAATCTGCAAACAGTTTGAAATCTGTTTCTGAGTAGGAATCTGTACCAGTGCTCGCTCCCCACTGGAGATCTCTAATCTAATCCCATTCCCTGCTTTCCCCACATCATGTCTGTGCTGGTGCTCACTCCCCAACTGGAGCTCTCTAATCTCGCAGAGGGCAGTGGGAATGTAGAATTCATTACCACAAACTGCTATTAAAGCAGAGTTCATAATTTTTTTCAAAAGGTATTTAAAAGTTTGACAAGGAGAAATATAATAATAATCCTTGCATTTGGTGCAGCACCTTATCGTCGGAGTGCATCTCAAAGCGTTTCACAAGATTTACTGTGAAGTGTAGTTGTTATGTGTTTTGTACTCAAACGTGGCAATGTCCAACAAACAGCCATGAAAGATCAATTTGTATCTGGGGAATTGCTGGTCAGGACACCGGTGGAGAGAAACTCCCTTCTTGCTTCTAATAGTACCATGAGATCTTTAATGTCCATATAAACAGCCAGACAGGACCTCGGATTAGTGTCTCATCTGAAGGCAGAGAAATACAAAGGGTATGTGATGGGAAGGGGGATTAGACGGGGACCTGTAAACTGTGCAGAGTGAGGGATTGGGACACTATCCTGCGTGAGGGGTGCTACATAAATGCAGGTTGTTGTTGTTGTTGATTTGATTCCCTCTGTTTTATCTAATGTAGAACGTTCCTTGCTCTGACACTAATAGTAAGCAGTGCTCAGATTGCAGGCAGAGCGCAGCGAGAAGAAGCTTTCGATCCCCATCTATCACACACACACAGCCCTGTCCCTTTAAAACCACATTCCTCTCGGAATAAAGCATGTGGCAGTCTGAGGGCTGGTGGGAAACAGCTGTTGACATGATTAAGGCTCACTGGCCATTAAGGTCAATGTGTTCCTCTCAGTGATTCACTTCATGAAATAAAGGCTGTCCTTAGCCCTGGTCAACCACCCACCCATCCACACAGTCCCACCAACACCTCTTGTTAAATTCACTAATACTGGTTTTAATGTTCAAAGCAAGACTCAGAACATCTCGGAGTTGCTCAAAGTAATTGTGTATTGACTGTTTTTGTTGGAGAATGCATTTATAAGGTCCCATACAGCAGGTGTCTGGGACTGGGCAGGGAACTGTGTGTCTGCACTGGATCCAAAGGCGTGTTTAGTAACAAAATGCCAGGATGGAGTCCACCTTCTGTGGTGATCTCTATTCGGTTCCTTAGCCAGCTTGGCTCATCAGCAGAGCTGATAGAAAATTGCATAAATATTTGCCAAAAATTGCAGAGAAATTTGATAAATTTGTGGAAAGTTGCAGGGGCTTGATTGATGCTATTGAGAGGCATTTTTTCAATTGATAAAAACAGAACATGAAGAAATAACACAGCATAGATTCTTGCAACCCCCAAAGGGTAGGGTGATCCTAGCTGGACACGCAGTGATATCAATGGCAATGGTTAGACTCCAGCAGTTACCCCAGCGCACACTCTGCCGTCCCCAAGCTTTGGCTCTCCCCAACCTGCACCGAATACTTTCTGGAATTTGGTAAGCGGGATGCTTCCCTCCAGGGGAGAGTTCGCATTCCATTTCAGACGCAGGAGTTCCTATATGTCGGTGGCATATATGGAACTCTCAGACTGATTTGGCCACGTTTAAGCACGGTGATGGGTTTCTGCGTGTGTCAGGCGCCCAGCTAAATAAAAAAAACTTTCATCGGGAATACCTGTGTGGGGGTTGGGCAGGGCCATGATTACAGTCACTACGCTTTACGGTGAATCCTGTGAAGCTTTAAGACATCCTCCAATGCTTTAAGACATCCAGCAATGCAGGCTGCTGTAGGAATGGGAATAGTTATGAGGGGGGGGGGGTATGACTGATGGCCACTCTGGGGAGAGTGTTATTGGAGTATCTTGTCTCGCAAGTGAGAGGACCTGAGCTCGATTCCCGGGAAGGACGAAACCTTAGGCAAGTTTCCTTACTCCGCATGCCTCCTGTTTCCTTAGCAGTAAGTAGGAACCCGGTTGTTAGTCTACTGTCAGATTGCTTTTCTGGGGGTAATAATCCCTTCAAATTAAAATAATAATAATAGTTTGGCCCCTCGATCAGAATATGTGTGGGACACGGCCCACCAAGTGTACAGTCAGTTCACTTCGCAATACATTGTGTGAAGCGCTTTGAGACGGGTCGAAGACATGATAAGGCGCTGTATCAAACGCAAGGATTATTATTATCATCATCATCATCATCATCATCTCCGAGCAAACCAGAGCACCTTCGCCTGGGAGAGGGGAGAGGAGTTCCTTCCAAAGCACATGGGAAGGGGAGGGAGGGGGGTGATGGGGGGGGATGTCAGCGAGGTTACAGTTGACAAGTTAACAGAGAAAGTGGATAACAAGAGCCCGGAGGCTGACACAGAGAGAGAGAGAGAGTGAGTGAGTGAGTGAGTGTTTCTTGCTGGGAGCAGCCGCGCAGAGTGAGCCACACGACTCACTCCGAAGCCTCCTCGTTGCGATTTAATTGCAGTCGTCCTTAAAAAAAAAACATTCCACTAATTCTCTGCTCTTAAGCCCTTGAGTGAGCATTGCTTTTTACCCTCCCCGACAGGAGAGAGAGAGAGAGAGGGAGGGAGGGAGGGAGGGGAGAGAGGGGAGAGGGAGGGGGCACGCGGGGAGTTTGCTCTCTGCTCCTCCCATTCCCACAGCCCTCCTGCTGAACGGTGCTGGGGAGGGAGGGGGGGCAGAGCAACACAGGGCAACGGGGCAGAGGGCAGCTCGGCTCCTGTAGGTGAGGGCAGCAGAGTACCCCCACCCACCCACCCACCCCACGTTGGCAATCAATCCGAGAGGACCCCCTGCGTTGGCACTCAGTGCCGCGGCAATGCACCCTTCACGCAGCCCCGGGACACGCTCGCAGAGCAGCGAGTGACAGAGGGAGACACACACCCACACACACACACACACACACACACAGAGAGAGAGGGAGGGTGGGTGGTGGGTGGTGGGTGGGGGGGGACAGGATGCTCGTGTGAGGAGTTACACCCGGGGACGGGGGAGAGGAGGGGGTGGTGGTGGTGGTGGGGGGGGGAACGGGGACGATCCGAGCCGAAGAAATGCACCGTGTGCTGCAACCTGCGCTGTGGCGCTGCCTCCTCCTGATGCTGTGCGTGTCGGGCCGTGTCGGGACGGACCCCGAGACCCACTCGAGTTTCCTCCACGGGCGCCTGAGGACTCAGGAGAGGCGAGAGATGCAGCGGGAGATCCTGTCCATCCTGGGGCTGCCCCACCGCCCTCGCCCCCACCTCCGCGGGACGCACAGCTCGGCCCCCATGTTCATGCTGGACCTGTACCACTCGCTCTCCCCGGAGGACGGGGTGGAGGGCTTCTCGTACGCCCACTCCCCGCTCGGGGACCCCGGAGCCCCCCCCCCACCCCGGGCCACCCCCCACGACACCGGCTTCCTCAACGATGCTGACATGGTCATGAGTTTCGTCAACCTGAGTAAGTCTGAACCCCTCATCCCCTGTATCCCCCCCTCTCCCCCTCCCCACTACATACCCCCTCCCCACTACATACCCCCCCCCCACTACATACCCCCCTCCCACTACATACCCCCCCCCCACTACATACCCCCCTCCCCACTACATACCCCCCTCCCCACTACATACCCCCCTCCCCACTACATACCCCCCTCCCCACTACATACCCCCCTCCCACTACATACCCCCTCCACCACTACATACCCCCCTCCCCACTACATACCCCCTCCCCACTACATACCCCCCTCCCCACTACATACCCCCTCCCCACTACATACCCCTCCCCACTACATACCCCCCTCCCCACTACATACCCCCTCCACTACATAACCCCCTCCACTACATACCCCCCTCCCCACTACATCCCCCCCCACCCCACTCCACAGCGCCCACTCCACCCGCTCCACCCCCCGATATTATCCCAGTGACTCTGTCTGTAGGTTCGGTCCCATCCATCACTGACTGTCCTCCTGCGCTCTGTCTGTGCGCCACTGTGCAAACCCCCCCCCCCCACCCCCCCCCACCTCTCCCCCGCGCGACCCCCCCACCTCTCCTCCCGCGCGACCCCCCCCCCCCCCACCTCTCCTCCCGCGCGACCCCCCCCCCCCCACCTCTCCTCCCGCGCGACCCCCCCCCCCACCTCTCCTCCCGCGCGACCCCCCCCCCACCTCTCCTCCCGCGCGACCCCCCCCCCACCTCTCCTCCCGCGCGACCCCCCCCCCCCACCTCTCCTCCCGCGCGACCCCCCCCCACCTCTCCTCCCGCGCGACCCCCCCCCACTCTCCGCCCGCGCGACCCCCCCCCCCACCTCTCCTCCCGCGCGACCCCCCCCCCCACCTCTCCTCCCGCGGGACCCCCCCCCACCTCTCCGCCCGCGCGACCCCCCCCCACCTCTCCGCCCGCACGACCCCCCCCCACCTCTCCGCCCGCGCGACCCCCCCCCCACCTCTCCGCCCGCGCACGACATACCCACCACCCGCGACCCCCCCCAGTTCTACGTGTGCCCCCCCCCCCCCCCTCTGCCTGTGCCCGACTACCCTCCGCTTCTGTCTGTGACTCTGCCCTCTGTCTGTTTGTGATGCTCATCCTCTCTCTGCCTCTGTCTGTGTGTGCCACTCGCCCTCCGTGTGTGCCACTCGCCCTCCGTGTGTGCCACTCGCCCCCGTGTGTGTGCCACTCGCCCTCCGTGTGTGTGCCACTCGCCCCCCGTGTGTGTGCCACTCGCCCTCCGTGTGTGTGCCACTCGCCCTCCGTGTGTGTGCCACTCGCCCCCCGTGTGTGCCACTCGCCCCCCGTGTGTGTGCCACTCGCCCCTGTGTGTGCCACTCGCCCCCCGTGTGTGTGCCACTCGTCCTCTGTGTGTGTGCCACTCGCCCCCCGTGTGTGTGCCACTCGCCCTCCGTGTGTGCCACTCGCCCCCCGTGTGTGCCACTCGCCCCCCGTGTGTGCCACTCGCCCCCCGTGTGTGCCACTCGCCCCCCGGTGTGTGCCACTCGCCCCCCGTGTGTGCCACTCGCCCCCCGTGTGTGTGCCACTCGCCCCCCCGTGTGTGCCACTCGCCCCCCGTGTGTGCCACTCGCCCCGTGTGTGCCACTCGCCCCGTGTGTGCCACTCGCCCCCCGTGTGTGTGCCACTCGCCCCCCGTGTGTGTGCCACTCGCCCCGTGTGTGCCACTCGCCCTCTGTGTGTGCCACTCGCCCCCATGTGTGCCACTCGCCCCCCGTGTGTGCCACTCGCCCTCCGTGTGTGCCACTCGCCCCCCGTGTGTGCCACTCGCCCCCCGTGTGTGTGCCACTCGCCCCCCGTGTGTGTGCCACTCGCCCCCCGTGTGTGTGCCACTCGCCCCCCGTGTGTGTGCCACTCGCCCCCCGTGTGTGTGCCACTCGCCCCCCGTGTGTGTGCCACTCGCCCCCCGTGTGTGTGCCACTCGCCCCCCGTGTGTGTGCCACTCGCCCCCCGTGTGTGTGCCACTCGCCCCCGTGTGTGTGCCACTCGCCCCCCGTGTGTGTGCCACTCGCCCCCCGTGTGTGACACTCGCCTGTGTGTGTGTGACACTCGCCCTGTGTGTGTGACACTCGCCCTGTGTGTGTGACACTCGCCCCCTGTGTGTGACACTCGCCCCCCGTGTGTGCCACTCGCCCCCTGTGTGTGACACTCGCCCTCCGTGTGTGACACTCGCCCTCGGTGCTCTCTGTGCTGAGTGTATTGTACAGTATTACAGAGATGGCTGTAACATACTGTGTATATTTTACAGTGTGTCAGCCCTCTTCCCTCTGAGTCAGAAGGTTGTGTGTTCAAGGAAGGAAGTTAGGAACTTGGGTCTCATCTTGTCAGCCCAAGATGTTGCTCCAGTGCAGTGCTGTGTGTTGTGTTTTTGGAGGCATTGTCCTTCACGTGAGATGTTAAACAGAGGTCCCATCTGCCTGATGTTAAAGATCCCATGGCACTGTTTGAAAACAATTTTCTCCTGGCGGCTCAGCCGTATATAAAATTGGCCGCTCGCTTCATGACTGGTTGTGGGAAATTGTTGTGTGTAAGTTGACTGCTGCTTTCTCTCACAGAACACACAGTCACTACACTTTACGATATATATCCAGTGAGTCTCTTTGAGCCGTCCTCCTGACATGAAACGTGTGATTCTAAATGCAAGGATTATTATTATTATGTATTACAGTGTAATGCACTGTGTATTATACAGTATAAAAGTGAGTGTGTAACAGACTGTGTATGTGTTATCCCCCCTGAGCCTGTGTCCCTGTCGCCCGGGCACAGCTGAAGGCTTCCCTGACGGGCTGCGCTGTCTGCCAGCCTTGCTCTGTGTGTGAGGAGGCAGTGAGGCTGCTGAGAATAAATCTGTTTCCACTACAAAAGAGAATGTTAAGAGACAGTTTGATCGAGGCATTCAGAAAGGACAGCAAGTGGGAGAGCATTCCCGCCAGGATAATCGGTAACAAGAGGAAATACGCTTGCACTGTCGGGAGGGTAAAGACGGCAAGGAAGGTGGGCGGGTGGCGGTGTCGTTCGCCGACAAAATACACAGTCACCACACTAAACCGTGTGAAACGCCTAAGCCGTCCTTCCAGCGTGAGACACACTGTATCACATACAGGAATGAGCTGAGCAGGTGGGATGCGAATGAGCTAGAGATGAGAACAGGGAATGGGAAAGGGAAAGAAATGGGATGGAATTGAAAAGGACCGATGGGCTGGCAATAGGGTTAGAAGGGGAATGCCCTTTTACACAGATTTACGCAGAAACAGGTCCATACTATGTCGATATATGGATAAATTGTTACAGATTCTAACACCTTGCCCACAACCAATGTTAAAATGATGGCTTGGAATGGGATGGGAATGGGACGGAAATCATTTCACTCTTTCAGTGAAATGCTCATTTAATATTTACAAGCTAATCCTCCTTGAATATTACAATCAGTTGGTCTCAAACCCTGGCCTGGAGACCAGCCCAGGATGTGGATGCTGAGCCCCACACTGTGACTGATATGTGGCAATGATAAAGTACCAGCTTCCCAATGGAAAGCTTAACCTAATTCTCTGGTTTAGATTATTTAACAACAGTAGCAAAAGCTTTTACCGGATTCTGTTGCGAAGAACTGAAGCCAAATAAGAATTGTGTTTCCAATTTACTTCCAGTCCAGGCAGCAGCCTGTCCCACACCACTCGCTGTCACAGAGGAGTCACAATCAGAGCATTACAGAGAATCACAATAGCGAATCTTAATTTTTGGGGGTCTGACACATGTGGAAACCCATCACCAAGCTGAAAGATTTCCACCTGGAAATCTCAGAGATACATTGTTGGAATGGAAAGCACACTCTCTCACTGGAGTGACGTATCCTGCTTACCTAATTCCATAAAGTATTCGGCGCAGGTTAGCAAGAGCCAAGGCTTGGGGATCCCAGAGTGTGCATTGGGGGGTAATTGGGATAACACCCTATTCCTGCACAGCATTGAGATGAATGTTTCGTCCACAAAATATACAGTCAATTCACTTTACGGTATAGTCTATGAAGTGCTTTGTGACGTCTCAAAGATGTGATAAGGCGCTGTATCAACTTCAAAGATTATAATTACGACCTATTAGTTTGTTTCATGGTGAAACAGCCTGAGGGAGGAACAGCGACACTGGGAGAATGGGCTCAACACACTGTATTGATGTGTGTCACTGGCTGCCGAGGATGCTCTATCACAGCCAGACAGCACTGCCCCTTTAACAGAAAGAGAAGCCAAACAGCTGGTTAAAGGGGTTTGTTCCTCCCAGAGGCCACTCTAGTGCTGGCTTTCTGCTTGTTGTTACACATGTGCCTTCCTGCAGCAGCCTCTTTGCTCTTGGCTGTGGGTCAGAGAGGAATTCCTGGCCGCGCGCGGTGTACTGCTGGTCCCAGGCTGATCAGAACCAGATGAGCTGCTAAATGTTCCTGAGTCGCTGCGGCCGGGGCCGGCAGCACATCGGGCTGTGGGAACAGGTGCAGCTTCAGCTTGTGTGTGAAGCCAGGCAGCCCCCTGCCCACACAGCACCACCTGCCCTCAGCCAGGCCAGCCTCGTGCCAGGACAGGGCAGGACACACACACAGTTGTCAATGTATCAGTGAGCGAGCGTGTCGGTGAACGAAAGTGTGATAGTGAGTGAGTGCATCAGTGAGTGGGTGTGTCAATGAGGACAGAGTGTTAATGAGCCAAGAGAGTAAAGTAATAATAATGCTGGCATGTGATTTCACTGTCAGTTCACTGAAATATCTAAAAGTGTTTCACGGAGCATTGTTATGAAGTCTCGTGACTGTATTTTGTAGGCAAACACGTCTGCCAATTTGCATATAGGAGTATCCCACAAACAACCATGAAGTGAATGATCATATAATATATAACAATAATCCTTGCATTTGATATAATGCTTTTCACGTCTTCTAGACATCTCAAAGCGCTTCACAAAATATACTGTAAAGTTAATTGACTGTGTATTTGTGGGCGAAATGACGCAGCCAATTGCGCACAGCAGTGTCCCACAAACAGTTGTGACCAAATTGAGTGACCAAATTATTATTATTATGTTTTTGGAGGGATTATCATCCCCGGAAAAGCGATCCGCCAATCGACTAACAATCGGGTTCCTATTTACTGCTAGGTAAACAGAGGTGTGTGGAGTAAGGAAACTTACCCAACATTTTGCCCTGCCGGGAATAGAACCCAGGTCTCTCGCTCGCGAGGCGAGTGCTCTAACCACTGAGCTATAGGACTCCACAATTGAGGATCACTATTATCTGGGGAATTGTTGCTCAGAAGAGAAACTCCCTGCACGTTTCGAACAGCATCTTGAGCACAGGCTGACAAGAGCCAAGAGTTTGTGTTGGGAAAACTGCTGGATTCTAACCAGCTAACCAGCTGCACAAGCTCCAGCTAATCCCAAACTTCGCCGCCACATACTCACCTGCACTAAACCGGACTCCATCACACCAGCTCAAGCCAGGCTCCACTGGTTCCCTATTCGCTGAATGGATCAATTTTGAGATCCTCACACTTGTTTTCAAATCCCTTCATGCCCTGACACCTCCCTGCCTCTCCGACCTGCTTACCCCCCCAACCCACGACCAGCTGCCTCCGCTCGACTGGCTCCGGCATCCTGCATGTCCCTCATGCCCTCCATTCCACCATCGGCAGTCGCACTTTCAGCCACTACACCCCACTCACTCAGCCCCCCCTCACACACAGCACCCCCCCCACCCCAACCACCCCCCCGCCCCCGCCCGGTAAGGGCCTGCACTGACCTAGTTGTCCTGACAGTGGAGGATGAACAGATGCCCACCCCTCACGGCGAGTTTCGCTTTGATCTGTCGCGGATCCCGGAGAGAGAGGCCGTCACCGCTGCAGAATTCCGCATCTACAAGGATTACATCAGGGAGCGTTCCCACAACCAGAGCTTCCAGCTCACACTGTGCCAGGTCCTGACCAGAGCCCCCGCCAGGTCAGCCTGCACTGGGGGTGGAGGGGAGCAAGGTGGGGAGGGTGGGAGTGAGAGGGCGTGGGTGGGGACATGTGGGGAGTGAGGGAGGAAGTGTGTGGGGATGAAGGGGGGGGGCGAATGAGTGGATGTGGAGGGGGCGAGGGGGGGGAGGGAGGGAGGGGCAGCATGGGGAGAGCATGGGAGGGAGGGAACGAGGGAGGGACGGATGGAAGGAGCGAGGCAGGAATTGAGAGAGGTTGCGATGGGAGTTTTTACAGACACGGTATAGGGAGGGTTACTAAGCTGTGCTGTATGAGGTATTTCAGGCTGCGATCTCACGGGGTGAGCGTCCTTCTCAGTGCCTCCACAGTGTTCTGTCTGGACTCTCGGCTAATCTGGGCGGAGGAGGAGGGCTGGCTGGTGTTTGACATCACTGCCACCAGCAACCAGTGGGTGCTGAACCCCAACAAGAACCTGGGGCTGAGGTTGTACGTGGAGACGCCCGAAGGTGAGAACACTGGGAATCGCTCACGTGGTCACAGCCAAAGCAGTACATATAGCAACATGCTGATAGTCTTAGCCTGACGCACTCTGGCCTCTGAGTCAGAGGTTGTGGGTTCAAGATTCCTGTTGGAATGTACGTTCACAGTCAGGGCTGATGCTCCAGGGGAGTGTTGAGAGGGCACTGCACTAAACTCCTGGAACTTGACGTAGTGCTTTGTCACATTCGCTGAGGCGTCACTAAGCGCTTCACAGATTTACTGTAAATTGACTGGTTATTTTGTAGGTAAACATGGGAGTCAATTTGCGCACAGCAATGTCTCACAAACAGCTACAAAGTGAATGATGTGTGATCCCATGGTATTGGAAAAGAGAAGGGAGTTTCATCCTCAGATAAAATTGGTCACTCACTCCATGGCTATTTATAGGACATTTACTGTGTGCAAATTGTCTGCCACGTTTACTTTTTCAGTAATGCAGACACATTACTTTTTCAATCCCATTTAAAATGTTATACACCTCTATATCTTCTCTCAAGATTGAAAAGCCTGAGCTTGTCTAATCGTTGCTCACAGCTCATTCCTCAAACCCTGGGGATCATCCTAGTTACTGTCCTCTGCACTGTCCCTAGCGCCTGAGCAGCCCCTTATGTCACAGTTAACAGCACTGTGTGCAGTATTCAATGTGAGGCACTGATAACTGAGCCGGCTGACACACACACACACTGAGCCGGGCTGACACACACTGAGTCGAGCTGATGTGCGTGAGACGTGAGCGACAGCGCCTGTTGTTGTGTTGATGTCGTGGTAAAGTAACAGTCCCCTGGCATTGCTTTGCAGGCCGGAGTGTAGATCCTTGGCGGGCAGGGCTGAGCAGGGGGCTGGGACCTCACAACAAACAACCCTTCACAGTCGCCTTTTTCAAAGCTTCTGAGACACATCTTCGCAACCCCCGCTCCACAGGCAACGCCCGCGGCCAACCCCAGCCCCGTGGGAAAGCCGGCAAACAGCCAGACACACTCCGCACCAGCAACCTGGCAGGTAGTCAGTCACTACACACAGTCACCTCACACAGTCACCACACACTGTCACCACACACAGTCACTACACATAATGTACAGCTACTACACACTACGTACAGCTTGCTCTGTGCTGTGTGCTTGTGCGCTGTGGCTGTGTGTGTACTCTGTGCTGTGCTAACTCCTTGTCTGTGGCTGTTACAGAGCTGAGCAGTGCTGAGCAGCAGCAAGCCTGTATGAAGCGGGAGCTGTATGTGAGTTTCCGGGACCTGGGATGGCAGGTACAGATCCGGGTGACACCAATTTCTGTGACTTTTCCACAAAAGCATTTCAAAAGAGAAAAATGACAAATGATGTGGGATTTCTGGTCTTATATCTAACGTGTGCTGGGCGTGTGCTGGGCATGTGCTGTCCTGTTGCTCTGTTTCCCTAGGACTGGATCATCGCCCCCGAGGGCTACGCAGCCTATTATTGTGAGGGTGAGTGCTCGTTCCCGCTCAATTCCTACATGAACGCAACCAATCACGCCATCGTGCAGACTCTGGTAAGTGCAGTGAGTGGAGGCTGTAGTTCAGTGGTTAGTTAGATCTTGTGCCTCACGTTGCGTTTGCTTGTAAAATATGCAGTCTTTACAGTAAAATCCTGCAAAGGGCTTTGAGGCATCTCAATAATCTAATAATAATACTAATGTGTTATATCAAAGGCAAGGATTGTTATTATCATTATTATCATTATATAATTTAGCTGGTTAAAAGCGCTCTGGTTACCTAGTCACAGTCAGTTTCAGGCACAGGTTGGCAAGAGGTAAGGCTTGGGGACCCCAGAGTGTGTGTTGGGGTAACTGTTGAAGTCTAAACAGCTAAAACAGCATAACTTATTATGAGAAGCAAGCACTGTCTGTCAAGCCGTCCCACTGCTTGTCCAGGTCTCTGACTATAATAATAATAATAATCCTTGCATTTGATATAGCGCTTTTCACGTCAGGAGGACGTCCCAAAGCGCTTCACAGAACACACTGTAAAGTGAATTGACTAAGGGGAGTTCCAGCTGCTGAGCCCTGCTAGTGTGCGTGTCTGTCTCTGGAGTACCTCCTCTGGGTTCCTCTCTCGCTCTCTGCCTCTGACTGAGGGCCTGGGCTCCTGGACAGGAGAGAACAACAACATCAACCGGTCACACAGCGTCCTTCACATCAAACATCCGAGCCAGCGGTGCCAGTGCAAGGCAGACAGTCATAGAGTGCACTTTACACAGATAGCATACCCAGGAGGGAGGGGGGGACTGGAGGTGTGAACGTTGAGGACAGTCTCTCTCTCTTCTCTCCAGGTTCACTTAATAAACCCAGAAAAAGTGCCGAAACCGTGCTGTGCTCCCACACAGCTCAATGCCATCTCCGTCCTCTACTTTGACGACAGCTCAAACGTTATCCTGAAGAAATACCGCAACATGGTGGTCAGAGCGTGTGGCTGTCACTAGTGCAAGATTGAGCTCATCCTCTCCCCTCTTTACCACCCACTCTAGTTATAAATCTATCCTAATGATTGTCACACCGGCATCTGCTGTTGATTGCCTCGCACTCTCCTCCAGCCTCGTGTTCTCTCTGTATCTCTAAAATGTTGCTACCCCTGATACAATCGACAAGGTTTTTCACAGTCCCTGTTAGCATCCATATTAGTTTGTTTGTCTCCCTTTGCTGCTCTCTCTGACTCTCTCTCTCTCTCTATTTTCCTGGGGAATAGAGCTTCCGGTGGGTCAGAATCAGATGGAGCTATGAGCCTCCGTGACATGCAGAGCCAGTGTCTGGCTCAGTCACTGAGGTTTGTGTCCTGCTCATTGTCGCCTGAATCATACAGGGAGCAATACACGTCCTCCCGCTTCAAACCTGTTTGTAAACTTGCTTATGCCCCTGTCTGTCAACTTGCTCACCAACCCCTTCCCTGTATTCCCTTCTCAGATCTGTCCACATTGTCTGACTCGCATGTAAAACCTCAATAGGACTTGGTACCACTCGCCTGGCATCCCAACATACCCTCTTCTCCTCTGTTGTGCTGTGTTGATTCTTGCCTGCCCCCCCCCACCCTTTCAACACAACACCACAGAATACACCACATGATAGAGGGGATTGACTACCTCTGTGTATGTGTGCGGGGTGGGAGGAGTACATGCACGGAGCAGGATATGGGTGAAGTTTGCAGTCTGTGTGGGCAGTGCTGTGTGAACAAGTGTACAATATTATTGTGTAAATAGTTTTCTATTGCATTATTTATTTCCTTTGTGGTTCCATCATCCTCCCAGCCCCCCCCCCCCCCCCCCACCACCCACTTGTGTCAGGGTGAAAACAGTAATATTCTACAAGAGAAAATTTCCAGCCTGAAAATTACGACATGTGTAGTGCTATGTAACGTGTATCTGGTTGGGGTGGGGGGGGTCAAAACCCTACACACCCTCGCTCATGTCATTCCTTCTTTTCGCCCCTGAGATGATGTAAGATGTACAAATTAGCTCAATAAACACCAATTATTTCAGTCACTGAGTGTCTGACTGCCACGCAATGGGCACAACACAGGGCATACACAGCACAGGGCACACACCACACAGGGCGCACACAGCACAGAGCACACACAGCAGTGAATTTGTCTGTCGGAGTAGAATAAAAATGTTACTTTTGGAAATAAAATGCAGTATTTGCAATGAGATATACCCCAAAGGGGGGGTAGAGGTGCCTCTCTCTGTGTGTCAGGCACCGTGTGTATGCCAGGTATCAGGCAGCCACAGTGTGTGTGGCTGCGAGCTCAGTGTGTGAGAAGGTGAGGATGTGACCAGGGTAGGGGGTCGGAGCACTGAGGACAATCTGATGGGAGCACACATTCCTTGTACATCCGCGGAGCTGTACTGTGTGTGCCAGGCCTCTCCCACCTGCAAATCCCACAGGAATGTGGGCAAACGGGATCTCATTGCCAAACACTCAACCTTTCCTGACTCCTCAGCTCAGGGAGAAAGTGAAGCTTCTCAGCTACACGCTTGTCATGGGTCCAGACAGGCTGCTGACACACCCAGTATTCCCTGCCTGTATAAACACAGTAACTTCACGGGATGTAATCCACTGGGAGTCACTTTGAGATGTTTCAACATTCTAAGCAACACAAGAATCACTGAAACTCTCCATCCCAGTTCTAACTCCTTGGAATTAGGTACACAGGGTACGTCCCTCCAGGGAGACAGTGCTCATTCCATTCCAACAATCTGCTTTTGGAATTTCCATGTGCAGGCGGTACATGACACTGACAGTCTGGCTTGGAGACTGTGAAGCACCGTGATGTCAGACACCAGGCTGACCAAACAAAATCCTAATGATTCCATCTGTACAGCTTCCTTTACCCCATCAGCTTATATGGCCTCTCCTCATTCTTCCTCCCAAAATGCATCACTTTGCATTTCTCCACATTAAACTTCATCTGCCGCTTGTTTGTCTATGTCCACTTGCACTCTGCTACTATCCTCCTCACCGTTTACTACTTTTCCTGGATGAGTGTAAACTTCCTGCAGCTGAATGTGGACAAGATGGAAGCCATACTCCTTGGCTCCCGTCACGTCTTCACTCCTGCGATCTAAACTCCTCAACCTCCCTGGGATCTCCCTCAGACTCACCAAACCAGTATGGAACCTAGGCATCCGGTTCGAACCCCAGCTGTCCTTCCTCCCCCACATCTGGTCAATGACCAGGACCGCCTTCTTCCACCTCCACGGCATTGCCCGCCTCCGATCGTACCTTAGCCCAAATGGAGCCGAAACCCTCGTGCATGCGGTTGTCACATCCCGCATGGATTATTCCAACGCATTCCTCGCCAGTCTCCCCAGTTCCACCATTCAAAAGATCCAGCTCATTCAAAATTCTGCCGCCTGCATACTGACCCGGAACAAACTCCGTACCCACATCTCACCAGTTCTGGCCCAGGCTCCATTGGCTCCCCATCACCGAATGGATCAACTTCAAGATCCTCACACTCATGTTCAAATCCCTTCAGTCCCTGGCACCTCCCACCTCTCCGACCTCCTCACCCCTCCCCAATCCACCACTTGGCACCTCTGCTTGTCTCGCACCAGCCTCCTGCTCGTCCCTTGCACCCTCCGCCCACCATTGGAGGTCGTGCTTTCAGCCACTACACCCCAAAACTGTGGAACACTCTCCCTCAATCCCTCCGCCTCGCCCCCCCCTCTCCCCTCTTTCAAGTCCCACCTGAAAACTTTCCTCTTCAACTGTGCTTACGGCCACCACCCCCCAGCCTGGAGTCAGGCTCTGCCACTGTTAAGCACTCTGAGATGCTACCTTGCGTGGAAAGCACTATATAAGTGCAAGTTGTTGTTGTTGAGTTACGATAACAGTGGGTTCAAGCCACAATACACCTCTGACATCAAAAGCTGCCCAGCTCAGCATCGTCAGCCTAAACAGTGAGCTTTGCGAGAGGCTGAGCCAGTGTACGTTCTTCTACTTGTTAAACTTCCTTCTAATAAGTTGGCATGTGGCTGGAATGCAGACATGGAGCGGATTACATAGAGCTTCGCCCACTGGCTGACAGGCCTGGCGGGGCCACAGGGAGCTCACAGCTGGTTCCCATCGCTGACAGCTCCAAGTCAGTCCCACAGCGTCGATGATGATGGGGACACCTGCAGCCCCCACCGCCCAGTGTTGTGCAGAATCTACACCAGGCTCTTACACAATGAGGCCTCATTATAGCCAGAGAGAGAGAGAGGAACGGGGCCAATGGTAGCTCCAGGAACCAGCTCACTGTAGAGCGAGCCTGAGCCCTCTTGCCTCGCAGGCTGGAGGTTGTGGTTTCAATCACATGGGGACCTTGAGCTCACAGTGCAGCTTGATTCCCCGCACAACTCTGTTACACAGCTTGCAAACCAACAAGTGACTGTGTCTCTCTGCACTGAACACTGTGGAAGTCGCAGTGACACTGGCTGTCTGGCAGGGTAGTTTGAGGGGATGTGAGATGTGAGTCCCCGAACTGACCCTGGCCCCTGGGAGCTGCTGTCATATGTAGTGAATGTGTATCTATCGGCAAGTGTACAACAATCAGTTCCGAGGGGCAATGGTTACTGTACCCTGGGGATTGTTGACCAGAGCAGCAGGAGCAACTCCTATTTGTTTTCAGTATGGTTGCAGTGGTGGTGGTGGGGGGGGGGGCGAGTGTTTGTGGGGGGGGGGTCGAGTGTTTGTGGGGGGGGCGAGTGTTTGTGGGGGGGGGGATGTCTGGGGTGGAAGGGCTGTCTGAGTGCTCCCATCGACTTCTATTTTTATTTTGTTATGTGAATGCAAGGATTATTATTATAAGTCCTGTAGCGCAGTGGTTAGAGGAGTCACCTCTCAAGCTGGAGGTTGTGGTTTCAATCATGTGAGGACCTTGAGCTCACAGTGCAGATTGATTCCCGCACAGCTCTGTTACACAGCTTGCAAACCAACAAGTGACCGTGTCTCTCTACACTGAACACTGTGGAAACCTGGCTTTAATTCCTGCAGAGCGAAACCTTAGGCAAGTTTTGTTACTCTACACACGGCTCTGTTTACCTATCAGTAAGTAGGAACCCGCTTGTTAGTCGATTAGTGGATTGCTTTCCGGGGGTAATAATCCCTCAAAAAAAAATTAGGCCACCTAATCCACGACTGATTATGGGACAGTGCCGCGTTTCGCCCACAAAGTAGTCATTACACTTTACAGTATATCCTGTGAAGCACTTTGAGATGTCTCAAATGCGAGGATTATACTATTATTATTATTTCAGATTTCCAGCATTATTATTATTATTATTATTATTATCATCATCTGCGGTATTTGGCTTTTTGTCCAAACTTACGAATTGTGCGATTTAGAGTGCAACAGCGCCTTATGCCGGAGAGAACTGGTACTGGCACCCACCGAGAAATAAAAGTGCAGCTCTCGTCACACCGCACGTCACGAGCCGGGAATCACCTCCCAACATCAGCTTCATCTCAAACTGACATCATCACACACGTACACGCACACGCACACACACGCAACTGATATACAGACACACACACACACACACACTCACGCGCACCTGACTCACTGACGCACTGATCACACACCACACTGCGACCGCAGAACCGACCCGCTCAAAAAAAACCTGGCGACCGCAGTTCGCACTTTATAGCACCTTCGAAGAATAATAATAATAATAATAATAATCCTTGCGTCGAGACGTCTCAAAGCGCTTCGCAGGACGTGCTGTAAAGTGAATTGACTGCGCTCGGTGGGCGAGACAGCTCAGAAGCGTTTCGCAGGCACGGGTTGACCGGGAGCCCGGCGGGCGGGGCGGGCGGGGCGGAGGGAGGGAGGGGTACAGGTTTCGCCCCGCCCTGCCCCGCCCCGGGAATGGTACCCGGGGCCTCTCGCTTGCGAGTCGAGTGCTCTAACCACTTCACCGTAGGACTCCGCAAATTAAGAACAAGGTTACCAGGGGGAGGGGGGGGGTCAGGACAGGACAGTGGGACTCAGTTAAATAGCAGCTCGATGGGGGGGGGGGGAGGGGGAGGGGAAGAGAGAGAGAGAGAGGCGGTGAGTTCAGACACTTCGCCATCACCACCGCCCCCCCTCAGTGGCTGCTGATGCCTCACTGTCGGAAAGCGGCTGCTGATGCCTCACTGTCGGAAAGCGGCTGTCGCAAAGCGGGCGGATGAACGCCTCACTGCCGGAAAGTGCGGGAGCGTCGCTGTGTTTACCGTCACCGGGAGCGGGAGGACGACGCGGAAGATGGCGGATCCTTACCTGGAGGTGGAGGAGCCGAGTGACGATGAGGATGAAGAGGCAGTGAGGTGCGGCCCCTCACTTGAATTAAACTGTGATTAAATTAGCATTTCTGTAATTATTTGAGATAAACACTATCTGTGTCGGGGGTGTGATTGTGTGTCTGTCTCTGTGTGTGTGTGTGTGTGTGTCTGTCTCTGTGTGTCTGTATCTCTGTGTGTGTGTCTGTGTGTGTGTGTCTTTGTGTGTGTGTCTGTCTGTGTGTGTCTGTCTGTCTGTCTGTCTGTCTGTGTGTGTCGGTCTATCTCTGTGTGTGTGTCGGTCTGTCTCTGTGTGTGTGTCTGTCTGTCTCTGTGTGTCTGTCTGTCTGTCTGTCTGTCTCTGTGTGTGTGTCTGTCTGTCTCTGTGTGTGTGTCTGTGTGTGTGTCTGTCTCTGTGTGTCTGTCTCTGTATCTGTGTGTGTGTCTGTCTGTCTCTGTGCGTGTGTGGGTCTGTCTGCGTGTGTGGGTCTTTCTGTCTGTCTGTGTGTGTGTGTGTGTGTCTATCTGTGTGTATGTTTGTCTGTCTGTGTGTATGTTTGTCTGTCTGTGTGTATGTTTGTCTGTGTGTGTGCCTATCTGCCTGCTTGTCTGCGTGTGTCTGACTACCTGCAAGTCTAGCTGTCAGCCCGCGTGGGCGCCTGCCCGTCTGTGTCTGTGCATTTGTCTGTCTGCGATTGTGTCTCTGTGAGTGTATCTGCACGCGTGTGTGTGTGTGTCTGTCTGCGTAATGTCTTTCACTCTTTATCAGCTCTGAAGATGAGTTGGACATCCTCCTTCATGGCACCACTGAGCGCAAGCGCCGACTGCTGCGGGAGTACCTGACGGGGGAGAGCGAGGCCAGCGAGGATGAATTTGAGAAGGATATGGCCGCCGAGCTGGATTCCACGTTCCGGGCAATGGAGGGCACCTGGGCTCCCGCTGATGGTAAACTCAACATTGCCTCCCCATTCCCACCTCAGCGTCTAGCTCCGACACTGCTTAGAGCTCTGAGTCGATGCCCCGCCTGAAGGGTGCTGTATAAATGACAGTGATGTTACTCCTCTTCGACCGTGCCGTCGGTAACCCTCCTGCACCTACCCTCCACCCCTCCTGATCCCAACCACCATCTCGCGATTGAGATTGTTAACCAGAACACATGAAATATCCTTGTTTTAAAAGGTGCTTCTTCCAGCACTGGAGCCGCTCAGGCTCGGGGGCAGCCTGAGCCAAGGTACTACGATGACATTTACTTTGATTCAGACTCTGAGGATGAAGATGGACAGGGTAAGATTTAGGTTATTCTACCACCTTTATATTATGAAACATGGGGATGTGCAGTTACTGTTCTAGGATTCGAGACCATGTAGTCATTGCATTTATTTGGTGGGAAAACTCAAGACTTGCAGAAAATTGACTGGGGCTCAGTTGGATTCAAGTTCTGTGGTCACCCCTACATGAGTAAATGAGAGCACCGTGCTGCAATCCCGGTGAGCTGCGCCCTGACTTTCTGACACCACTTCATTCTGCACATAAGATTCATGGCCAAAGCTTCAGCACAGAGAGGGTGAGTGGGAGCTGGTGGCATTGACCAAGGCCACTTGCACACTTCACAGCAATAAAGTGCGGGGTGGGTTGGGGAGGTTGCGTTAGGAAAACAAAATCAAGTGAGCCACATTGCTTCCAACATGAGTGCGCCAGACAGGCTCAGTTAGCAGCACTCTCTCCTCTGACTCAAAATGTTGTGGGTTGAAATCCCACATCGGGACTTCAAACTCACATAGTTCTAGGATGACACTCCAGTACAGTGCTGAAAGAGTGCTGCATTGTTTCAGGTGCTGTCTTTCAGATGAGATGTTAAACCTAGGTGCAGTCTGCCTGTTCAGCTGGTGTTAAAGGCTCTATTGGAAAAGAGAAGGGAGTTTCTCTCAGTGATAAAATTGGTCACTTATTCACAGGTCACCACATTGCTGTGCACAAAATGGGTGCTGCACTACAGTAAATCCTGTGAAACATTTTGTGATGTCCTCCAGCTGTGAGAAGTGCTATAACAAATACAAGGATTAATATTATTGGGATTGTTCAAAACTAGAACTTCAGATTTATTAACTGTGGATCTCTCCAGTCATTACTTATCTTCTGGGCTGTTCCAGTGCTCCCAGAACAGTCTCTAATCAAGACCCAAGTTGTAAAGGAGGGGCCTGTGGGAAGGCCTCTTGCCCCGTGGGTGAGCGAATCGAGGAGGCCTGAATTGGATTCATTTTTTAAGTTGCATTAAAATAATTTTTTTGTGGTTTAAGAACTGACTGAATGTTTTCTTATTCAAAGAATAGCAACTCGAGAAGTTTTTACACTTCAGATGGCAGATTGCACTAATGCTGGCATTTTAATCTGTTAGAAGGTTCTGGTCCTGCTTCAAAGAAAAAATGTAAGAAAAGGCGGGTTCTGACAAACGATGAGCTGCTGTATGACCCCGAGCAGGACGAGAAGGACCAGGCCTGGGTGGACATGCAGAGACGCAGGTCAGTAACCAGTGGTCATTTCCTCTGTGTTTGGTGCTGATGGTAAGATTTCCTTTTGCAGCTGATCACATTTCAAGATAGTGGAACTGGGTCTCGTTATGTACTGATGTTCCCAGGCACTTCACCTTAACCTTCTAACTCTTTCTAACTGAGCCTCTAGTCCCTGGTAACATTCTAGGGAATCCATTGCATCTTTTCGGGCTATGCTCCAGATCTATTTGCCTTTTTATGGCATTACCTTCCATGAGTTGGAGGGGTGCACACAGCAACCAGACTAAAAACTGCGACACCACATAATTCGTCTCACAAGCGAGAGGACCTGTTTTTGATTTCCGGGCGGGGCAAAACCTTAGGCAAGTTTCCTTACTCTGGACGCCACTATTTACCTAGCAGTAAGTAGAAACCGGTTGTTAATGGATTGGTGGATCGTTTTCCGGTGGTACTTATCCCTTCAAAATAAGTAAATTTATAATAATAATTTGGTCATTCAGTGCACGACTGTTTGTGGGACACTGCTGTGCCAATTGGCTGCCACGTTTCGCTCACAAAATACAGTCAATTCACTTTACAATATATTCTGTGAAGCGATTTGAGACGTCTCAACAACGTGATAAAGTGCTAAAATAAATGCAAGAATTATTATTAATACCCTGTTACCTTTAGTGTATCAGCACACTAAAGCATCCGCTGTCCTTTACTTCAGTTTAAAATCCTACCAAACTGCCGGGGTTCAGCTTGTCTAACGCAGAATATTCTACCTTTGTAGCTATCGTGGCCTTAGCAGGAGACCGTCCAAAGAACAACCCACTGTGACCAGTGACGCTGTCCTGAACTGTCCATCCTGCATGACAACTCTGTGTCTGGACTGTCAGCGGTAAGCCTTCTGCAGATGCCAAACCTGCATGGAGCAGGACTCACTCTTACCTCAGAGCAGGGAAAGTGGTTTTAAAAATCTATCCCATTAATGACCAGCGTTTCTGGGTGAGGGCAGATCCTCGCGGGTAGTCATAACTAGACTGTTAGCTCAACTGTTTGTCAGTTTCGCCCACAAAATATACAGTCAGTTCGCTTTGAAACGTCTCGAAGACATGATAAGGCGCTATATGAAATGCAAGGATTACTATTATTATTGCTGGTTTACAGGTAACTGAGTGAGGCCCCCAACCCCACCCCAGCGTTCTAACTATTAATTTATATGTTCCATTTTTAGTTTTAGATAATATGGTTGTCATCGCGTTTTTTGGTCACTCTGTATAAGTTTAACATTACCTTTACCTCTTTGCTTTTATATTTCATACTCCTATTTATAAACCCTAGTATTCCGTTTGCTTTCTTAACAGCTTTGTCCACCTTCTTTACGGATCAAAATAAATTTTTCACTTTCCTTACAGGCACGAGCTGTACCCTGGCCAGTACAGAGCTATGTTTGTAATGAACTGTATCATTAATAGAGGAGAAGTTCTCAAATACAAGGAAGCAGCCAACAAGAAGAGAAGAAACTGGCGGAAAAAGGCTAAAGGTCCGATGGGAGAGGTGTCAGTGCCCCCACAGGGGAACGAGAATGAGGAAGCCTACCATCCTGTCAGATGTGCGGAATGCTCAGTAGAAGTGGCTGTCTTCGATAAGGATGAGGTGTATCATTTTTTTAACATCCTAGCCAGCCACTGTTGAGCACCATTTTCAACCCTTGTTCAAAGAATGGACAAGATGCTTTGAATATTTTACACATTGAACTTTTCTTAAATTTTCTTAATGGAAATCAGTACAAAAAAGTAGACATTATTAACAAGCTCACATTTGGGTATTCTCAGTTGATATTGGACTGATTTGAAGTCACTTCATCCCCCCTCCCACCCACGCACACCATTAGTATTTTTTTTATCACCTGCAATCCTAATATCATAATGGTATCAAATGGTTCCACATTTCTGACAGTGATATGTGAATGGAATGGATGTTTCAGTCTGAATTCTGCTAAAATGTAGTGTGGAGCCAGGTCTAGACCTCAATAAACTCACCAATTGGTTGAATTCCCATCAATCCAGCCCTTTCTCCCTCATTCGCACCAACTCCAGTCCCACAGCTGGAGCTACATCTGGCTCATTCCCCCAAACTCAGAGTCTGATTCTGATGGGAACAGCATTCCATTCCCAAATATCTCATCACGCTCAGATTATCTGCTAGAGACCGAGATCCTTTCCTATCCCCTCATCGGCCTTCCCAACTCTTCCCTTAACAAGCTGCAGATCATCCAAAATTCTGCAACTTGTGTACTCTCGAGCACCAGGCTCCATGACCCCATCACTCTCACTCTCACCCGACTCCACTGGCTCCCCACTCCTCAGGATTGAATTCAAGATCCTTGTCCTCACTTTCAAGGCCATCCATGGCCATGCCCCCTCCTGACCTGTTGACTCCCTACCAACCTGCCCGCTCCCTCTGTTCAGCAAGCTCTGGCCTGCTCCATGTCTCCCGCCTGATCCGCCCGACCATCGGCGGCCGGGCTTTCAGCCTCTCTGCCGCCACACTCTGGAACTCCATCCCACACGACTGGGTGGGGGGACTGGGAGAGACTAGGCTGGGCACCGCTCAATAACCGGGTGTGGGTGAGCGAACCTGGGAGAGGCCACCCCCCACCCCAACAGTTGGCAATGGGGCGACGTGCACCTGGGAGAGAACGAGGCGGAGACGGGGTGCGGAAACGGTAGAAGCAATCACCGGCCCCCTTTGTGAAGACAAAATACTGCGGGTGCTGGAAATCTGAAATAAAAACAGAAGTCGCTGGGAACACGCAGCGGGTCAGGACAGCATCTACGGAGAGAGGAAAATGAGTTAATGTTTCAGGTCTATGACCTTCCGTCAGAACTATGTGACCCTGAGCAGTGTGGCCACTTGTCTCTCCGAAACGACTGTGAAGCTACTTGTTTCCAAACAAATTAAATAGATATATTTATATTTATATCCTTTGACTGTTTGGTCATTTCAAGGCTGGTCAACAATCATATTTAATACCCAAGTCAGGGCGGGCTGTGATTGGTGGAGCCGGGGGCTGGGCTGTGATTGGCGGGGCCTGGAGCTGGTCTGTGATTGGCGGGGCTGGAGCTGGCCTGTGATTGGCGGGTCCGGAGCTGGTCTGTGATTGGCGGGGCTGGCCTGTGATGGGCGGGGCTGGAGCTGGCCTGTGATTGGCGGGTCCGGGACTGGGCTGTGATTGGCTGGGCGGAGGCGGGAGCGGCGGTTGGTCTCGCGGGCCGCGCCAGAGCCGCGAGTTGCCGTCACGTGGTGGGTGTCGCTCGCCGGCTTCAGTGGCCGTCATTTCCAGACCGTCGACAGCAGAGCGGCGGGTGGAGAGGGTGAGGCTCGGGGGGGGGAAGCGTTAGACCGCGGGCTCTGAAGCGCTTTCAGTCCGAATGGGGCTGAGCGCTAACCCCCCTCCACCCCCTCCAGTCAGCGTCAACTTATGGGACCTTTGAGGAGAAACGTCGAGTTTCCCGCTAAACACTCACCGTCCGTCGAGGCCGCTCGCTCGCGGGCCTCGCCCCCCCCCCCCCCCCCACCCGGACCCCCACCCGGTGCTCGGTGTCGAGCTGCGCCACTCTTCAGCGCTCCCAAGACATTGTTGTTGTTGTTGTTGAATCTTGTTGTTGTTGTTGTTGTGGTGGTGGTGGATTAACCCGAACTCTTGAGGTTTACGCGAAAGGGGGTTCTGCTTTTCAGGCCATTTTTTTTTTCAAGATAAAAAAAAGAGCGGAAAGAAAGAACCTTCTTCAGTTCCCTCTGCTTTCCCCCCCGCCCGCCGCATCCCGACTCGGCCAAGCCTTCAGCATTGCACTGCTGAGTCACAGTCTTGCAGGGCCCGACCCCGGGAGACGGGAGACAGGGAGGCAAACAGAGGCAGGCGGAGTTGAGGGGACTTGCCCAACCTTTCACCCCCGCGCGGGAATGAGACCCAGGTCCTCTTAGCTTGCAAGGTGAGCGCTCAAACCACGACGCTACGGGACTCCATGTAGCGAAGAGAGACGCAGAGACACTTATAAACACTCACACATACAGAGTGAAGAGACATGCGTGCACATTCACACAGAGACCGCATGAACACTCATAAACACTTAAACGTACCTAAGGCCTTCTTCACCTGAACCCCTGTTGTGTTTCATCTTGTTTGACATATTCAGTGATTAATCTCACCTTGGTCCTCTTGCTCAACAATCACATTGCTGCTCACACTCACTTGCAAATCAGTTCATACTCTAGCACTTCCCCACTTCTCCAACCTACTTCTCTACCCACCCCCTTCTCTCAGCCAGATTCGGCCGGACCTCCGCACATTCTTTCCTCCATTGGTGGCTGTGCTTGTCGCCACTATGCCCCCAAACTCTGGAACTCCTTGCCTCAAATCCCTCTGCCCCCATCTTGCCCTTCTTCAGATTACACCTGAAGACCTTCCTCTTCAACTGTGCCTTGGATTACCTCCCATCTCTCCCTGACTCAGCGTCAAGCTCCACCACTCCAAGAAGTGACCCATATGAAGGGCACTATATAAATGCAAGTTGCTGTTACAATATTTTCACTAATGATCTGATTAAACAAACAAAGTATCTGCTTCAATATCCTGTATAAGTGAATAATTCTGAGTTTTATAAATTAGGAGAGAAATTATTGACAAAGTGAAATTACGAAGATGCATACTGGACAAGAAGTTCAGGTAATTGGAATATGTGCTGTCATGTATATTCTCCTTGAAAAATGTATTTCATCCACAAAATACAGTTACTACATTTTACACAATAAATCCTGCGAGTCACTTCGAGATGTGCTCCTGATGTAAACGGTGCTTAATCAAATGTAAGGATTATTTTGTGAGATGAATATTTTTGAAAGCAATATTACATAATTATATTGCATGGTAAGGGATGTGTGTACGAGTTGCGAATGCTCTCACGTGTTTCATGCTGAGCTGTGATGCCCCCCAGAAATCTTGCAGGGTGTACCCGGTGAGGGCTTAAACCCACGCTTGTCAGATGTCAAATAACTAACTAATGTATCCTCCTTGGATGGAAGGTAAGCAGGATTTCCTGGGAGCTGAACTCCAAGCTGGCAACGGAATATCGGAATTGAGCCCACCCTCTGCAGGTCTCGGTAGTCCGGTTCTGAGCCAGGCAGGTCTGCAGTAATCGAGGGAACTGCTGTTGACAGCACAGCAGCTTGGTTCATTGGCAGGACTTGGACCAGGCACTGGGGAAGGGACTCTTCCCACTCAACTCCCGTTAACCCTGCAAGCCAAAACCCAAAGAGGTAGGTAGGGTGGACCTACCCCTTAGGGCTGGACAAGCAGCAGGAAAGTTTGCCAGGCAGTACTCTAAATAACTCTGAAGATTTTAAGCTGCACCAAATACTTATCATAAGTAACCTCAGCCTTGAGGTGTTTTGGCAGTAGCATACATGGTTGGAAAACATAATTTCAGCACCTGTTCATGAGCTTGGGTCAATTTAGGTTCCATGTGTCAAGAAATCCTTTTAAGAGATCATTCAGAACTTTGCATCTCCTGGCTCCTCATCCTCCAGAGGAGAGAGTTCAACATACTAGTCTTTGTCTTCAAGGCTCTCCACAGCCTTGCTCATTCCTACTTCTGTGACCTGCTAATCCCATATCAACCTGTCCTCTCCCTCCGCTTGGCAGGCTCCGGCCTGCTCCACGTCTCCACGTCAGTAATATTATTAATCTTGTACAGGTTATTAGAGTATTGTGATGAAGGAATGATCTGATGTCAGAATAATTTTATTGCTTGCAGCTGGAAAAGTTAATCGATGATGCCATTAAAAGAAGGTCTTTTAAGTCACTGGAAGAACTACAGGAAGAAAGTAATGAGAGTGTGTCTTGTAAATGCAGCAAACAGCTGATACACAAGCTGAATAAACTCATTCAGAGGGTAAGGAACAATTAAACTATCACAGGCAATTTATTTTTCTTTGTTAGAGGCTCTCTTTTTGTAGTTTTCATGAATGGACAAAGAAGTAGGTTTCAAAACGGAGCTTGAACAAGATGAGGTTAGGAGCTAGTCGGAGGGACTCTGGGAAGGGATTCCAGAGATTCGGAGTGAGGGTAATGTCAATAGTGTTTTTCATGTTCTTTGCATACAGTTTAACCTCCATAGGATAATCTTACTGCATCAGTTATTACAGTGTAAAACTCCCTCCACCATTCCTGATCCAACCCCCAGCTTGGGTCCAAATTCGTGACTGTCCAGCGACTTGGGATGTCCTACCGACATGAACGATGCTATACAGATGTAATTTGTTGTTGCTGAAAAATTGAAATTATCTTTTCTATTTTAGGAATTGAGTAAAAAAGAAGTCAGGAATGTCTCACTGTTGCTAAATTGCATTCAAAGATATGGGCGAAGCATGACTATACTAGGTGAAGATGGCTTGACTACAATGATAAAACAAGGGCTGGTTCACAAGATAAGTGATGAATTAACAACTACGTTTTACTGTATTATGTGTTTCTAAAAAAGCTTTTATTTGTTTTGCTGCAGGTCTATACAAATTTGCATTTTTAAAAGGGAAAGAAAATCAAGAAGTGGCATTTCTGAATTGTTGTCTTTCTCCATCAGAGCTTTAAGGCATCAAAATATAAACATTTGCTGTATTAAAGGGAACAACAAGTCCCTTTCACAGCTATTTTTTTAAGTCACTTTTTAATTTTTAATCTCATTTCCTAGTTTTCTCCCTATGTGTTCCGGATGAGAAGTGATGCCCCGTCTGCCTACTTAAGTGGATATTAAAGACCCTGTGGTACTTTTCTCTCATTATCCTGGCCAGCATAGATAAAATCAGTCATTCACTTTGTGGCTGTTGTGGGCCACAACTGTGCATAATTTGGCTGGGGAATTCGCCTACAAAGAGTAACTACACAGTAAATCTTGTGAAGCTTCGCGACCACATCACTCCCACCCTCATTCACCTCCACTGGCTTCCCATCCCCCAGAGGATCGAATTCAAGATCTTCATCCTCACCTACAAGGCCATTCACAGCCCCGCTCCCTCCTACCTCTCCGACCTACTATCCCCCTACCTACCTGCCCGTACCCTCCGTTCCTCTGGCTCCGGTTTGCTCCACATCCCCCGCCCCAACCGCCCTATCATCGGTGGCCGGGCCTTCAGCCTCTCAGCCCCGAGGCTCTGGAACTCCATCCCCCAGTGCCTTCGCCGCTTCCTCCCTTTCCTCCTTCAAGGCCGGTCTCAAGACCTTTCTCTTTGACCGTGCCTTCAGCTCCCCTCTCGACTCTCTACCCCCTCCTCGCTCCCTCCCTTCCCTCCCCTCAACCTGACCATTTCCCCCCCTGCTCGGGTCCTGACCCAACTGTCCAGCACCTTGGGACATCCTCCCGACGTGAAAGGCGCTCTATAAATGGAATCTTGTTGTTGTTGAACTGCTTTGAGACGCCTCAATGATGTGATGAAGTGCTGTAACTGCAAGAATTATTATATATCACTTCATATTTTTACTGCTTATCTTGTTCCCTCTTTGATCCAGCCTCAGTAGTCACCTTGGTAATGAATTACAAAATCTGTTAATCTGCTGCGTGAAGAAAGACTTCTCTCCTTTGCCTTAATTTTTCTGTAAACAATTCTGAGAAAATACTCCTTTCCACTGTTTTTCAACTGCAGTTTTTACATACCTGCCATGTCATGTCTCATTTTTTAAAAAAAACTTTAAACACCTCTATTGTATCCCCTCTCAATCTTTTTGGCTTCAGTGGAAAAAAAATCTCTATTTTGCTCAGCCTCTCTTTTATTTCCCTGCATGGAGCAGTATCATCCTGATAAAGCTCCTATGTGCATGAAAGGTGTCTCTGAAGAATGAGAAACAAACAAGTAGGTGCTATATTACCCATTATAGGGTAATATACCAAGTATCAATCCAAATAAAGAATTATAATGAAATTAGCAAATAATCTTATATACATAGACTTCATAATTAACATGAATATAATTGTTTTTTTCTTTACATGGTCTCATGGTTTGAAAAGACAAGAGCAATCTGGGCAGAAGGAGGGAAAGAAAAAAGTGATGCACTCATAAATCTTGCTGAAGATTTCTTTGATGCCTTAATGGTAATTAGAATATTTGAAGCAACCTTGCTTATTGTATAAGCATCTCAAAATGAACATATGAAATTGCAACATTTGTTCTTCAGTCGCACAGTAATCCATACAGCACCATTACCCGCTCTGCCTTTCCCCACCTCTGAAATATTGCTAGGCTCCGCCACTGTCCTTCACCGCAGGCCGCCGAAACCCTCATCCATGTGTTAATCACATCCAGACTCGACTACGCAAACTGCTTGCTTGTCGCACTCCCCAACGCCTCCCTCTACAGGCTGCAGATCATCCAGAACTCTGCAGCCCGTGTCCTCTCCCGCACCAGGAACCGTGGCCCCATCCTCGCCCAACTCCACTGGCTGCCCATCACTCTGAATACAGTTCAAGAGCCTGGTCCTCAAAATGTATTTTACCTGATCTTAATGTGGTAGAGATTGGAAGCCATTGGTGAGGAATAATGGGTGGTTACTTGTTTCCTATTATATAGGAATGCATATAAGATAAATAATAATAATCCTTGCATTTGATATAGCGCTTTTTCACGTCTTCTAGACGTCTCAAAGTGCTTCACAGGATATACTGTAAAGTGAATTGACTGTATTCACTTCAGCAGTGACTGCAGCAGTCAATTGCGCACAGTAGTGTCTCACAAACAGTCGTGGATTGAAGTGACCAATTTATTATTTTTTTCTTGAGGGAATATTATCAGGTGTGTTGAGTAAGAAAACTTGCTCAAGGTTTTGCCTTGCCGGGAATTGAGCCCAGGTCTCTCGCTTGCGAGGCGAGTGCTCTAACCACTGAGCTACAGGACTCCACATGGGGTAGGAGATGACTACCTCACAGCTTAAATAAACCACTTTGCTGCCTGAAAATGTACTTTTGTTTTAGAATTTCCTAAAATCAGCACTCTTTAGGCATGAGAGTAAGCTTTATAATACCCTCTCACTCAGAAGGCACTATACCAAATGTAAAGATTATTTTATTTTCTAAGAATCTGAAATCACACAAACACTCATTTCAGTCTGGTTTGAAAATGGTAAATGTTTATTATAAAGTTGTCCTCTCCTTAGACAGTAAGAATTGTTAACTAAGTACAATAAAAAAAGTTACGACAATAAAATATGTGATCAAATATGTTATTTTACATGCTGTCAGATTTATATTGAAGTTATTCAATTCTGTTATTAGAACGAATTAATATTGAACTAAATATTAATTATTGTAACCTATCTTTTCTAGGTTGTGTTTGATGCAAACAGTGAAGGTATGTACATAACACTAGAATAATACATATTTAAGCTTAATTAAGGTGTACTATATGTAGTTATCATAATAATATTATCATGAGACAGCTGTATTACAGAAATAGAGTACAGAGTACAATGTACAATAAAAAATCTGAATGTATTGATATGCCATTAATTTTGTAGTCATTGATAACCAATCAAGCTTTGATTGCTCTAACTCATGTTATACAGTCCTACTTTCCTACTTACTGCTTGGTAAAAAATGGTGTGTGGAGTAAGGAAACTGAAGGAAAGAAGTACATGATGAAATTGTTAATGTTCTATCAAGTGTGATAGATGGGTGAATGAATAATAATAATCCTTGCATTTGATATAGCGCCTTATCACGTCTTCGGATGTCGCAAAGCGCTTCACAGAATACACTGTAATGTGAATGGACTGTATATTTTGTGGGTGAAACGTGGCAGCCATTTGCCCACAGCAGTTATTTGCCCAAATAGTTGTGAATTCAGTGACCAATATTATTTTTTGGAAGCAATTATTACCCCTGGAAAGCGATCTGCCAATCAACTAAAAAACGGGTTCATACTTACTGCTAGGTAAACAGAGGCAAGTGAAGTAAGAAAACCTGCCCAACGTTTTGCCCTGCCGGGGATCGAACCCAGGTCTCTCACTTGTGAGACAAGTGTTCTATCCACTGAGCTACAGGACTCCAAAAGAATACAGTTTGCAGCAGGCGTAGAGACAACCAGCAAGATCTGGGGGCTTTACAGCTAAAGGGTTGGGGTAATCTGGTCACCGTGTTCAGAAGAACCATCTTGTTTGCCAACATTACCTCTGTTTTTTAATCAAATAATCTTTGCAGTCTGTGAATGAAGATTTAACCTTTAATAAAGGAACTCCATATCCACATACAAGACCATCTCATTCCTACTAATCACAACGTTTGTTGAGTTTGCATATAAACTGTTGGCACAATCAGAATAACAATTTTGCACCTGGAATCTTCAAATGCATTCAATTGTATTTTAGTACTTGCACATTTCAACCAGTAGAGGGATCATTTGTACAGTGTGAGGAGATATTCTATCTGGCTCTAGATTTACTCTTAATTATGTAGAGTATCATAATGTGCAGAATTTGAATATCAGCACTTGGAAGCTATATAGTCTAAGCCTGGGATATGCAACATTGTCAGATGAGCTGTCCTTCAGTTGAGAAATTAAACCAAGGTCCTGTTTGTCTATTCAGGTGGACATAAAGATCTCTTGGCACTGTTGGAAAAGGGAAAGGAGTTTCACCCTGTATCCTGGCCAACAATCCCCCAAATAAAAATGGGCATTTATTTTGTGGCTGTTTGTGGGTCACTGTTGTGCACACATTGATTGCTGTGTTTGCCCTCAAAATACACAGTCACTTCACTTTACAATATATCCTGTGAATTGCTTTGAAATGTCCGCCCAACATGAAACTCGGTATTTAAAGTGTAAAGATTGTAATAAATACTGCCTTAATTTTTACTTTTAAGAATGGGCTGTTTTAAAGCGCACTGTGTAGTGATGGAGCTGCTTGGCTTTTTGCGTGCATTTTGAATTGTTTGGTAATTACTGTAAATGTCAGGGTCAATATCCCCAACAAAGCACGTTAAAAGATTTTGCTGTATCTACTTTGTTCTTATATCCACAACGGGGACAGTTTCCATTAGTGAGGGTATCAGACTGAGCAGGTAAAGCTAAATTATTACAGTTTCTATTACCAGCTGATTTTGATAGTAATTTTTTTTATTGTACAATTGTCTTTTTTTCTGAACAGGAAGATGTCAGGTGCTTGATACATTCCTTCATCGAATAGGCTGCTTAGTCACTGATCCTGATATTAATATATGTATTCAAGAAGAGGTAAAATAAAAATTGCTGTAATGCCGATTATTTTAGAATTAATTAAGTCATTTTGAACTGGTTATGTATTTTAATACATGTTTTTTAAAGTTGTAAAAGTACATTTGATAAACAGACAGTTTTATGGGTTTGACGAATTAGACTGAAATAACGTTAGAGAAAACATATGCGTGTTTAAAGTTGCTTGTTCTCCCAAGATGTTGCTATAACAACAATAACAAATTTAGATAAGCATCTTTATCATTCACAAGCAAGACTGCAGCAGCAGATGCTGAATGGCGTTCAGGGTATTTTCTTGGCTTAATGTTTTGACAATAATGCTTTTTCAGGCCCTTGCTTTGGTGAAAATGATTATTAAAAATGACGTCTTGTTTCACTTTACTTGCAACACCAGACAGATAACCAATTGAAAATCCTGGATTGAAGGTGTCAATAATTTTTAATTCTGACTATCTGCCCAAAATTTAGGGCATTCGGAAAATGAACATCATGCTAGGTCAGATGCTACTTAACGACAGGAAAACAATCCTTTCATCTGACGAAATGCAACTTCTGATGTGAGTAATTAGAAGTAAGCTTTTCCCCCTTGGAATGTTGTGTTTCTGAGTCAAAAGATTGTTGTTTCAACACCTTTTTGTTGGTCCTTGAACTCATAGTCAGAGACATTCTAGTCAAACAATAGGGGAGCACTGCATTGATGGAGGTACTTTTGTTTAGGCAAGGTGTTCACACCCATTTGGGTGGGTTTTTTGTTTACTGTGGTTGGAAAAACGGCTTTGGACGCGTGCCTAAGTTTAAAAAATTTTTAAATTTAAACCTGCAAAAGTGAGGACGTACTTGAGTGAGGATGGAACAGAGTGGGAATCCTGAGCAGGAATTTGGTGAGAGTGGGAATTTGGTACAGAGGGAGAAAGAGGTGCATAATTATAAAATATATAATATTTATATTAAAATAATATAAAACATGTCTGGGAATATGGCAGGGCAGATGAGACCTGTTGCATGCACAATGTTTGTCATGTGGGAAATCCAGGATGCAGTGACGAACATATATGTAGGCTGCTCGAGCTTGAGTTCAGTTTTTCTGAGCTCGAGGAGAGGCTAGTGTCACTACATAGCATATGGGAGGCTGAAGAGTTCATGGATCGAACGTTTCAGGAAGTGGTCACCCCACAGCCCCAGAAGGTTCGGGAGAGTGAGTGGGTAACTACAAGGCATGGTAGGAAGAGAGACGGGCAGTCCAGAAATTCCCTGAGAGCGTGGCACTCAAACTGGTTCTCTACTGAATACAGGTGAGGATGATGAACCCTCTGGGGAAAGGGGTCAAAAGCAAATGGATGAACAGGGGGACCCAGGGAAGAGTTTTAATGTCTTGGAGTGAATGTGCGTAAATGCACGGATTATGACAAATAAGATTGGTGAGCTGCAGTCTCAAGTTGCTACATGGGTTTATGATGTAGTGGCAAAAACAGAGACCTGGCTCAAACAAGGGTAGGAATGGGAGCTGAATATTCCTGGCTACAATTTATTCAGGAGGATTAGGGAAGGAAAAAAAGGGGCAGTGGCAATATTGAGTAAAGACACAGTTATGGTCCTGGAAAAGGACGATGTGCTAGAGGATCTAAAAACAGAATCTATTTGGTTTGAGTTAATCTTGAAGGAGGCTAGGGAAGGGGCGATGCGGAGGCACTGCGGGATGGAGATCCAGAGGGTGTGGACAGAGAGGCAGAAGGCCCGCCTGCCAATGTGAAGCAGGCCGGAGCCCGATGAGCGGAGGTAGTGGGCAGGATGGTAGGGGGTTAGGAGGTTGCAGAGGTAGGGGAGCAAGTCCATGGAGGGCATTGAAGGTGGGGACAAGGATCTTGAACTGCATCCTCAGCAAAACAAGGTTTGCCTGGGACCCCGCAGACAAAAGCCGCTCCTCGGTAAAAAGGCTTATCTGGTAAAAACATGGCACAGACTATTTATCCTGAATAGTTTGATGTACGTGCAGATTTAGTGATATAGATCTTTGTAATTCTATGAAAGGTATTGAATGAGTAGAACTGAATAATAAAAAAATTATATAGCGCCTTTCATGTTAGGGGGTTGTCTCAAAGAGCTTCATAAGATTTACTGTAAAATGTACTGACTGTAGCACGAATCCATCATAGAATTCTTAGGGACAAAAATAATTTTGGCTTCATGTAGCATTGAAGAGTTTTTATTTTTGAGGCGAACATGGCAATCAATTTGCACACAGTGATGTCCCATAAACAGCAAGAAGTGAATGAGTCATTTATCTAGGAGATCATTGGTCAGGACACTGGGACAAATTCCCTTCTATTTTTGAGTAGTAGCATGGATCTTTAACATCCACCTGAATAGGCAGACGCACCTCAGTGTAATATTTTATCCAATGGATGGTAATTCTGACAATGCAGCACTCTTCCAGTAATGTATTGGATGTAACCTTAGATAGACGATGGCTCAAAGTCTTGAACCCACAATTTTCTGACTCAGAGTCAAGAGTGTTACCAATTGACTCGGACTGATACTTACCAAGGTTATTATTTGTTCTGTAATTCTAATGCAAAAATAATCTTATTTTGAAGAACTGAGAAATATAACTGAGAAATTCTACATTACCTGGAAGACCGTTTTGTCTTAACATTGGAGGTCACAGAGAATATTGGGAAATTCTGCTATTCACTCTTAATTTGGTTTCTTTTAAAGCGCTACAGAAAACCAGATTTAAAAAAAAGTAGGTTTAAGAATTTTCCGCAATTCTGCTGGCATTTTGGATTAGGTGGAATTCTAGATCTGTATTTGTTTTAAGATCTCAAAACAATTTTACCTTTTTTCTTACAGGAGTAATTTTGGGAAAAGGGTTTTGGATGCTGGTGGTAAGAAATTAAGTTCTTCAAATTGCTTTCTCTCATGTTTGAAGTTAGAGCATCAGCAAAGTTATAANTTTTTTATAAACCACTTTATTTACACAGCAAAGAGGCACGTAGCAATGCACACAATACATATAGCTTGAATGTTATTAACTTTTTGTGGCTGCTGTTGCTTTTAGTTTGGAATTTTGACTTATCTAGTAGACTTAGTTACTAGAACCTTGTGGTGACTGAGCTAGATAGTGCTGCTAGCCTCAGACGGTGTTTTTTTATTTTGTCAATATGAGCCACCTGGGAGGTCTATCAAAGATACAGCAGTCCAGTGCAGTATTTTTTTAAGATGTTCCTGAAAATGTTCCTGTGACCAATTCATTCAGAATTTAATAATCAATTTTCCATATTAACGAATTGACTCTTTATAGTTCTTTTGCCACCTAATTTCTTAATTTTGTATTGCAGATTATAATTTCCAGGTAGCCATTACTGAAGGGTTATGCAGAATGATGTCTGAGAGTCAGAGGAAAGAACTGGCTGACCAATGGTTCTGTATGGAGTTTGTTGCTAATGCGTTTAGGAGAATTAGAGATTCTGAATTTGAAACGGTATATAAAATAAATAAATAGATTTATTTCTGTTGGAAATTAGTATTCAGAAAGTACAGTTGTAGCTTTGTGTGGTCATTCAGTGGGTAAGAGCATGTTTAGTGAAAGCCTTCCAGAATGAGTTCTGATACTAATCTCAATAATGAATGAATGATTCTGATCTGTGCTTGTACTTGTTTCGATTTCAAAAGTTCACTGAGAGTTGATCTAAAAATTGGTAATTTCTGAATCCAGGCACTATTTTTCAATAAAGCTGAATTAATATTGCAGAAAGATAAGAAATGAGACAGACACGATAATATATTTTAAATAAAATTTACTCTTTCTGTGTTGACCTTGTGACTTAATTTATCAAATTATTTTGTTAATGAGACCAATAAGACTATAGCATTTTTTGTTCCTCGCAAGATTTTCACTATACTGCTCCTTATCGCTACACAATAGGCTCGATCTACTTCTTAAAGCTGTCAATAATTTAACACATTAATGATGCATTGCATAATTATATTTTTGCAAGATTATTAAATTAACTAAAATAGCAAACAAGATAAAAGTGGATGGAGGTTGCCTTTATTGTGTCCTTGAAGTTACCAGTAGTATTTTTCTGAACTATTATGAAGGGGAAAGATATTTATAGAATTGTGTGCCGCCCTTGTAAAATTAGGAGAATAATTTGTTAAGATTGTGAAAGGAGGAGGGAAATTAAACCAATGATTAATATTTATCAACGTTCTTAGGACTGTAGAAGATTTCTCAACCAGGTGAATGGAATGCTGGGAGAAAGGACAAGGTGAATTATATTTTATACTTCAGTTTATACTTTGCTTAAGTTTGGATCAGTGTAAGTGAGTACAAGTGCTGACAGTGATAAAATCATTACTCCTAGTAATAATAATAATCCTTGCATTTGATACAGCGCTTTTCATGTCTTCTAGACATTTCAAAGCGCTTCACAGAATATGCTGTAAAGTGATTTGACCGTATATTTGTGGCCAAAACGTGGCAGCCAATTGCACACAGCAGTGTCCCACAAACAGTCGTGGATTGAAAATGACCAATTTATTACTGTTTTTAGTTTTGGAGGGATTATTATCAGGTGTGTGGAGTAAGGAAACTTGCCCAAGGTTTTGCCCTGCCTGGAATTGAACCCAGGTGTCTCGCTTGCGAGACGAGTGCTCTAACCACTGAGCTACAGGACTCTAATAGAATAGTAATCGGATAAGTAAAATTAGGGCCCTTCACCACTACACATTGTAAGGTGACTCCAGTTCTAATCTTCATATTCCAAAAATCCAACCAAATTTCTTAGCTAGTCCTGACTTTGATGAAACAGGCCTATATATTGGCTCTTGGATAAATTCAACAGTTCCTGTACTACCTCTGTATATTGTATTCTTGTCACTGCTAACTCAAAACCTTGTTGATTCTTAAATTGTTGAACATCATCAGTGTCTGTACTGACTAACATTTAATAATGTCTGATCCCATTCTGCACCATTGTGTGAACTATATGGTGTCAGATAATAACTTAGGAATAAAATTGAGTACTCTTTCTGTGACTATTTTTGAATGCAACTATTTTACTGTCATAAAATGAGAAAGATAAAGGTAGTATTCAACTACATTAATTTCTAACTGACATTTGTTTCTTTTTGTATGCAGTGTTTTCACATTTCCTTGTCTGGAAGCATTTCTTGATAAATATGAGGTAAATTCAGCATTATGTTCCAATTAACTTAGTTGCCCACTGCAGTATTTTTTATCTTAGATGTGCCAAACGGTTATGTAGAGGTCACCAATGTGGAGAATTGTAAGTAATGTTTGTTAACACATTTTGAATGTCAACTTCAACTTTCATTTATATAGGAGGGCATCTTGGAATGTCAGGTTATTAGTTTTGTGAACTGACTTATACGATTTTAAAAAAGTGCACCCGACTTGGTGTCCTTTCAAACTGCAGAGCCAGAGCGTATCTAATTGCTCATAGCCTGGACCAATAGAAAAGTGCGCCCGCACCTTTTCTGCATTTCCCACCACAATGACCCTCGTCCGCCACAAACCTGCCAGAAATGTAATTTCTGGCCCGCGGGTTGCTTGCGCTATTTATCTGACGTCACCGTGGGTGGAGCGGCTCCGGACGCACATGCGCAGAGTGCAGCACAAGCGGCAAATGGGCTATACTCGGAGGTCCCACTGTTGTGATTGTGTGTGTGTGTGTGTGTGTGTCTGTGAGTGTGTCTATGTCTCTTCTGTATGTGTGTGTGTTTATGAGTGTCTCCGTGTGAGTGTCTGTTTCTGAGTGTGTGTGTCTCTGTATGTGAGTATGTGTCTGTGTCTCTGAGTGTGTGTGTGTGTGTCTCTGTCACAATGTGTGTGTTCTGTATCTCTGAGTGTGTGTGTGTCTTTTTTGTGTGTATGTGTGTGTGTCTCTCTCTTTCTGTCCCTGGGTCTGTGTGTCTCTCTGGGTCTGGTCTCTGTGTGTGGTATGCTCCTGTAGCCTTGCTGGTGTCTTCCCCCCACTTCCCCCCCCAAAAAGGTCACCAAATTTTTATTAAAGAAGCAATTAATTTTTTTTGCAACAATCTAATATGTGTTATTTCCTTTTGTTTAGTTTTCATCAACAAAGTGAAAAAATGTAGCAGCAAAATGTACTTCAACAGCACCAACCAACCCCCGCAATTTTCCCGCAGGTTTAGCAAAACCTGACACTATTCATCGAAGACGCACAAATCGCTCTACAATATTTTTACAATATGTCCGCACTTTTCTATTGACCGAGCTCAGCTCATTTCCCTAACACTGGGGATCATCTTTGTTGCTAATAGTTTGAATGAGGGGGTGTATTTGCTACATTACAATGTTGTGTATTAGTAGCACCAGATACGAATTACCAGTGGCTATAGCTAATAGATCTTGCTGCCAAGCCCAAGCATGAACTGGTCCAGTTGTATTATTTCATCTGCAAAGAATAAATTCCATGTAAGATAACATTTTAGAGTTAAATAATTAAACATGCAGTTTCATTAATGTTCTGATGCTGTTGTTTTTCAGCTGCAAATGCCATCTGATGATAAATTGGAAGAGTTCTGGATTGATTTCAATGTTGGCAGTAAAAGCATTTCCTTCTATGTTGTAACGGCAGAGGATGATGAGGTGAGGATCCTGAGCAGTAGTTCTGGACATTTATTAGGCATCGTATATTCTCAGGAGGGAGGGGAGATAAACTTTTTTTCTGTGGTCAAACTGACAGGGTGATATGGCTCTCGTCAGTACCTCCTCACCTTAAGTGCTGACAGCATCACTATTCATTGATGAAATCTCCACCTCACCAGTGCGGAAGCTTGGTGTCTTGTTCAATCCTCAACTGTCTTTCAAAATCCTCATCCTTGCTATGAATTGTTCTGCCTTATCCCACCTCCACCATTGCCTCTCCCCTCAGGCTGTCAAGACCCTTGTTCATGCTTTCATTAAGTCCTTAAGCGCTCAGGGACGCTACTCTACGTGAAAGCTGCTATATAAATGCAAGTTGTTGTTGTCCAAGTTGGCGATGCTAACTCCCTGCTTGCTGAGCTTCCCAAATCTTCCCTCCACAAGTTGAACATTGTTTAGAACTGTGCAGCTTGTGCCCTCTCCTGCATTAAGCTCTGTGAGCCGATCACCCCCATTCTTCCCCAGCTTCACTGGCTCCTCATCCCCCAGAAGATTGAGTTCAAGATCCTCATCCTCACTTTTAAACCCCTCCACGGTCTTGCTCCTCCCTTCCTACCTCTGCGGCCTGCTAAAACGTTACCAACCTGTCTGTTCCCTCCTCTCGGTGGGCACTGGCCTGCCCATGTCTCCGCTCTGCCTGTGATTGGGCCTTCTGCCCCCACCCTTTGGAACTCGATCCTGGAGTCCTTTCGCCACACCCCAACCCTTGCCTCCTTGCCCGTCTCAAGACTTTCCTCTTTGACCGTGCCTTTGGTCATCTCCACCTCCTTTACCCTCCATCCCTCTTGACTCCAACCCCCAGCTCAGGTGCAAACCCTTCACTGTCAATTGCCATGGAACATCCAATGTGAGAGATGCTATATAAATGCAATTTGTTGTGGTTGTTGTTGTTAGTGCCCCAACTTGTCCTCCAATTTGGAGAGCGCTGGGAAGTGGGCTTAATTTGGATACTCTTTCAAAGAGCTGGCATGGACACCATGAACCGAATGGCCTCCTTCTATGCTGTATAATTCTATTGGTTCATATTTGCTAACGCAGCATCGTCTCTGCAACTTCTGATTTGAAGCTTTATTTTTAAGACCTCTATTAGATATGCTTGTACCTTCCCTGTTGTAATAGGAAAAGACAATTTTTTTTATTCTAAACTAATAGCTGTGAACCGCTTTGGTTTATCAGTGATGCTTGCTGTTCATCTATGGCTTGTGTATGCCTAGTCATAATTACATGTTTGTTTTGTGAGAACTTCCTGTGGGGAGGATATTTGGCAACTCCTTTGACTTTGTGAGGTCAAAGGCTAGTGGAGATCAGCTGTGAGGAGAATATGGGATAATTTTATCCACGTTTCCTTTGGAACCTGCTGAACATTTCAAAATGTATAAGGAAGTCTGGAGTAAATGTGAGTTTTGTTACTTAAGGGAAAGGTTTCTAAGGACAGGCTAGAGGGGTATCTTGGTATAAATTGGTCCAATATGTTTGAGGTTTAAAGGTGGGTAGCAGTATTTTGTATAATAGAGATAGAATTTTCATCATGAACAATAACTTTAATATTTGGAAAAGGTGGAATATGGATGTTTTGGGAATTAAATAATTGATAACCACAAATAGAATTTGTCCATGTAGAATTGCCCAGTCTTTGATTTACAGAACTGAGGACATGATTAGACTAAATATTTTGTGCTTTTCAATCGCTGTGGAATTGCCAGGAAAGTTCACTTGGAATCAGATCAGCCAACTTTATTTTTCCTGCAAAGTAAAGAAACATTAGATAATGAGTCACTTTGGATTCATGTGGTGCATTTCTTGCTATTGAGTTCAAGAGCAGCATTAAAGAAAGCATGGGATGAGGTAGTGCACCAGCTTTTTTGTTCTTGCAATAGAGTGAGAGAGCTTAAGAAAAGGAAATCAAGATCTCTGAATGGAACCTGGGCACTGTGCAGAGTCACGGTCCACTGTTTGAGATGTACATTAATATAGTGACTAACAATTCATCTGTTTCTAGTTGCTGTTGAATAAACAGCATGTTTGAAGTAGATTGAAATGTTTTGTACTTAAAGTATTAAATAACCCTGTCCCTCACTTAAAGGAACCATTGTGGGAGACAGTCTGCATGCCCAAAGAAGAAGTTGAAAATTACAGCATAGAAGGTACAAGTATATCCAAATTTTATTTAATCATTAAAGCAGAAAAAATTGTTTTTCATCCATTTTATAACAACAATTTGAAATAGAATATGATTCAAATTGATTAACAAAGATTTCTGTGTAGTAAATAATGAATCTTTTGGGTGTGGGTAATTTCAGTGGCTACAAGACTCTTTGACCTTGCCTTCGTCATCCTCCCACCACAACCCCCTTGCTCTCCATCCCTCATGATGGAGGGATGGAGAGCATCCTCAACCCGCAGCTCGGGTGCAAACTCTTGACTATCCAGTGATTTGGGACATGCTCTCGAAGTGCAGGGGTTATATAAATGTAATTTATCGTTGTTGTTGCAATATCCACATTATACTAAACTATGTCCTCCCCAATGTCTTTGGCTGCAAACCCCAGGTTGGTGAGGCAATACTGACATGAACGGTACTACATAACTAAATTGTAATGTTGTAGTCTATAATAATAATAATCCTTGCATTTGATAGACGTCTCAAAGTGCTTCACAGAATATACAGAAAAGTGAATTGACTGTGTACTTGTGGGCGAAATACGGCAGCCAATTGCACACAACAGTGTCCCACAAATAGTTGTGGATTGAAGTGACCAATTTTCTTTTTTGGGGGGAACCAAAGAATCCAGTATAGAAATAGATTGACGCACAGACAGACATTTCATCGTAATCTATATTCAGCTGGGGGGACTTCTGTGGGAGGACTTTGTTCTTCAGTTTGATTTAATGAGCCTTCTCTCTTTTGTCTAGCATTCTTACTTATTCTTGAATGGTTTGATTTTCACTTAGGCATCTCTCTGGGAGTGCCTGTGCTATGATGCTAGACTTCAGACTTAGAACCAGAAGTCCCAAGTTTGAAATCCCAGCTTGACTTTTTTTTGTAGTGTCAAGTTTGCCATTTTTGGGGTGAAGGGAAAATTGTCAAAAGAAATGTTAAAAAAAACTACTGCTGCTATTAGACAATAACTTCTAAGTTGCACAAGTGTTTCTTTGATGACATTCTGTTTAATAGACAGAAGAAGAGTTGCATACTAAACTACAGTAACTCAAAAAGATATACGTGTCCTATCTTTTTTATTCAGTTGATGTTTTAAAACCAAAGTTATTGACTATTTTGAACTGAAGATAATCATGTGTTCATTTGAAGAATTTGTTTTAGCAATGTTACAGAAGATATGAATGATATCAATTGAACACAATTGAATGATAACAGCAATTGAACACAGCACTTGCTGATGAGATCTGGAGCTGGATTGTATAGTTATGTGAATCCCTGCTAGTAAACCAATTTTCCCATTTGGTGCAACATATGATTGGAGGATTGATCTTAGTAGCCGATGAATACTTGAGTTTGAATCATCATGTTTTTCATATTAATATTTATGATTTTTTTTAAAAATGTAATGGATAGCCTGCAGTTTGCTTCCTTGTATCTACAGTATCCATGTTCTTATAGAAGTGCAAAGGTGAAGATAACTGAATGGCCTGTCATTGTAACAATTAAAGTGATTTCTTCAACTGACACTGTTGGATATGTTGCTGCAGAGCTAATTTCTTTGCTTGGCAAGCCATTGATTTACTTCATTGCAAACTAAAACATTGTGGAGAAAAGAACATATTTTCATTATTCTCTGTAGATGCATGCCTCCAGCTTGCCTGGTGGAGAAATTTATAGAGGTTGAAGCAATAGAAATGCAAGGATTAAAACAGCAATATTGGCCTGACTATTAGGTGTCTTATTCTTTCGAAGAAGTTACTACTTAAATGGACACTCTGTGAAACACAAGGTTAGCTTTGTATTGCATATACATTGTATACACGATACAAAGCTATGTATGTATTGTGGAGTCCTGTAGCTCGCCTGGCAAGCAAGAGACCTGGGTTCGATTCCCGGCAGGGTGAAACCTTGGGCAAGTTTTCTTACTCCACACACCTGATAATAATCCCTCAAGAAGAAAAAAATAATTTGGTCACTCAACCTACGACTGTTTGTGGACACTGCTGTGTGTAATTGGCTGCTGCGTTTCGCCCACAAAATATACAGCGTATTCTGTGAAGAGCTTTGAGACGTCTAGAAGATGTGAAAAGCGCTATATCAAATGCAAGGATTATTATTATCTTACCAGTAAACCAAGTTCTGTCTGTTGCTTAACCTCAGTTCTTAATTAACATTTACTATTTAGGAATCTTTACATACTGTACTTAACAAGTGATTTCATTGCTTGTGCACTTCCTTGAATTTTAATTATGCTATGCTCTTGACTAAACAGTAAAAGATGGGAAGAAGTTGCTTGCTATTAACATGAAAAATCCACTCAGAATTGGAATCAATGAAGGAATTGAGATACTGATATATTTTGATTTGACTTTGGATGTTATCAGTACTCTACAAAAGGTTTATGGTTGCAGTAAATTCAAGGTGGGTTTTTCTGCTATGATGGTTTAATTCTATTTTTTTAAAAGAAAGTATTTTTGGACCTTTGTCAAGTAGTTATTAAGATTGCGACTATAGAATAGAGGAATGTATGAAGGGTAGCTTCCTAGAGTGCTTAACAATGGTGGAGCTTGACTCCCAGCTTGTTTTGTGGGGGGGGTAAGGTGGTCGTAGAGGAAGGCTTTCAGGAATTTCAGGCATTTAATGAAAAGGTATTTAATGAAAAGATTTGGGAGGACTGAAGGATAAAATGCATGAATTTAAGATTATAATCAGGAAAGAGGGGAAAAATCTACTTTGATCTCTGCCAAACATATTGCAGAAGGCTAATTCCTGCTTGTAGAATCATAGAACAGTAGAAAGTTATCAGAATCATGGAATTATACTGCACAGAAGGAGGCCATTCGGCCCATCGTGTCTGTGCCGGCTCTTTTAAAAGAGCTATCCAAATCAATCCCGCTCTCCCCATAGCCCTGCAAACTTGTCCTCCACAAATAATTATCTACTTCTCTCTTTAAAGTTATTATCGAACCACCATCCAGTGGAAATAGTTTCTCCTTTTCACCCTATCAAATCTCTTAATTTTGAAAATTTCTATTAAGTCTCCTCTTAACCTTCTATGCTCCAAGGAGAATAATCCCGGCTTCTCTCGCCTCTCCTGATAACTGAAGTTCCTCATTCCTGGTACCATCCTGGTAAATCTCCTTTGCACCCTCTCCAATGCCTTCACATTCTTCCTAAAGTGTGGTGCCCAGAACTGAACACAGTACTTAAGGCCTAACCAGTGTTTTAAAAAGGTTCATCATAAGTTCCTGACTTTTGTATTCTATGCCCCTATTTATAAAGCCTTGTATCCCGATTGTTTTTATAACAGCTTTATCTCCCTGTCCTGCCACCTTCAAAGATTTACTTATATGAACCCTCAGGTCTCTCTGAACCTTCACCCCTTTAAGATTGTACTATCAGCTTATATCGCCTCTCCTCAATCTTCCGCCCAAAATGCATCACTTCATCTGCCCGTGTCGGCCTATTTTACCAGTCTGTCTCTGTCCTCTTGCAGTCTGCTACTATCCTCCTCACTGTTTACTACTTAGTATCATCTGCAAACTTAGAAATTGTACTCCCTATACCCAAGTGCAGGTCATTTATATAGATCAAAAACAGCAGTGGTCCCAATACCGACCCTTGGTGGATACCACTGCACACTTACCTGCAGTCAGAAAATCAACCGTTGACCACCACTCTCTGCTTTCTGCCTCCCAGCCAACTCTGTATCATGCTGCCACTGTCCCTTTAATACTATGGGCTTCTATTTTGCTTACAAGTCTCTTATGTGCACTTAAACGCCTTTTGAAAATCCATATAAACTACGTCAACTGCACTACCTTCATCCACTTTCTCTGTTACTTCATCAAAAAACTCTTATCAGGTTTGTTAGACACGATCTGCCTTTAACAAATCTGTGTTGGCTGTCCTTTTTTAACCCATATTTTTCTAAGTAAAAAATTTATTTTGTCCCAGATTATAGTCTAGAAATTTCCCCACTATTGACATTGAGCTGACTGGCCTGTAGTTCCTGAGTTTATCCTTCTGCCTCTTTTTGTACGGGGAAGTAATATTTGCAACTCTCCAGTCCTCTGGCACCACCCCTTTAGTTGAAGTCTGGACACGTGTCTGTGCCCAGTGCCATGGCACAGAAGAGGCTATTGTGTCTGTGCCACCTCCCTCAAGAGCAATCCTTTCAGTTCCACTTACCTGCCCTTTCCCCATACTCCTGTAGCTGAGTCTTTTTAAGGTAAAAGCAGTTCCCTTTTGAAGATCTGGTTTTAACAGAAAAAGCTGGGTGGCGAAAATATGCGTAATGGAGGCACAAAAAAAATGGAACAGGGGTACAAGTAAACATATCAAAAAGGAACTTGGAAAGCCTGAAAAGGTGGAAATAAGAAAAAGAAAATACGTTAAGGGCTTATAATGGACAGAAGATGGGTATAATGAAGTTGGTCACATTAGGACGGAAAGAAAAGGGAGGAAGTACAGAACAGCATTCCATGTGAGAGAGCAGCACGTGGGACCAATGTTAAGAATTGATATGATTCAAGAAATGAAGTTAATAAGGAGAGTAAATGAAATTAGGAAAAGAAAGGAAAATAAAATGTATAAAGACTGTGTCTGTGTTTGTGACTGTGGATATGTTTAATGCGCAGGGAATACCCAAAATACCCAGGGATTATAAACTAAGGTTAGAAGTTTTGACTCGGTAGTAGTTAATACAGTTTCCTCCAATTATAAAGCTACACATATCTCCCTTTATAACTTTATGAATTTGCTAATTTTCTCCAGTCTTTACTTAGAGGCGAAACCACTCATCCTTGGTATCATCTTTATAAATCTCATCTGCACCTTTCTGTGGCCCTGATTTCCTTCCTAAAGTAGGGTAACAAATATTGGACACAATACAATTAACTGCAGTCTAAGTAATTAATTATACCCTTGAGATAACCTCTTTGCTTTTATATTCTGAATCAAGACCAGAAGAATGTAATGAATCCGTCTTCACTGAAGTAGGATATTCCACATTTGTTTTGTGAAATTCAAGCAAAACATGTAAATTTTAAATTCTAGGGATTGGCAGTGAAAAACAAAACTTCAGATGCACAAACAGAAGTTAACATCATCTTACATGGAAGTAATTCTCAGGTATGTCATAGAATCATATATCAGAATTCTACAGCACAGAAGGAGGCCATTCAGCCCATCGTCTCTGTGCCAGCTCTTTGAAAAGAGCTTCTAAATCAATCCCACTGCCCCGCGCTCTCCCCATAGCCCTGCAAACTTGTCCTCCCTAAATAATTATCTACTTTCTTAAAAGTTGTTATTGAATTGGCTTCCACCACTCTTTCAGGCAATGCATTCCAAATGCGACCAACTCGCTGTGTGAAAAAATTTCTCCTCACCTCACTTCTGTTTCTTTTAACAACTATTTTAAATTAGTGTCCTCGGGTTACCGACCCACCCGCAGTGGAAATAGTTTCTCCCCCACACGCCAGTAGAATTATTTTATACGAGAGTTGTTTTTCACTTTGATATATTCAAAGACTTAAGGGGCATTCTTTCATTTGTATAATGCTGTGATGTTGACAGGCTATGGTGGTTCAAGACCAACTTTCACCACCACACCATACTGAAAAAGGATTATTGGGAAGTGAAAGAAAATTTAGTGGCAAGCCAGAATGTTTACGAACGATAGACACAGACAGTGAGGGTATTGCCAGCCGAAAACGGAACTCTATGTACCCTCCATTGGCAAGTATTATACAAGTAGTATTATATTATGCTTGCAAATATGGTAATATCTTCCATAATGTTCTATTTTATTGTAACTTTACATCATAATTATAATAATCTTCTAAAATGTTGTACCCCTTTGGGGAGATATTCCTCCTCGGTCTAGACTTACTCTATTTCCTAAAGTGTGAGGCCCAGAATTGGACACAATACTCCTGCTGAAGTCTAACCAGCGATTTGTAAAGATTGAACATAACGTCTCTTGCTTTTATACTCTATGCCTTTACAAAGCTTTTTAACAGCTTTGTCAACTTGTACTGCCATCTTCAAAGATTTGTGTATGTGAAACCCCAGGTCTCTCTTTTCCTGCACTCCCTTTAAAATTGTACCATTTATCTGCTCATTCCTACTGCCAAAATGTATCACTTCACACTTCTCTGCATTAAATTCCATCTGACATGTGTCTGCCTATTTCACCAGTCTCTATGTCCTCCTGCAGTCTGCTACTATCCCCCTCACTGTTTACTACATTTCCAAGTTTTGTGTCATCTGCAAACTTAAATGTTGCTCTCCAGGTCAATAATATATATTAAAAAGAGCAGTGGTCATAATACCAACCCCTGGAGGACCCTACTGTATACCTCCCACCAGCCTGAAAAGCAGTTCACCACTACCCTCTGCTTTTGTCAGCCAATTTCGGATCCATGCTGCCACTGTTTCCTTAATCTCATGGGCTTCAATTTTATTAGCAAGTCTATCATGTGACACTATCAAATGCCTTTGAAAGTCCCTATACACAACAGCAACTGCACCAGCTTCAACCCTCGGCATTACTTAATTGAAGAACTCAATCAAGTTAGTTAGACATGATTTGGCTTTAACAAATCCGTGTTGGTTTTCCTTTATTAACTCATGTTAATGATTTGGAGTTCATAATTTGGAATTCTTGGCCATAGAAGCATTTTCCTTGGCTCAGTTGAGAAGTCCATGATCAAGATGTGATCAGATCTGTGAAAAAAAGGGGAAGCGCAAGAGAATGAGGGAGGTTTCCAGACCACCCTCACTGTCACTCAGCACCCTGGAGGCGAAGTCAGTTTTGCAGTGAGCATGTTTCTTTGCCAGTGCCCCACAAATGAACTGGATCAAGCAGTTGGTGTTGAGTAAACCCTGTATGTTATTGGGTTGGACCCAATGAAATTTCATTTCATACCCTATCTGGGGGTTGGAAAACTTTCAATGTAATTTTCTTTTTTAAAAATGTAGCCTGCTACAGCTTCCAATCAGAAGATGTCTGAAGGAACAATGATGGTGACTGGTACGAAGAGTTATTGTGCATCAGCTGCAGTAGATTGTAAGTTAAGTAAATCACAAAGTAGACTTCTGTGTATAAAACTAGATATTTAGAATTCTTGAGTTGATCTATAATAATGAATTCATGTTTTACCGAATGTAAATTTGTTTTTGAATCATGATCAGCAACTCAAGCAAAGAAAGGCAGAGTAAAACTACCACTAGAAATGAAAAGCTCATCTGCAGGAAGCATTTCATTAAAAATCAATGAACTTACATTTGAAGAAATGGAACAGGGAAGCTCTAAACATCCTAAAACCACAGCCAGCAAACCTACAAGAGAAAGGAGCTCCAAGGTATGTGGATAACTGAGACATTGATCTGTGTGACATAAAACCATATCTATCCTTTAGGGCTAATCTCCGCTACTCCCACCCTCTCCCTTTTCCTTCCTCTCTGACATCTCTCCTCTCTTCCCTGTTTCGCTGCTCCGAACGCTGCGCATAATCGACGATTTCAACCTCCACCTGAACTCCCCTTGCACCACTTCTGACTTCACTGCCCTCCTCTCCTCCCTAAACATCATCCTTCACATTAATTCATCGACCCACAACCGTGGCCATGCCCTCGACCTAATCACCCATGGCCTTGACATTTCCAACCTGAGCATAGTGGACAAGACCATCTCGGACCACTTCCTTATCTCCTTCTCTCACAGTCCTCTCTCCTCCACCAAGCCCTCAACCATACTCTACTGCCCGTGGAAAAGGCTACCCCCTGAGACCCTCACAAAGGCTTTCACATCCTCCAATACCCTATCTCTCTGGCCTTCCACCCACAGAGAGCCTGAAGCAGCTGTCCAGCTGCTCCATGATCGCCTCTTCCACCTTCAACTCTCTCGTCCCCCTGAAATCCAGAACCATCTCCAAACCCACCCGATCTTTTTGGTATAATAGTCATCTTTGCTCCCTAAAAACCCAAGCCCGGCTGCTCGAGCACAGATGGCAGAAAACTGGCCTGATATTTCACCACCAACTGTGGCTCGAGAATCTCCACAGCTACCGCCGTTCTTTTGACGCTTGTGAAAAACGGCCTTCTACTCCAACATTATCTTGGAGGCAAAACAACAATTCCAAAGTCCTTTTTTCCACCACCCACTACCTCCTCCGTGCGTCCAGTCCCCTCAGGCCTCCTCAATCGTCACATCTAATGCCAAGTGTGAGGAGGTCATGGACTTTTCAACCAAAATAAATAATATCCGCCAGGCAGCCTCATCCTCCTGCCTCTTGTCACCTACCACCACCTCCTCTACCCGCACCAAACTCCACTCCCCAATTACCCCAGTCCTTGCCAGACTGCACTGGCTGCCAGTCCCAGAGAGGATCAACTTCAAGATCCTCACTCTTGTCTTCAAATCTCTCCACTCCTCTGCACCCCCTACCTCTCTGACCTCTCTCACTACAGTGCCTGTTGTCTTCGTTCTACCAGATCTGGCCTCCTCCTTGTCTCCTGAATCCTCCGCTCCACCAGCGGTGGCCGTGCCTTCAGCCACTACGCCCCAAGGCACTGGAACGTCCTTTGCCTTGCCCCCTCTCTTCCTATTTTCAGGTCTCGGCTGTGTTTGCCTACAAAATACAGTCACTACATTTGACAGTAATTGTTGTGAAGGTTTTCAATCTGATAAGGTACTATTGAAATGCACTTCATCTTTCTTTCCTGTCAGCTGTTAGCAAAACAATATAAATTTACCTTTATATAGTGCCTTTCACGAGGATGTGCCAAAACACTGTCTTTTGAGAAGAATTGTTCCAAATGTTGATGGATTGCCAAAATATAAATTCTTGGGTCATTGCAACTGGCTGTCCTGATCATAGAGCATCATATCATTTTTTCTCCTGTTGATCAAACATCATTTTCAGAATCTCTCCTTATATCAGCAGGCAGCAGTGGACCTTAAGATGTAAGTGGAACATCTGCTAAGTTCCAATATATCCTGCTGAGGCTTCTAAGAGGAGCTACAGGTGAGGTGCTAGGAATGAACTGATGGAAAAGGCCTTTACAGTAAACAAGTTAAAAATCTGCTGAACAGTCATCACAGTTACCTGTCAAATCTTTAGGATATCCCAGGGATGGCACTGGAACATCTAATATATTGGCTTTTCCTGGTTCATGCCTGAATAACATTGCATCAACAGCAGTCATTTGGGTGTTGATTCAGGAATGCAATTTCCAGTGAGCTTGAATATTTGGATGCTAAATTGCTGTGTATTTAATCTCTGCTGAGCAATGTTTGAAGGTGGCAGTGAAAGGTTTATGGAAAGTGCCAATACTACATTCATAGCAAAAAAAACTCAAGTTTGGCTACTCATTTTCCACAAAAGGTAAATAAATTATAAAGGTTGGTGTAATTAATAATGTTATTTCTGTATTTCTTGCAGAAGATTAGTGCCAGCAAAGTGGCAGAGATGTTGCAGGAGGTTACAGCTTCATATCGTAAGGAGAATGTTCTGTGATTCAAATCAAACTGATGATATTTCAAACACATATATAATTGTCATTAATATATGTATATAACTTACTTTTCAGACAAACCAGGTGATATTATTCCAGATTCTCAGCCTGTGGGATTCAAAGCAAAGCCTGTGTAAGTCTTCAGATTGTATTATCAGTATATGAGGGGAAAGATTCTAGCACAACATTTGTAGACTAATGCTGTGGACTTAACTTTGTATTATATTTGGTTAGCCAAGTATCTGATGTGTGTTGAATCCCATCAATCTGCCAAATCAAAAATTTGGAGTGTAAAATACTGCAATTGATGGTGCTACACCGGTGAAATTCTGTAGGGCTCTTTTCCAACATTAAATGTCACATTAGCAATATAAAAATCCTTAATTGACCCTCATTGATATGACCAAATGCTGTGGACCATGTTTTCTCTCTGAGTTCTGTCATTTTAGATTGCTTTAATACCAGTGTCCATTTTGACGGTGAGGTCTTGGACAAGCATACTAAAGGCTGATGTAGAAGGATAGTTTGAAAAGCAGATAAAATAGAGACCATGATCCTTTATCTAAATAATTTCTATTTCAACCATTAGATAAACAACAGTTCTATCTTCTGATATTACACCACCTCTTATCAGATCCTTCTCTTCCCAGACAACAAAATATTCCTTGTATTTGAAACAGCATCTTTCACATCAGCAGCTCATTTCAAAGTGCTTCATGGGATTCACTGTAAAGTGTGGCGACTGAGTATTTTCAAGGCAGATGTGGCAGTTAATTTACAACACCATTCCACAGAAAGCCATGAATTGAATGACTAATTATATCTGAGGGATTGTTAGTTTTCCCGGGAGAAAAACACCCTTTTGTTTTTGAATAGTGCCTTGGGATCTTTAATGTCCACCTGAACAGGCAGACGGGACCTCATTACATCTCATCCGAACGACAGAACCTTTGACAATCTCAATACTTATCAACCTAGACCTTCTGAGTTCAAAAACCTCGAAATTCATACTTAAATGTTTACTTATATTTATGTTAAAAAAAGTTTGTATCCATTTCTAGAAAAATTAGTTAATTCATTTATTTTTAGATTACCTGGTCTTATTGACAGTAAGTCGGTATTCAAGAAGTGTTGGATTTCTGATAGTCCTGTTTCGAGCTGCAGTACTCAGGAAAAGCGCACCTCCTGTCTGGAATACAGTTTTCAGCAAGGTAGTTTTTTCCTGTTGAATAATTAATACCTGTCTTGATTATTTTTATAGTACATTATCTTTCCTGATTATGGTAATATTGTCACAATTAAAAATACTGTATCAGCATTTTAGAATCTATTAGTTTTACCACTAATATCATGATTTCAAATCTCCCCCTCTCTCTCCCTCCCCCTCTCCCCCCTCCCTCTAACTTCCCCTCTCTCTCATTCCCCCTCTCTCTCATTCCCCCTCTCTCTCACTCGCCCGCCCGCTCATTCGCTCGCCCTCTCACTCGCTGGATGCGGTCCGTGGACCTTTCTTAAATAGGGAATGCGGCCCATGGCAACCATTAGCTTGGACCACCCTGCTCGAAGTTAATATGTTTTCCTATTTTAAAACTAGATAACGGAATTGTTAAACAGCAATCATTCTACTCAATATTTGATGGCAAATCACCAATCCAGGAGGTGCAGAACAATTCTAAAAATCTAAAGAGGAAAAAGATGGAACAGCAACTGACAGAAAAATTGGAGAAGATAACTCCAGGAAAAAACAATAAAAAAGGAGGAGCAGAAAGTTACTCTACCAAAAGAGTACAGCATTGCCTGGATACTAAATTATCCCCAGAACTTTCTACAGTTGAAACACTAGCATTGGACTCAGACTATAAGACAAAATGCACCGAAACCTTAACTTCAGGTTATTGCATTAGAAGATCAGAAGTGGCTAACGGTAAATTCGATGACATTTGTCAGAGTACTATATCTAATAAACAGGACGGTCCAAAGAGAGACAGCTGCTCAAAGAGATTTGGTGTGGATTTAACTTGTAAAGAAGATGAGACTGAAGATGATCAGGTAAGGGAAAGCAATCTGGCGGCCCACTATCTCCAATGAGACATCTTATATGGACGTGACTCGTGAGAGCCCCATGTCAAGGGGAGACCATGGGAGAATGTGCCAGATTTTCCAACAACTAAGGGATCCTAAATCAAAATAATCATTATTTTATAAGGACATGACATTACAAGGGAACTAGCTTTCCTCTGACACCTGGGAGGCTTCCTGTTCTGTGACCAATTTGTTTCCCTACAGAGACTAATCTTTCACTTAAATGAATGTAGACAGTTTTTTTTTACTCTCAGAGATCACACTATATTTTGAAATCTCTATCAAATGAAACTTACTCAGACAATAGCTTCCTCACAGGGATTCTCTACATTGGTTGGTTACTATTAACCAAAGAGTCCTTTGAAATGTTCCGTTGGTGGTCCCAATATCTCCAGGGTGCCACTCTATCTAGCTACTTTAAGTAACATTCAAGATGTTTCTCTCACTGGATGGGGAGTAACTTCATAGTCAAAGGTCACTGTTACTACACAACAGAAAGCAGTGATAGCAGTCTGGCTAGCGTTGTGTCTTGTGATGTCCTACTAATGTGAAAGGTATTATACAAATATAATTTGGTGTTGCAAACTTTCCAGCACGCAGTCAGCAGCACATCAATAAATTTGTGTATTGACAACTCATCGGTGGTATTTTGGGGCATAAACCATTAAACAAATCAAGCCTCGTCTTTAATTCCATTTCCCTTCCTATACTCAATCATATCTTGGCATTCTTACCTTATCTTTTAAATCGACTTGGTACCTGCAACCTTTTGAGGCAATCTCTTCCACCTTGCTGCAACAATATCTGCAATAATATTTTCTGTTTTGTATTCTTAGCTTTACTTTGTCAATACCAAAATTATTTTGAACACTTCAATCTGATGATTCAGGGTTGAATCCTTTCAGGTATCGTGATAGTGAATTGTTGCTGGATTTCCTCCACAATCATAATAATAATCCTTGTATTTGGTATAGTGCCTTTCATGTCAGGAGGACGTCCCACAGCGCTTCACAGGAATTACTGTGAAGTGGAGTGATATTGTATTTGTGGACGAACATGGCAGCCAACTTGCACACATACCAATATCCCACAAATAGCCATGAAGTGAATGACCAATTTTATTTGGCGGTTGCTGGCCAGGGTACTGGGAGAAATTCCCTTTTCTTTTGGAATAGTGCTGCGGGATCTTTAACGTCCACAAGAACAAAGGACTTCTTTAAAATAGAAGAAATAAAAGTTTTTCTTTCTAGATTATTTAGTTTACAGAACTACAGAGGAACAAAGTGGGATTTTGCAGTTTTGAGATAAATTGCCTGAGGCTTTTAGAAAAATCATTTTTGTGTTAATTGCTGATTCTGGATAGCTTGAGTAATGTGATACTATCTTATTGCAGAGGGAAAATGATGATGAGAACGAAAGCAATACTATTACTCAAACAATGATTAAAGAAATTGCAGCAAAATATAGAAAAACAAGAGAAGCCCCATTGGCAGATGAAGATGTGAATATGTTAATCCTCAGTAGGTAAGTTTATGTCCTTGTAAAAAATTTCAGGTATAGAAACTGGATTCTGCATGGATACAAGAATGATTTTCATGTTTTTTTAATGTTTGTTCAAGATTGACACAGGCATATAAAACAAGAAAAGGTTGTCTGATTTATCCTTGGTCCTGTTTACTCAGTATCTAGTACCTCTACTCCACCAGGCCCAAGAGCACAAAGACCTTAGAATATTTGTTCTCAATTTACATCTATTGCTGTTGCTAAGCAGGTACCCTGTAAGTAGTATCGTCATCCACAGTGTTGCAGTTCTCTAAAGCACTGTTGATGCTCCAGGACAAGCGCTCCCGGACCCTACCCCACGTAAAGGACGCTATATAAATGCAAGTTGTTGTTGATAATGGACCAGTCAGCTTGGTTCATTAGCGAGATTTGCCACTTAGCACCTATTAACCCTGCAACCCAAAACCCTAAAGGACAGGATTCAATAGGAAGACAATCAGTGTTGGTAATAGTAAGATGTGTGTTTTAGCTAGTCCCATTAACTGGATATCTGCACTGAATGAGCAGTGCTAAAAAATGTTTTTTTCACTTGATTTCTGCTAGTGTTTCATTCTGTAAACATCCTAATTTTGGTTCCAGTTCACTCCTACCACTATCTTTTCTTCCAACAACGTGCATTTATATAGCACTCTTCATGCAGCGTAGCGTCCCAGAGCACTTGACAGTGGCGGAACCTGATATCAAACTGGGGGGAAGGGGGAGGTAACCATAGTCATGGTTGAAAAGGAAGATTTTCAGGCGCGACCTGAAGATGGGGAAGCAAGGGGCAAGGTGAAAGGATAAAGGGAGCGTGGCCAGAATTTCAAACCTCGCTCAACTTGTCCTTCTTTAAAGGGATAAAGCGAGTTCCTGTTATATTTAGAGGTTGAACTTTGAAAGAATAAGGAAGACCAAGTGTATTTAACATTTGTAGATGTTTATTTTTACTTTTCTATTTTGATTTTCCAGATCTCACTTGGATAAATCACAACCACTCAGTAATAAGCTTCCAAATGTAAGTAACAGGTGAACCCTTTTTTTACAAAATTGTTCTAGAATTACTTTTGCAAAATATGCAAAATCAAAGTGAAAGTTTTAGAATAAGACTTGTTTTCAAAAGGATTTAGTTTTGAAAATATGTCTTAATCCAAGTCTGCAAGTCATCTTTTTTGACTTATTAATGGCCGTAGTTTACTTCATAAGTGCTTTCCAGTAGAATTGTGGAATCCTGTAGCTTAGTGGTTAGAGCACTTGCCTCGCAAGCGAGAGGACCTGGGTTCGATTCCCAGCAGGGCGAAACGTTGGGCAAGTTTCCTTACTCCACACTCCTCTGTTTACTTAGCAGTAAGTACGTACAGGCTGTGTAAGTAAGGAAGGCAAAGCTCACCCAGCCTCTGAAGACAGAACTTGTGCAAGATGCTTTTTCACAAATGGATGATAGTCAGTATCATAGTGTAATGAGGGGACTGAACTTATTCAATGAGGAAGACCATTTAAAAAGGAGATTATATGTAAATGCTGCTCCTGCAATCTTCTTTGAATACTCGCATGAAATAATCAGAACTGTGTTTAACATTTAAAATATCCTCCATTAGTACATATTTTGTTTCTCATCTGAGCCAAAGACTTGTAGAATCCGAGGATGGGTGGTGCTCATGTTATTCAGGCACCAGGGTCATAGTCAAATCAAATCAACAGAGTATATGAACTGCATATTATTATTTAATGAATATTTCTGCTGGCTTGCAATAAGATTTCAAAACTGTTAATATATTGATCATTCACAAGCAATGTTTAAACAGGAAAAGAACGCAAAAAGAGGATCTAGTAAAAAGCAAAGGGTGACTGCTAAGAGCAAAATGAAAGATCGGTATGTATTAAAAAATCTTAAAGTCATGGTTTCTAATGCAGTCATTGCTTTAAATAAAGTTGTGATACTTGTGCATGATAGAAGGAACAACAATCAGCTGTAATGTTGTTTCCTATATAAGTGACTTTTAACGCTTCTAAAATCATATTGGATTTATTTCTGAAATGTAATCTGGAGGAAGATGGGAATATACATGACCAGAAAAGGTGTTTGTGGTACATCTATCTGACTGGTCCCAATGAGTCCCGTTGAATTAGGCTATTCATTGAAATGTAGAAATCTGCAGCGCAGAAGGAGGTCATTCAGCCCATTGAGTCTTGACAGAACAAGGAGAACAATTCAATCCCACCATCCAGCCTTATCCCCATACTCCATCAAGTCCCTCTCTTCATTTGCCTGTCTACTTCCCTCTCGAAAGCCATCACTTTACTACCTGCAATATTTTTGAACCATCATGTTTCTTTATGACATTAACACGATAAATAACATTTCCTGCTTAAAATTTAGTTTTAAAAAAATGTTAACTTGGTGTATCATCACTAGAATTCCCATAATGATGCAAAATACCTTAAAAGGTGGTAGTCATTCCTTGTTTTTTGCTACATCTTGACGGTGCCTTCACAGTGGAGGAAATCAAATGGTGGATAATATTTGTTTTACACCAATTAACTTACGGTTTGGTAAATCACAGGGTGAGTTATTGAAATATTTTTTCCAAACTTGGTTTATACCCAAGACACTGGATTACAGTAAATGATTTTATGTTTTTTGGAAGTTGTCTGTTTTTGTGGATGCCTACTGAATTAGCGCTCTCCTGTCTTCAGCACAACTGATGTATACAATTTTGATGCCAACTCGATAGATGAACCCACTATAAAACTAGGGGTAAGTCTGCATAATTGTATTTGTCCTGGAATGATTTAAAGTTTCTGTATGTGCTCAGTATTCTTTACTAATGAGTGACAGTGGAGGGGTTTTAGTTCAAGGTTCTCCTCAATCAGCAACTCTGTTGTTGTAAAATAAGGTCAAGAAATTATTTATTTTGCCCCCATGAGGATATATTGAAGATCTACTGTATTGAATCGCACATAGAGGTGTTGTTAAATTTATTTCCGTTGTGTCAAGAAGCAGCTCTCCTAAATCCCTTCGCTGGTGATTGATTCCCTCATAATATTCCCTCCTATTCTCCCTGCCCTCCACCCTCCCTTATCTCAACCCCCACGTCCCCGCTTGGGTCCAAATCCCTGACTGTCCAGCACCTTGGGAAGTCCTCCCAATGTAAAAAGCACTTATACAATTGTAATTTTGTATTGTATGTCAATGGTGCAACAATGTTTGGGGGAAAATATTTTGTGTCTTTAGCTCTAGGTTGCGTTCAGTATAGTTGACAACTCCATCCTTCTCCACCATTTCTCCTCTCTGCTTGAAATATAATGGCTCTGTCATTTCCTGGTTTCACTCCTTTCCATTCCAGCTTCTTCGCTTAATCAGTGATTTCTGCTCCCACCCCGCAGTCACATACAGAATTCCTCAGAGATGTATCCAGGCTTATGTGGCATCATTAACATGACAATCGGGTTTCTATGCTGTCCACAGTACAGAAACCGCCCTGGTCAAAGTGACAAATGACATTCTGTCCATCTGCGACCAGGGCTCCCTCTGCCTCCTCGTCCTGCTCAACCTCTCATACACGTATTTGTTACCTTAAGGCTCGACTCATTGACGTCTCTGCTGTCTTCGACACCGTTGACCACTCTATCCTCATCCACTACCTCTCCTCTTACCTCAACTATCATGGCTCCGTCCTGTGAAAGGCGCTATACAAATGTAATCTTGTTGTTGTTGTTGACTGGTTCAGATCGTACTTCTCACACTGCCTCCACTTCATCTCCACAAATGGACCTTCACATCTCCTCTAGCCCCTGCCCCGTCTCGTGTGGCAATCATCAGGGCTCTATCCTTGGTCCCCTCCTCTTCAACATCTATATGCTCCCTCTTGGTGACATCATCCGCAGACATGGGGTCAACTTGCACATGTATGCCGATGACAACCAACTGTACCTCTCTGCCTCCATCCTTGACTCCAGGGTTACTGCTGTCCTGACAGAATGTCTGTCGGACATCCAAGTCCTGCATGAGAGCTAAATTTTCAGTTGAACGTTAATCAGGAGACCGAGGCCCCTCCTGATTTGCTCCCGTCACCGCCTCCACACTTCAGGTGCTGACAACACTTCCATCCATGGATGCACACTCCACCTTACTAAGCCAGTCCGGAGCCTTGGCGTCTTGTTTGACCCTCAGCTATGCTTTCTACCCCACATCCGTGCCATGATCCGCTCTGCCTTCCCCCACCTCTGCAACATCACCCGGCTCCACCACTGTCTCACACTGCAGGCCACCGAAACCCTCATACACACATTCATTACACCGTGGCTTAACTATGCAAACTCCTTGCTTGTCAGCCTCCTCCTGCCGTGTCCTCTCCCGCACCGGGCTCTGTGACCCTATCACCCCCAATCTCGCCCAACTCCATGGGCATCCCATCACACAGAGGATACAGTTCCAGATCCTGGTCCTCACCTTCAAAGCTCTCCATGGTCTTGCTTCCCCCTACCTCTGCGACTTCCTAACCCCCTACCATCCTGCCCGCACCCTCCGCTCAGTGGGCTCTAGCCTGCTTCATGTCCCCGGCCTCACTCACCCTACCATTGGCAGACAGGCCTTCTGCCACTCTGCCCCCACCCTCTGGAACTCCATCCCTGAGTTCTTCTCCCTTGCCTCCTTCAAGACCTATCTCAAGACAATCCTCTTTGACCATGCATTCGGTCATCCTGCTTGCCCCCCTGCCCTCCACCCTCCCCAATCCCGACCCCTAGTTTGGGTCCGAAACTCTGACTGTCCAGTGCCTTGGGACGTCCTCCCGACGTGAAAGGTGCGATACAAATGTAATTTTGTTGTTGTTGAAAGTAATTAGATATTTTTTGCAGGAGCTTTCAGCCACACTCTATTTCCACATTTGGAAAGTTGTACAAAAACTGTAAATAAAGCGTTGAAGAATGCAGATTGAGTGATATGAAATTAGAGTGGATCGCTCCAGGGGAGCAATCCCACTAGAAACCTGATGGACTAAGTAAGCATCCTTCTGTGCTGAATACAGGATACAGGATGATCTTGGATTCTACAATCAATTAAAACAGATTAAGGAGAAAAATAGGAAGATTTACAGAATAGGGACGGTTTGGCCCAATACCAGACTACGCAGAATCAGGTTATAAAGAGAGAGAATAAAAAATGGCAAGGGAAAATGGAAAAGGACAAGGCAGGAAGTTCATGGGTAACTGGGAAATCCCCACCTTAAATGACCTTAACAAAACTGATACAATACGGTTCAAAGTCAGGGAAAGAAGCCCCACTTGCTGAGTAAATCTATGTTTCTTGTCATTTCGTAGGTAAAGTTCACAGCCGGATATCAGCAACCAAGGACTACTATGAATACGATAAAGTATGTTTGCAATTGTTCCGTTTATTAAAATATGTTAGAAAGCAATGTGAAAGTTAAATTCATTAGTATTCTAAAACATTTTTGTTCTTTATTCTTCTGATTTAATGATTTGCAGACAGCCTAAAGAGCAAAATATACAAAAGAGTCTTACAAGAAAGGAAGAGGAAAATAAGGTGAGTTAATTTGGCAACAGGCTGATTAATTTAAAGCAAATATTCTGGGGAGAAATTTCACCAGGTTCCAGATTTACTCTATTTATGTAACATTTTGGAGCATCTGAAATTTGGCAGGCTCTTGATTACAGCTTTAAGTTTGAAACCAGTTTTCTATAAGTTCTTTTAAGAACTACAGAATACCAGTTTTAAGTTAACACTTAATTCAACAGTTTGCCAAACACTGAACCTTCTAAAATGCAATATAAATCTAGACCTGGGTGGAATTTTTGCGACATTATTTTGGTGCTATTTGTTATGTTCTCAATACTCAATTTGTAGAAAACTCTTATTCTCAGCTCACAAGTTACAAATCAAACAATCCAAAACCCTCTAGGCAGTTCGCCCTGCTTATCTACCTCCTGATCCCCTCTCATTGGTCCTAGTTAATTGGTCCTTATTTTCTTAAAGGGTAGATTTATCAGTCTCCAGAGAGCACCTTTCTAACAACTTCACTAAACAATTTATCACATAGCATTTAATGAACTTAATACTTCTGTGATTCTTTGACTGGTTTGGATCCAGCAGAATCTCCTATGACTTTTGTAGAATAAAACCAGAAAAGCTGGAACTCCAAAGCTGTTTCTTAAAAAATTGTATCTTAAAAAGAAAGATAGGTTAATATTTTGAAATGAAGAATTGAAACCCCTGTGTATGGGTGAAGGACAGCAAACAAAGAGGAAGACAGGCAGAAGCTTAAAACAAATGACTTCTGGAGACAGCTTAAGATACTAACAGACTTTGAAATGTCATGAAATAGAAGCCCAAGAAATCCATAGAAGAGGCAGTAGGGAGTCCTGCAGCTCAGTGGTTAGAGCACTCTCTTTGCAAGCGAGAGACCTGAGTTCAATTCCAGGCAGAGGGCGAAACCTTGGGCAAGTTTCCTTACTCCACACAGAGCCTAATAATAATCCCTCCAAAAACCCAAAACAATAATAAATTGGTCATTTTCAATCTACGACTGTTTGTGGGACGTTGCTGTGCGCAATTGGCTGCCGCGTTCGCCCACAAATATACAGTCAATTCACTTTACAGTGTGTTCTGTGAAGCGCTTTGGGACGTCCTCCCGACGTGAAAAGCGCTATATCAAATGCAAGGATTATTATTATTATTATTATTAGTAAGGAAGTGTGAAACTCCAGTACAGTGTTTGGAACACATTGGTATGACAGACCCTGATTGTTGATATCCAATAGTTGTATATTCAAATATGCTAAAACTCGGAGTTGGCAGATTGAATTTGCTATGATTGAACTTGCTGAAAATGGGATAAGTCCCATATTAAAGTCCGCTCAAAATCCCAATGATAAAATCAGAGTGCACAATGCCTACTTGAGTGCCCAGAAAATATTTTGCTATATTGAGAACATGACTTGATTAATGGGTGGATTTGATGTGTTCTGCTTCAAACTGAGACGATAAACAGTACTTGAGCCTGGTTAGTGATTGCTTACTCTGTAAACTCTTGTCTGCAGCCTGCAGGGCGAAAAAACAAAAAGCGCTTCTTCACTGATACAGACACTGATGGCAAAACTGATATCAGTTGGCTGCGAGAATCTAACAGAAAACCCAAACGGAAAATGATAGCTTATGGCAGACAAAGAAAACAAAACGTAACTGAGAACACAAATGAAGGTAACATGAACATAGTATGAAAGTAAACTCCTGATAACTCGTCACTTCAAGGAGAAAAGGCTCAGTGCCGAGTTATCCGGAGTGGTGATTTAGGTATAGGTCCTCCCGGGCCATAAGGAGGTGCTGTGACTAGTGCGGACGCTTAGTGGAGGTTGGATGCGCATTCTCAGATGCATTGTAGAAGCGTTTGGTTTGTTGGAGTGGCCTCTGCCTGTCTCAGGATATACAGGGAGGCAGGGCAGGGGGCGTCCAGTAGACCAACCTCTGCTGAGTGCCCACACCGGTCATAGGATAGGGCACCATCTTATAGGATGAATTACTCAATCAATTTTGCATTGTAAGTACTTAGAAGAATTTCTAGCATGCAACTAGTTATGTGTTAAGAAGAGTGACAAGTAAAGCGGAGCCCCTTAACATTTTGTATGGGAAGCAACTGGGATATTGACAGCGTGGCTACATAAGTGGTAGTGACCAGTTAAGCCAATGTCTTATTATCAAGAATTTACTGTATTTTTGAAAATCACTTTCTAAGATGAAATTCCCAGTAATGGGAATGGACCTGCTTGCTGTTTAAACAGTTTTATTAGAATTAAAAGGTAGACCTGGTTTGAATGTGTCTGCTGAATGTTTTTTATGAAGGATAGTTGGATTTTAAGAACCTGTGGCCTGTGTGGCCATCTTAGTCATATGACCACTCTTTTGTGCAAAGTCTTCTGAAGACCACAGAATGGTTCAGGTGAAGAAGGTAAGACTTGGTGGAATTTTGGGCCTCTGACTTCTACTTTTTTACATATTCTAATTATATTCAATAAATAGTGCTGAGATCACATCTTATATTTGACCTTTTTAAATATTGTACTGATTATATTACAGAAGGTCATGCAATTCCACACAAGAATAAAATTGAGAAGAAATCAAAGCTCAGGAAGGTAGGCAATATATTTTAAAAGGAAAAGTAGTCTGCTTCCAACAAGTCCAGTGAAAATCTGCTGTTTTCACGCAGACAATGAAATGGTTGCTGGAGATGTCTCGGGTAAGTGTACTGGCCAAGTGTCAATGAAAGCAATGGCGTCATATTTCCTATGCTACACAAACCACTTTCAGTAGATCTATTTTGTTCATAGACAAAAATGTTTCAGTTAAAAAGTGAAGATAAAGTTCAGTGCACAAGGTGTTTGTGTGTGTGTATATATTAAAACACAGAAAACCCATGTGGATTATTCGATATGGGGCTCAAAATTCCAGATAGTTCATTATATAAATTAAGTTCATTGACGTAATTTGGGGACTTCATAGGAAATCAAGTGTTAGTTGTACTTCATAAATCCCTAATAGACACTAGAAATGCTAGAAATCTCAGTTGAGGGAATAACTTTTTGGATGAGTTGACAGGTTTTTTACAAGCTGGCTGTAAAAGGAGGAAGTCACGCAACATGGAATATTGCAATCTTCTTTACATCGAGTTATTCACTGTTGCATGAAAAAAGTTTAATTCTAAGAATACCTTTCAATTGTTGTGCCCTGTTATTTGAAACTTCTCTAATTTCCTCTGCCTCGCAACCTATTTCTCTACAGTTCGACAATTCCCACCTACCTCTTCCTGCCCCTCCTTCCCTGGCTTGGTTTATGGCACTGTCTTTGTAAAGAGCTACAAGACATGATTGTATGTGTAGGACACTATATAATGTAAGTTGTTGTGTTTTAACAGAAGTCTGATGAGTTAGAAGCCAAATTAATACAAACGCGGCCTGAAAGGAAACCAGCAGCTTGTCGCCCACGGAGAAAAACTGCTGTACAAACATGTTACAGAGAGCTATCAATGTCTGAGCTTGATAGTGATCAAGAGTCCTTCACCTTCTCTCCTCGGAGAGAAAGAAGTATAATCAAGGTAAAGAAAAATACTTGTATTTTATTTCAGGAAGGAACTTCATGTTGATGGGTAATATAACCATGGTCAGCAATAGGTGCCTATATAAAAAAACCAATCTTTGCATTTGATATAGTGCCTTATCACGTCTTTGAGACGTTTCAAAACACTTCACACAATATACTGTAAAGTGAATTGACTGTATATTTTGTGGGAGAAACGCAGCAGACTATTCTGCACAGCAGTGTCCCACAAACAGTCGCAGATTGAATTAACAATTTTTTAAAAAAAATCAATTTAGGCTTTCCTCTGAGGCTCATCCATTGTCTCTAATCTGGACTTTTTGAACTTCTGATTTACAAGGCTCCTCTCACTGTTTTGCTCTGCAGAATAAGAATCTGTTTACTGGTTTAATGGAAGCAGCTTAGAATTTAATTTAGTGAGATTTTCAAACAATATTAGAAAATATGCAAAGCATTTTGCTTTAATAATTAAAGAGTGAAAAAAACAAAACCTGAGATGAGGGAGTTTTGGCTGATTTTTGTTTATACTTTTTCTCAGCACAAACCAGAACCAACTAAACGAGTTTCTAAGAGCAACAAGAGGGAAGCTACCACGCCAATTGTTTCTACAACCCCTCATGAGCTGTCACGTTATAAGAAGATAGAAGACTTCCGATTCCTCTCCTTTCCAGCAGTCTCATCAATTGAGAAGTTAAGATGTGAGAGTTCTTTAGTTTATGTAGAGATAATGCAGAGAAACTGAGTATGCAGCCTCAGCATGCACTTCTTTAACACAGAAAGATGGTAATAGTGACATGGGACAAAAATTGACATTAATAATTGCAGTCAGAGTTTTTCCCATCAGTTAACACAATGAATTTCAGTAGGAGCTGAATTATAGAATTAATATATAAGTAATACAACCTGAAATTATATTAGATTATACCCTTTGACTTTACTGTATAGATTATTATAGACATTATAATAATAATAATAATAATAATCCTTGCATTTGATATAGCACTTTTCACGTCTTCTAGACGTCTCAAAGCTCTTCACAGAATATACTGTAAAGTAAATTGACTGTATATTTGTGGGTGAAACGCAGCAGCCAATTGCGCACAGCAGTGTCCCACAAACATTAACTGTTACCTAACCTATTTTGTAGACAAAAGGCAAAGTACTTCAGATGCTGGAAATCTAGTGCAAATACAGAAGTCGCTGGGAACACATAACAGGTCATGCAGCATCCATGGAGAGAGGAAAATGAGTTAACATTTCAGGTCTATGACCTGATGAAAGGATTTCAGTGATACCACTCACAAACCATTTAACATGCCATAAACACTGTGTGTACACCTTCAGCAAAACTGCCACACATGTGTGATGAGCTTGTTTAGGGCATAGCTCATCAACGATAGGAGATTCCCCCGCCAAACAGATGCCTATGACAGGATCCATTCAAGACCTTTCTGATGAGTTATAAATCATGTCTATGTCAATCGGGTATTGCATTAATGGTAGACAGACAGACATTTCGTCTTAATTAATGTAGTTGTATCTCTCTAGAAGGGTATGTGATTTCTACTGTCGCTACTTTGTTGCAGAATACTATGTCTTCCTCATATTTTGGGGCTTAATTAAAGCATTTTTTTGTATACCTCATCAAAGATAAGAGATTCCCCCCCAAAACAATATGCCCATGACACTCCCCTATGCAAGACCTTTCCAGCAAGGTATAAATCATGTCTCTCGGTTATTGGCGGACACACAGACAGACATTTTGTCTTTATTAGTATAGAGCATATATTTAACCAACTTTGTAGATCTGCATTGGCTTGTTTTCTTGCTGCGGTTTTAAATAGGAACCTGGTTAATATAATTACTGTATTAATACCTTTACCACTGTGCAAATAATGATTATGCTCAAATGGTTCATTCTTTGTAGATAAAATGTGCAAGATATTTAAGTGCCTGGAGGAATTTGTTTCACTTTGTTTAGTTTTGCCTCATTAGAATTATAGAAGTTGCTTTTGGCCTTTGATCTTAAACTGATCTTAAACACCAGTTTGTCCATTGGAGTTTATTACTCTAATCCCAATTCCCTGTTATTTCTCCAAGCCATTTATATTTTCCAGGTAACTTTTTTAATTTAGTTTTTCTTAAAATATTTATCTTCAAGAAATGCTCTTTCACATCCTCTGGTATCCCTATATTACTGCTTTCATTGGTTAGACTCCAGCAGCAACAGCAACAACTTTCATTTATATAGAGCCCCTTACGGAGGATAGCATCACAGAGCAGTATCCCAACGCACATTCTGGGGTCCCCAAGACTTGGCTCTTGCCAATCTGCGCCTAATACTTTACAGAATTAGATAAGCAGGATGCATCCATTCCAACAATCTAGCTCAATAATTTCCATGTGTAAGTGGAAAGCATGGAATTCTCAGTTTGGTTTGGATACTCTTAAGCATGGTGATGGGTTTCCGTGTTTGTCAGACACTTGGCTGACCTCCCTGCCCCCCTCCCCCCCAAAAAATGCAACTTTCACCTTTTTCATAAAATCAAAGCAAAGTACTTCTTAGCATCTGTAATTTCTTCATTTTAGATAAAGTGTGTTCCCTTCATCTCTCAGGGGAAATGCTCTGAGGTAACTTGGATTAAAGCTGTTCTAAGATTGGCCTTTCTAGTTTGATTTTTTTATGTTCGTGGTTTCCATTTCAGTGACATTTAGGAAACTCAGATTACTTAATATCTGTATTGAAATATTTGATTTCAGATGAAGAGATGTCTGAACCAAAAAATTTGACTAGCTGCTCATCACCATTGGAATCTGAGCCTTCTATGCAATTGGACTCTTCACCAGAACTGTTACGTGCTCCCAGTACCTCAAAAGGAAAAACAGCTATGAAATTCCATAAGTCAAGGAAAAGTTTTGCGAAGTCAATAACACCGCAGAGTTCACCAAGCCAATCAACAACAAAGAAAAAGTGCACCGCTGAAGATGTGTCATCTGATTTAAGCCTGAATTCCCTGGTATTGCTGCTTTTATATTTTAATACAACTGTAATCCTTGCATTTGATATTGCAGTTAAAATGTCTGTAAATATTTCATAGGTAATTCCTGTCAAATGCAATGACTGTCTCTTTGTAGGTAAAGTGGCAGGCACAAACAACCAACAAGCGAAACACATTGTTGTTTCAGAGAATCAGCACAGCACGGTTAGCCGCCTTCTGGCTGTAAGGTTCAGTGGTTAACTCACAGAACAGCCTGTTCAATTCTGTCCGGTTTGATTACCGCACAGAACAGCCACTAAATCAGTGAACAGGGAACTGAATAAGCTCCTGAACAGCAAAAAATTAAGTGATACAAGAAGAGAGCTGGAAAAAAGTTAGAAAAACATGTAAAAGTGGCAAATATATCATCACCCCCCCACACACACACCCACTGTGCAGAATGTCTATATTTTGGAGAGCTGTTCTTCAAAGGACATGATTATATTGATTATGATTGAGAAATCTTGGTGGAGGCGAAAACTCTTAATTTAAGACAAGGGCTGGATAGAGTGGGAGATGTAAAGCAGTGGCAAGAGGACAATAAAAATTGAAGCTCTTGTTATAATATTATGTGCCCTCATGTTGCTGATGCTTTTCTCTGGTGTATTGTAGCCGCAAGTGATCCCATCAGTGTTACAATCTTGTGAAGTGGATGAAAAGATTGAAGAAGATGAAGATCTTTATCGGGAATCTCTTACAAAGAATAATGAAGAATGCATCAGTGTTGATAAATTTCGATCACCTGAAGGATCAGCTTACACAGCAAGATCATCAAGTAACTCTTCATTAAAAACTAATTTGAGCAAGAAGATTGGCGCAACAACCGGTGAGGTACACATAGTGGTTTTCTATTTCCAGCTGCATTGTCTCATGGATATATTTCTTTGATGAGTCCCTTTGTTCTTCAGCTCCTTGTAAGATTCTCCCCTCTACCAATTTGTGTATGTATATGCGCTATATCAAATACAAGGATTATTATTATTGTTAAGTCATTCATATACTGTATATGGAAAAAAAGCAAGGCCCCACTCCTGTGGCATGTCCCTAACTACCTTCCTCCACCTGGAAAAATAACCGTTTAGCCCTACTCTCTGCATTCTATCCTTCAGCCATCTTTCTATTCCAAACTGCCATGTTTTGCTCCATTCCATAACACCTGAGTTTCTCCACCAGTCTTCTGTGTGGCACCTTTTATGCGCTCCCAAACAACACCAATGTACTTTTCTCCAGTCCTCCACCCTTAGCTCTGAGTCTTGCCTTTCCATGTCTATTATATAGAATCTAATTATGATTGCTATTCTCTGACTGTTCCCCCACAGCCAGATTAGTTACTTGGCCCACCTTATTTACCAAAACTAAATTTAGTGCTGCCTCCAACCTTGGGCTGTCACAAATTGCTTAAGAAAGCTGTCTTGGATACATTCTCAAAATACAATGCCCTTCAATACCACCCTTATTCCAGAAATCTTGGGATGGTTAATGACCCCCATTATTACCACTGTTATAGTAGCCATGTACTTTTCTAAACAGCCTATGAATTTTGTCAATCTCCTTGCCACACTATTGGGCAGTCTAGAATGCCATAATAGAGTGACTACTCCCTTTTTACTTCTTACTTCCACTCACAAAGACTGAGAACCTTACTGTCTATAATATTCATTCACTCTACTACCATAAAAAGGTCTTTGATTAATACCACTACCACTCCTCCTAACTCCCTTCTCTATTTCTTCTGAAAATACTGTACCAAGGAATGTTTAGTTCCCAATCTTGCCCGCCCTGAAGTCATGTTTTTGTTAATACTCTTACATCGTATCCCCCTATCCCTGAGCTTCAAATTCAGCCATTCTATTTCTCACACTTTCTGCATTAGTATATAAACACTTTAACTTGGCCTGTTGTACTTTATTCTCCTTATTTACATTTCCTGCTGTCAACCATAACCTTTTATGTTAACTGGTGCAGAGAAGCAGTGGCTGAGTGGAGTGGGATTTTGATTTGTTATTTTAAATTTGTGATGTTACAGCTGATTGTGTTTAGTTAACCCTTTAAATCTCAGTCTGGCTCAGTTGGTAGAACTCTTGCCTCAGATTGTGTATTCAAGTCCACGTTGGGATTTGGAATTTATATGGTCTAAGATGACTCTCCTGTTGGCGATGCAATCATTTGTTTCAGACTAAAGTCCTGTCTGCATATTCAGGTGGACCTTAAAGATCCCATGGAACTAATCAAAAAGAGAAAGGAGTTTCTCCTAGTGCTCTGGCCAACAATCCCACAAATAAAATGGGTCATTCACTTAATTGTTGTTTATGGGACAATGCTGTGTGCAAATTGCGCTTGCCCACAAAACACACAGTCACTGTGATTTACAGTAAATCATTTTAAGGCCTTTGGGATGTTGCCCCAACTTGAAAGCACTAAACCAAATGTAAAGATTATTATTATTTGAAATCACTTTTAACCTGCCAGGAAACCTCATCAACGTCAGCCATTATGGAAGTGAACAGGAGGCAGATTGACCGAATTCTTCAAATGAAAATTCATGTATCAGGTAAACATTGCCGGTCAATTCTATACAATATTTACTCTAAACTTAAGACTTGGAGTTGGGTTATTGGATGCCCAGAGCTGCGAGGCACTGTCACCAGAACCATCAAACACAAGTGCTTTATCCACCACCCACCACAAGGAGAATTCAACACTGGCACCTCAGCCACAATGACAGGGCATTATCACCCTCATGAGGGATGACTTCCCCATCATCTATAAACACCTGAAACAGGAAGCATAGTGGGTCAGTAAAGCTGTTTTTTTTGAAACTGGGTATCTTCAGCCATCTCTCATGAAGAGAGATTGGAAGGGGCCGTGATGGAGGTTTTTAAGAAGAGACACCACAAGGTAAATCCAAGAAAAAATATTTCCTTTACTTGTAGAATTGATGATAAGGGGCTTAGTCACACGATTGTTAGCAAACAGATTAGAAGGAATTTACTCGCTCAGGAGCAATAGCGCACACATACAATGAGCTGAATGGATCCTTCGGTGCTGAAAGTGTTTGTGTCTATGTCAATGTATCTGTTCTCTGATCTTTATTCATATTCAATAAATATTGCATTTATAGACCTAACTTTACTCGACATTATAATTAATTAGATTGTATTCATACTTTTCTTAGTATCCATATATCAGTGGATTAGATTGGATATTCTGGTACTGGGATTGGAATGAAATTCCATCTGATGTTAATTTTAGCTACATTGCAATGATATGTGCAAACTACATTTTAGAATTGATCTTAAAGCTGCTGTTGCCAGGATTAGGGATTGCAAATTTATTCTGTGTGCACAGGTCCATCTAGTCCACGTTCCTCTATACTAAAACGAATATATAGAGAGGTTCATCCAAGCAGTCCTGATGGTATTGTTGATGAGGTCGAACTAAAAGTGAGAGGAATGCGGCTACATCCCAGAAAATTGTTTAAATGTGATATTGAAAACCAGAGCATTGGCAAAGGTACTAATAACTCCTCTCTTTTATATTCTGATTCCAGCTTTACTCTGTTGCAACCTTACTCATGTTTATTTTCAGTATTGTGGTCAATATTCATTTATTCATTCATCCAAATTGAGTGGTGGTACCTAGAACAAAAGAGAAGTAATTATAAGAATTAAAGGTTCTTTCTTTGTCATTAAAATTTGAAGAATGTACAGTCTATTTGGGGGAAAAAAGTAAGATTAAACTTCAAAGAAATAAAATAGGATTGATCGTGTAAGTCGTATTAAATGTTATTGTCCCAACTAATACGACTTGTGTGAGTTTTACTGTTTTATCGAACCACTGATTATCCAGTGCCTTGGGACGTCCTCCTGATGTGAAAGGCGCTATGTAATTTTTTTGTTGTTGTTACCAATTTCTACCAATGTCATTTCCACCACTTGTGGACTTGGCAAGATATCAAAACACAAGTTACAGGTGAAAACCACAAAGTACAGCAGTGCATAATTTAGTTATTAATAATAATCTTTACATTTGGTACTGCACTTTTCACATTGGGAGGACATATCAAAGTGCTTCAAGGATTTACTGGAGTGACTGTGTGGGTGACGTTAAAATAGTAAAGAGAAGGGTGTTTCTCTATTAATTAATCCTGAAGGCAAACAGCAATGCAAAGACGCTGTTTTCCACTGTCCATCACCTCTTCCGTGCACCCCCTTAAGCCCTCTCTATCCTCACATCAAACGCCAAGTGCAAAGAAGTCCTACATTTCTTCGCCTCAAAGATTGAAAACATCTGCTTGGCTGCATTGACCTCCCCTCCATCCCATGTCCCCTTCCACCCCACCCAGACCATCCACACCACCTCTCTCAAAATACACAACATCCCATTTTGTATAAGCTTCCCTCTTGCCCCTTATTATCTTCCTGACATTTTTTGAAAGCCATGGTACCCTGTGGTTAGTTGCATTCCCCTTGCATCTTGTTGGTATGTGCTTGCTGTGCGCACTTGAAATCTCACCCTTAAATGGATCCCATTGCTGATCAGTTACTTTACCTCCCAGTAGAGTTACTTTACCGCCTGTGTCTGATTTATCTGTGCTAACTCCCTCTTTATCTCGACAAAATGTACTTTTCTCCAGTCCTCCACCCTTAGCTCTGAGTCTTCAACACAGTCGACCACGCCATCCTCCTCCATTGTCTCCCTCATCCACCCTGGTGAGACCGCACTCGCATGGTTCGAGTTGTACTAAGCTAACTGCTTCCATTTCATCTCGGCAAATAGTTTCTCCTCCCACTCTCACCCGGTCACCTGCAGAGTACCCCAGGGCTCCATCCTTGGCCCTCTCTTTTCCTTATCTATATGTGCTCTCCGGGCGATGTCATCCGCAGACACCGGGTAAACTTCCACATGTATGCGGAGGACACACAAATCTACTTTGCCTCCTCCCGTACCAACTCCAGATCCGCTAATGCTTTTATCAGTTTGTTTGGCAGACATCAAGGTCTGGATGAGTGTAAACTTCCTGAAGCTGAATGTGGGCAAGACGGAAGCTATACTCCTTGGCACCCATCAATGTCTTCACTCCTGTGGATCTGAACTTCTCAACCTTCCTGGGCTCTCCCTCAGACTCTCTGAACCAGTGTGGAATTTAGGCATCCGGTTTGACCCCCAGCTGTCCTTCCTCCCCCACATCCAGTCCTTGACCAGGACCTCCTTCTTCCACCTCCGCCACATTGCCCGCCTCCAGCCATGCCTTACCCCCAAATGCAGCCGAAACCCTCATGCAAGTGTTTGTCACCTCCTGCCAGGATTACTCAAACACACTCTTCGCCAGTCTCCCCAGCTCTACTATTCACAAATCCAGCTCATTCAGAACTCTGCTGGACCAAACTCCGTGCCCACATCTCACCAGTTCTGGCCCAGGCTCCACTGGCATCACCGAACGGATCGACCAAGATTCTCACACCGTGTTCAAATCCCTTCACTCTCTGGCACCTCCCTACCTCTCCGACCTCCTCACTACCCAATCCACCACCTCCACTCAACTGCCACCGCCTCCTGCTCGTGCCTTGCACCCTCTGCCCCCACCGTCGGAGGTCATACTTTCAGCCACTACATCCCGAAACTCTGGAACACTCTCCCTGAATCCCTCTGCCTTGCCCCCTCCCCTTTTTCAAGTCCCGCCTGAAAACCTTCCTCTTCCCCCACCACCACCTCCCTGGCTCGGTGTCAGGCTTCGCCACTGTTAAGCGCTCTGAGACGCTACCCTGCGTGGAGGGCGCTATATAAGTGCAACTTATAATTATTCACTTGAAGGGCTGTGGAGCAATGGCTATTGTGTTTTCAAAAGCAGTTGCTGCATTGGAGAGTTAATTAGTTCTAAAGCTGTAAAAAGAAGTTTCTTCATCACTCGCAGACATTTTTCTACATCAAGAGCACTATATTAAATGTATGTTGTTGCGTTTTAGCAATAAAAAAGGCCAATGAGATACTGATTTGTATTAACAACTGTTTATTATTGCCAAGGAAGGTTGATAACATCCACTCTTATTCAGTTACAGCGTTCTGTATAATAATAATTCTTGCATTTGATACAGCGTCTTATCACAACTTTGAGATGTCTCAAAGCGCTTCACAGAATATACTGTGAAGTGAATTGACTGTATGTTTGCGGGAGAAACGCGGCAATCAATTGCGCACAGCAGTGTCCCACAAATAGTCGTGGTTTGAGTGTCCCAAGTTATTTTTTTAAGGGATTATTACGCCCGGAAAAGCGATCTGCCAATCGACTAACAACCAGTCTAGTGCTAATAGGGATGAAATGGATACCTGGCATCCAGATGTGGGAGTCATGTGTCAACAGTTCAGTAAAGATCTCACTGTGAAATTCAAGGTAAGAATTTACAAGAGATTTATTTGTTCCATTAAAAATAGAGAAACAAGCTCTTTTCTAACTCCGGGTATGTTTTGGGTAAAGTTGACGCACTTCATAGAATCATAGAATTATACAGCACGGAAGGAGGCCATTCAGCCCATTGTGTCTGTGCCAGCTCTTTGAAAAGAGGTATCCAAATCATTCCCACTATAGTCTCTAGAAGTGTCCCTGTTACTGACGTCAGGCTGACTGGCCTGTAGTTCCTGGGTTTATCCTTCTGCCCCTTTTTGTACAGGGGATTAACATTTGCAACTCTCCAATCCTCAGGCACCACCCCGGTGTCCAGGGAGGATTGAAAGATTGGGGCCAGAGTCTGTTATTTCCACCCTTACTTCCCTCAGTAACCTAGGATGCATCCCGTCTGGATCAGGTGACTTATCTGCCTTGAGCACTATCAACCTTTTTAGTACCTCCTCTCGGTTTATTCTTATCCAATTTCTTTACCCTCTCCTCCGATACTGTGTGATTGGCTGCATTCTCTTTTGTGAAGACAGATGCAAAGTACTCATTCAGTACGTCAGCCATGCCCTCTGCCTCCACAAGATTTCCACTTTGGATCCTAATTGGACCCACCCTACCTTTGACTAACCTTTTATTCTTTATATGCTTATAAAATACCTTAGGGTTACCTTTTATGTTACCCGCTAATCTTTTCTCATGCAATCTCTTTGCCCCTCTTATTTCCTTTTTCAGTTCTCCTCTGTACTTTCTATATTCTCTTTGATTATCTTCTGTATTTTGGACTTGACATTTATCATAAGCTTCTTTTTTCTGTGTTTTTTAATTCCAATTTCCTTAGTCATCCAGGGAGGTTTGGATGCCCTATCTTTCCCCTTTGTGGGAATTTATTTTTTCTGGCCCCAAACTCTCCTCCTTGAAGATTTCCCATTGCTCGTTAGCTGTTTTACCTGCCAATCTTTCTTTCCAGTCCACCTTGGCTAGGTCCCTTTTTAACTCACTGAAATTAGCCCTCTTCCAGTTGAGCATCTTCACCTTGAATTGTTCCTTGTCCTTTTCCATAAGTACTCTAAACCTAATGATGTTGTGATCACTGTTGTCCAGATGCTCTCCTACTGAAACCTGCTCCAGTTGCCCCACTTCATTTCCCAGAACTAGATCCAGCACAGCTTCTATTAGTTGCAACTGTTTTAGATTTTAGATGCTCAGGATATGTTTTATTTTCTCCACAGAATCGTTACCAGAAGATTGACACATTCACAAAGGTTTCTTTGAAATCTATTCAGCAACATCTGACATCAGCAAGTCTTCAGATCCGTGACTACAGGTCTGCAGTGAGGATTTTAATATTGGTAAAAGAAAGTATAAAGAAGTGTAGACATACTTACCATCCTGCAATTAGCTCACTTTTCTTAGACTAAAATTACTAATGTAGTAAAGTCACCAGCATAATGTAATTGTGAACCATATAGGCTCAGCACATCCCAGGGGTGTTTCCTATCCATGTCAAGTGAAACCTGCTAGCATTTGTTTCTTAGACACACATTTAAAGACTGATGATTTGGGTGATGTACTCGAGCATGAGACAGCATCTTCAGGAGGGAAGGGTGGAATTGGTTTAGTTTGACAAGAACGGTCAGGTGAAGCCAAACAGGAGAGCTCCTAGCTGGGGAAGACGTTACTTACACCCACCATCTAGCAGGCCATTCTCACCAAGGAGCAGTAGTCCAGAGGCCCGGTTCAATCAGGTTTAGCCTGAATTTGGCAACTTATTGTTCAGGAACTAATTGAGTTTAATCTGAAAATGATTGGACCATCCATCTGACAATGATGAATGGAATAAAAACAGAAATCGCTGGGAACACTCAACAGGTCAGGCAGCATCTATGCAGAGAGGAAAGTGAGTTGAAGTTTCAGGCCAATGATCTTTCGTCAGTTCAGTTCTGACAAAAGATCATCGACCTGACACGTTAACTCACTTTCCTCTCTCCATAGATGCTGCCTAACCTGCTGAATGTTCCAAGCGACTTCGGTTTTTATTTCAGTTAGCTGTACTGTTGCAGCTACGCTTGCAACCAGTTTAATTTATTTGGCCTCTCTTTCGCTTGCATTCTTATTTGTCCTTGAAAGGCTTGATCTTCGCTGCTTAGGCATCCTTAAGATGAAGAAAATATGCTATTGAACTTGATAGAATCCCTTTTTCACATATTTGCACATATCCTTTTGGGAGGACTCCTGTTGGGAGGACTCAGTGGGAAGACTCTTGATAATAATAATAATAATCCTTGCATTTGATGTAGCGCTTTTCACGTCTTCTAGACGTCCCAAAGCGCTTCACAGAATATACTGTAAAGTGAATTGACTGTATATTTGTGGGCGAACGCGGCAGCCAATTGCGCACAGCAATGTCCCACAAACAGTCATGGATTGAAAATTACCAATTTATTATTTATTGTTTTTTGGTTTTTTGGAGGGATTATTATTAGGCGTGTGGAGTAAGGAAATGTGCCCAAGGTTTTGCCCTGGCTGGAATTGAACTCGGGTCTCTCACTTGCAAAGTGAGTGCTCTAACCACTGAGCTACAGGTCTCCAGACCTGACTGGGAGGACTCCTGACACACAGACAGACATTTCATCTTTATTAGTGTAGATGTATCGCTCCAGAAGGGTGGGTGATGTCTGACCCTACTTTGTTGCAGAATACCCTGCATACCTTTTTGGGGCTTAATTAAAGCATTTTTTAATATAGCTCATCAACGACAGGAGATCTCCCAAAAAAAAGATATGCCCATGATGCTCCCCCAAGCAAGACCTTTCTGATGAGGTATAAATCATAGCTCTACGTCAATCGGTTATTGCGTTCTTGGCAGACAGACATTTTGTCTATTATAGATTTCCAGCATCTGCGGTATTTTGCCTTTTGACAATGATGAATGTTGCGATATCTTTACCATTGGTGTCAGGCTCTTTTTAATATTGCTTAATAATTTGTGATCTTCCCAGGTTACAGAAGCTAAACAAATTTCAAACAAATGTTGCACAGGAACTGGAAAAGTTTGAAAAGGACTCCCAATCTCTTAAAAACATGGAAAAGGAATTATCAGTATGTACTGTGTCAATGTTTCATCGATGTTCCTTAAAATTCTGAAAAAAAGTTAATTTTATGACATCTTTTCCTCTTTTTTAAAAGTAAATCCTCAGGGCAGGAACTGCTGTTAGGCAGCAAATCCAATTCGTAATCAACCCAGAGAGGATGCTTCATAATTTGACCATTGGAATATTGGAATACAGCAAGTTGTACTTGTTTAGCACTTTGATATAGCCTGAACTTATCAAAGAGCTTCACAATGACTGGAGAGCAACGAGGAAAGAATGGGGAATTTCAGGACGTTGCCAAAGACTTGATTCAAGAGAAATGTGTTTTAAGAGGGGCCTTCCCAATTGAAGGCCTCGAGAGAAGGAGCATGGCAAAGGGATTTTGGGGAAGAGTTCCAGAAAGTATAGCAGAGTGGCGGAAAGCTCAACCAATGAAAGGGAGAATGGAAGGGTATGGGCAGGAGAAAGGAGTGGGTAGAGATTCAAGTGGAGAATAAATGTGATGGGATTAGGTGGGCCAAATAGGCTGTTTCTCTGTAAATATATATAATCCATGACAGAGCAAAACTGTCTGCTGGAGTCTAATTGGCTAATACCACATAGCTTGCCATTGATATCACTGACTCGTAAGCTTTCCCACTGCTTGTCCAGCTAGGACCACCTTACCCATTAGAGCGTTGGCTTGGAGGGTTAACAGGAGCTGAGTGGGATGATTCCCTGTTCCCTGTGAGTGATCTGCTCTTCCAAATCCTGCCAATGAACCAGGCTGGCTGTGCCCTGGAACACTGTGGACCCGCCTGGCTCAAGAACTGGACTAGAGACCGCCGTAGAGGGTAGCTTGATGCCGTTGACAGGCATGTCACCTTGGAGCCAGTTCAGCTCCAAGGAGATCCCGTTTATCAGAATATCAAGACTTGTGAACAAGACAATTGTACCTTGAATTTGTGGAATTGATGGACAAGGTTGTGAATGGATTTGAGAGTCAAGACGAGATCTTGATTTCCTAGATTAATGGGAGCTGGGTGACGATAACAATAATAATAGTAATAAATAATAAATAAATACCTAAATCTTGGGCAATGGGAATGGATTAGCAGATCTGCCATGCTGCAGTAAACTATTGCAACAGTGGCTATGCACTGGATGGCCTCCCTTGTTACAATGTGTTACATTGTGAGACTCTTAATCATTTTAATGTAACATTCATTCCATATTTCATGGTTTCATGTACTCTACTGATACTTTCAGCAAATTCACAATTTCAATTATTGAATTTGTTCCTAAATATCAGTCTGTTAACATCTGGATATTGATGTTTTCCTCAATGTAGAATTTCTGGAAGCAGCATTCAAAAGCTTTTAATGGACTCAAGGAAAATGAGGAACAAAGGTGAGTAAATACAGTGGAAGCCGCTTAAACCAGACACATCGGGGCCAGAGATTTGGTCCATCTTAAGCAACGTCTGAATTTCTTCCCGCTTAGCAGAGGAGCAGTAGCACTTCTTTCCTCTCATTGTCATTCCCATTGGACGGGAAGGGGACCATTAGCAGTGGCTCCGAGGTGATAGACTGCCTCGGAGCCGCCTGTGAATGGATGGACACTCCAGTCATTCACAAACAGTTCTAGGCAATTGGACTCTTCCCATTCCCTCCCTTGTTTCTTCCCTGTTCCTCCACCCACTTACTGATGGACAGTGCAGAGCTGCTTATGAATTGGTTGGATATGAATGTCTTTTTGTTCCTTTCACCGAAGCTGTAGAAAATCGGGCTACATTTAGCAATGAACGGTTTATTTAATTTAGCTTCTACAACCTCATTCTCATTTCAGAATTCAACAACTGCGATCTTCATTTGATACCAATGTGTTTCACGGTGTGGAATTTGAAAAGAGGATATTTAATATGGAGGTGGGTACAAGCACAACATGTGCATTTTGGATTCCATTTATTTAGCACTGAGTTCAGAACTGATTTCTACAGTCACATAAATTATTCAAATTTAAATAGATCATCAAGAATATCAAAATATCTATTAAATAAAAGAACAACAGGTCATAGCACTAACTTTGTTCGTTTCCAAAGCTGGAGCTGCAGTGGAGTCAACATTCATTTCAGTGGGGACAGAAGTTTGACACTGGCCTGGGAGCCTGTCCCGTGCCCAAACCACAACAAGTCACATCGTACGGCAGTCAGTTGCTGATGTAGAGCTTACGCAAAAAAAGTTTGGTTTTGGTGTTATTTCAATTTATCCTGTTAAGTTTTGTGTTTCATCAGACAGTACACAAATGACTAGAAATGGCAGCTGTTAAAGAACCTTGGTTTCCAGGGTTCCAGCAATGCAGCCAGTGTGCTTGTACTTATGGGGCCTTGCCTGGCCTGGAAACACATACAGCAATGACGAGGACAGGGGTACTTGCCTCAGCTCTGCACATCAAACTCCTGCAGGTGCTGATAAAGGTATAGCTACCTCCAGGGAAGCAAAAAAAAGACATGTTACTTACCATGAATGTGTATACTTGCATACTGTACTCCCATCACCCACTTCCTCAGGTCCTATAGACGTGTCTGATTCAGTGTTATGGAAATGTTGGGCAAAAATCCAGTAGCCCTTAGAGAGGGAGAGAGAGGTACGGGCACTTTATAGGGTGTGTGGAGCACAGAGATCTTATGGGTCAGTGGCTCCTGGAATGGATCTGATCAAACCTCAAAAGGATAATTTTGATGATGTCTTCCCACACGCCTGGCCCTGAACAATGGTCTTTATGAATGCCCAAACTGCAGTTCCCAACCAGGGACCAATCCTTTGTACTACTATTAATGATGCATGGAACAGGTGAAGAAGGTCTGTGATTGCTTTTCCCTAGATACATCAGATGAGAAAAGATATGAAAATGGTTCAAGACCGGCTTTTAAAAGAAATGGTAAGTATACAATTGGATCTGAATGTGCTGTGTAGCTTAATATTACACCAGCGTTCAGTGTAATACCATTATAGCTAGATCGACAGCTGCAGTCATGATTGATGTTTTCTAAGTAATGGTTAATCCATTTACCAAAATGTCTCATGTTGGTTAAACAATAAAGAGCCAATTACTAATATGCTGAAGATGAAATAGCGCTAAATGCCAAGCTCTGATTGCTCTCAACACAGTTGCGAATTTAGAAAGGCCTGGTAGAGGTGGAGGGCTTGTTTTGATTGCTCATACTTTGTGTTACCAGAAGATCTTTTATTTGATAAAAATGGTTTTGCCCAAGGACACTAGATATGTTCATTCAGAAAGGGTTAGCGGCCGAGATCAGGCACAGTTTCGCTTTAGCTGCTGTGATTCCTTTGATTTCTTGATGGAAGCATGGACACTCTCGGTTTGAATGTTAACCCACTCTTTCAGGTTAGGGCACTTCTTTTTCTTTCCCTCTCTCTGGTCAGGGTAAACCCATTCCCCCTCTCTGATCAGGGTAAAGCTGTTTCTTTCTCTCCACTTGTCACGTGTACTAACTTACACAATGGCTTGAGTTCTTGGTAAAAGAAATGTAATGCACAATGCAAGACAATTCAGTTTGTCACCTTTACTAAAGTTCTATGCTGCCTACAGCATCACTCATAACCTAATGGTTATTGTGCAAGGTGAATTGCAAACGTGCATAATTTGGAGGTTTGCAATTTCTGCAAACTGTGCTGAGAGCATTAAAAGTGTCTAATGTTTACCCTTCTTATTGATACAACAGAATTGTTTCCTGAAAGTAGAAGCGAGAAAATGCATCTTTAAGTTTTATTACAATACTTCAATTGGCATCATAAAATTTCAGCTGCATTCAGCTCGCCTCAACATCAGCGCTTTGAACATTGAACATGTTCTTGTGTTTGTGATTTCTCTATCCCTGGGCAGCTCAGCAGCAAAAGCTTACTTTTTGTTAATTTCTGATCAGTTTATGTTTAATGTAATGCCTGATGAAGTATACTTTGAAGCATGGGATTTATGAAATTTAAAAAAATACAGACTATGCAACTGCATGGATTATTGTTTTTTATTAATAAATAACAAAGCAATGGTATTTTTTTCCTCAGCAAGAAGAAGAACTGGGCAGTGTGCGCAAAGGGCTGCAGTCCTTGTTTATGTCTAACTCCAGGCGATTTTAAAGGGATACTGATTGACAAGTATATTAACAGAGTTTTACACGTACAAATTCACTCATCAATTTACTGTTGAGTTACAATGTTCAGTTTCTTCAAATGTTCTTGTGCTATATATTTAGTTATTTATGAAAATAGTACAATTCACTTATTCAAGTACATTTCTACAGCATGTGGACTGGACGGGCTGTGGCACTCAGCTCCCTATTGGAACATTTTTAACAAAGCATTGGGGAGGAGAATGATTTAAGCCTTTTGCAAACCTCCCATATGGTTCAAAAAGTTACATTTATCTTTTCAATTTTTTTTGATAATTTCTGGCTCCTCCTTGTAATCGTGTTTACGTTCAGCTTGTAAAACAACAAAAATAACAATGTAAACTGGGTGGGGGGGGTGGGGGTGCGTGAGGAATCACCTGTGTTTACAGAGAATAAAATCTCAGTGCTGGTTATTTACAGGCCTCGCTGAGGTAGCTCACTGTCTCCTCCCTCATTGAGAAGCTGGTGGTGCTCAATGCCTAGCATGCATCTATGTTGCCCTTTTGAGAAAAGAACTTGTGAAATATAATTCTGTTACATTATTTGAATACATGTTAAGTCTACACAAATACACAATGTAATTGTATTGATGTATGCTTCAAGTACTCGTTTATGTTTCTGAAAATTAAATAAATTATTGGTGTAAGAATTAATTCATAACTTTCATTCATGTGTAATTTTAGTTCTGACAGATTTCTGATAGGGGTTCACCTGTAAAATAGTCATTGCACTTTCCAGTATGTCCTATGAAGAACTTTAAGTTGTCCTTTTGACGGTTGATGTGAAAGTTGCTGTATAAAATGCGAGGATTAGGTGCAGCAAAAAGCACTTAAAATCACAGAATGTTTCAGTACAGAAACAGGCGTATGTTTTTCTCCATGGGAATCATCTAGTTTAATCGGCCTCTCCTGCTCACTCCCTATAACCTTTAGTAGTTCTGTCATTGAATAGAGGGAGGTAATGTTTCCAAGTCCCTGCAAGCATGCCAGGGAACTAACTCCCTGTGTGTTTTGATATCTCAAATGAGCCAGGAAACTGAACTTTTATTCCTCAGATATTGGGACAAGAATCAAGTTCTGAGGCAATAAATGTCAGAACCTTCCAGAAAGGAATCATGTGGTTAGAGCACTCGCCTCTCAAACGATACCCGGGTTTGATTCCTGGCCAGGGTGAAACCTTACGCAAGTTTCCATACTCCACACGCCTCTGTTTGCCTAGCAGTACAATACAAAATTACATCTGAAAAGCGTTTTTCATGTCTGACGTCCCAAGGCGCTGAACAGTCAGGGATTAGGATCTGAACCGGGGGGAGGAATGGGGAGGTTGGGATCAGGTAGGTTGGAGGGCAGTGTGAGGGTAGGAGGATGGTGGAAGGCACAGTCGAAGAGGAGGGTCTTGAGGTGAGCCTTGAAGGAGGCAAGGGAGGGAGCGAGACGAAGGGAATGTGGGATGGAGTTCCAGAGGGTGGGGGCAGAGAGGCTGACGCCCGACTGCTGATGGTGGGGTGGGACTGTTGGTGGACTTGGAGCAGGCTGGAGCCTGCTTAGCGGAGGATGCGGGCAGGTTGATAAGGAGTTAGCAAGTTGGAGAGGTAGCAGGGGTCAGGGCCTTGAAAGTGAGTTCGAGAATTTTGAACTCGATCCTCTGAAGGATGGGCACCAGTGGAGCTGGGGGAAGGTGGGCGTGATGGGGTCACGGAGCCTGGTGCCAGAGAGAACACGAGCTGCAGAATTCTAGATGTAGAGCACAGCTTGTAGAGTGAAGAGTTGGGAAGGCCAACAAGCGGGAAGTTGGCATAGTCGAGCCTGGTTGTAATGAAGTCATGTATGAGGGATTCGGCAGCCTGAGGGATGAGTTCAGTGGCGGAGTCCGGCAATGTTGCGGAGGTGGGGGAAGGCAGAGCAGGTCATAGCACGGATGTGGGGGAGAAAGGACAGTTGAGGGTCAAACAAGACACCCAAATTCCTGACTGGCTTGGTGAGATGGAGTGTGCATCCTTGGATGCTGATGCTGCCAGTGCCTGAGGTGCGGAGACTGGCGCAAGACAACGAGCCTCAGTCTTGCTGACGTTGAACTGTAGAAAGTTCTGCACTGTTTGAAAAGGAAAGGTTACTTACTTCACGGCTGTTTGTGGAACATTTCTGTGCACAAATTGTCTACCGTGTTTGCCTACAAATTCACAGTCACTAATCATGTGAAATGTTCTGATGTGAAAGATGCTCAATCAAATGCATGGATTATAATATTTCAGATGCAGTGTTTCGAGACCAAGATGGTCATGGGTCATGCATCAAAGGTTCTGGCATTCATGACTTACTACCTTCAGGCAAGGGTAAAGGAACAGGACTGAGGGAGGGAGATTTTTTTCCAAATAGTACATTTGAACAATTTATTTATGACATTTTTTTTAATGAATTTTCTTTGCAGTTCACATAGGAATCCCCATAAATCATTTCATTTCAAAAATACTGAAGCAGCCAAAAAGGTTAAATACCAGAAGCACTACATCTGACCAGTTGACATGTGAAGATAAAACATCTTTTTGTTTAACAGCCATATAAAAAAGTACAAAAATAAGATTACATTGCAATAAATAAAAATAACACAAATATTTAGAAACACAAACAGATTAAACATAGAGGCTGGAAATTTAAAAAGCAGAAAATAAAGGATTAAAGTTGAGCAGCACAGTCTAATCAGCCATATTTCTCACTGGCTGTCATGGGTTGCCTATGAAGGTGCTCATTTTCCTGAGTTCCAAATATTGTCATAGTTGTTACTCTGGTTGTGGCGCAGCGCACAGCACTCACTCAATGCATAAGTGCATGTTCAAATACTTCAAGAGATATGGTAACAATTTGGCACCAGAAACAAAAAATAGTTAAGGCTATTGAAACCTTAATCAGAGAATGCGTTTCTACCTTCCCCGTTGGTAAGTCTGAACGAGAATTTTACAGAAAATAGATGTTGAAGTTATTAGTGAAAAAGCTGCAGAGGAAGATCAGTATCTTTTGGGTTTTGGAGAAAATTCTAAATGTTAAAAATGATGACACCGTAAAAGACCAGGAAGACTCGCAATGCATAAAAAGATTCATGTTTTAGTGTGATTTAGTGTATTGAAAAAATACACTTAAGAGAGGGTTACACCTGGGAATGTCAATTGTATTTATTAATGAGCCAGTAGACCTTTATCGATAGATAAAGGTGGGTTTTAAATGTATTGCAATTCTTTTGCAGCATTGCAGAAAGTAGTGTTCCTCTGCCTATGAAAGCCTGTGTGTGACATTCTGATCCTGAACAGTATTCTCCCGAGAATAAAGGAAATCCAGACTGCAGCCTGGGGAGACCGAGTGCTAAGGCAATACTCGGATAACGTTTACAGCAGGAATGAGTTAAGAAACACCACATACTTTACATTACTATTTGTTTTCTTAGAATAGTACAATTAATCCCTTGAGAGCAACAGCAGTCTTTGAGTTCATGAATAATCATTTCTCTTTGGTTAATTTAGGCAACAGCCAACTTATTGACTTATTGTGGACAATTTGGGGTACTCTATTATAGGAAGGATGTAAAACAAAGGAAAAGGTGCCGGCTTGATTTACTGTGATGTTTATCAGAGTCAAAGGGTTTCAGTAATGAAGAGAAACTTTACAAATTATGACTTTTTTTCACTAAAGCCGAGAGGGTGAAGACTCCATCCAAGCTCTTTGAAGCATGACAGGTAATGATAAAGTAAGAAGTAATAGATTATAGAGAGTCAGTGAGTCAATTATACGGGTCCATTTGATCTTCTCTGCTGTAAATCCACTTTACTATATTCTCATTCCAGGATCTGGCTGTTTCTTAAATGAATCCTGGGCTATAAACCCTCCTGCTAACCTGTTCCAACTACAATACAAATGTGCATTTATTTATGCAGTGCTTTTCATGTCAGTAGGACATCCCGAGGTGCTGGACAGTCCAAGATTTGCACCCAAGCTGGGAGTGGGGCTGAGAGGGGGTGTGAAGACGATCAAAGACGTGGTGAAAGAGGACAGATGAATCGTGAGGGAGGGGGTGGGGTGAGGGGCTCCAGGATGGAATTCCAGAAAGTGGGGGCAGAAAGGCTGAAAGCTTGACATAACCACTGATTATTACTCTTCATATAAATAAATATTTGCTGTTATCTGCGGGTAAACCTGCCTCCCCTCCCCCACCCCTTCCCATGCCCGGAATCCCTGAATGCCCTCTTACTCTCCTGGAATGTGATATGAAAGATACAATCTCACTTTTGCATTCATGCAGCTAATTTTGATGATGAACCCAATTACCTCACACAGGTGGATGTACAATACATCAATTTATCGTTGACATACTGGGTTTCCTCTCCGTGGACTGACCTAATCTTTATTATAAAATAAATAATGGGATTCAAATTAGCCGCGGGACTTGTGCTGAAAGGCTGCAGCTTCCAACCACTGCAGTGGTTTGTAAATTCACCGTTTGGTTTTATATTTATTAGCCCACAATCTCTCTGTACCTGGATCAGGATCACATCTTACCGAACAGCCGGCCTTGGGCTCCATCAAGTAACTGGTTTCGGGGCTGCGGAGAGCATAGATTATGCTTTAAAACAAAATAATACTTTACAAGTCACTGCTGACTACATTTACAGCTGTTTCTCTCGGATACAATGACAGGACCTGATACAGTGGGAGCGTGTGCTGCCATCCTGTGGCCGTGTTTCACACCAAATATCCCAAATAGCAGTTATTGATTATCGCTAGCAATCGTTATAAAACATTCATATAAAACTAATTCAGGCCCAACCTGCCCCGGCCACTGTGCCGTACATTCTAACAGCAGAGAGCCCATGTGAAGGGAACTACACAAGTACCAAGGTTTTGTTGCTGCTGCAGTTCTCAAAGGGGACAATGTTTTATCAAACCAAGTAAACCGCAAGAAGCTTCCTGTGAGGTGTCAGAGGTAACGAACGATCAGTGGGATTGTGCGAGTGGGAACCTGCTTTCACTGCGACAAGAACACCTACAATGTTCTCTGCTCAGTTGCATACTTTACAGCTCAGTGTAGAGGGTGAGTCTAGGTATTCAACTGTGGTTGGCATCACACATGAAACTCCCCTTGTTGCTACATTTAGTAACGATACAGGTTATAACAGGAAAATCCTGTTAAGAGGGCGACGCAGTCTTGGCCACTAACTATTAACCCTGGCAGCAAGCTGTCCCCTCTACCCAACAAGAGGTCACTGGATACCAATTAACAACAACTCTCCTCACACAGCGAGCGCACTGTCCGAGGCATGTATCACCCACACAAAATACACATCACAAGACTTCATTATCATATCCTGTGAAGCACTTTGAGACGTTGACAACGAAATGATAAAGTGCTTTGTCAAATGCAAGGATTGATAAATACTGAGTATTAGACGATATGGGCGATGATTAAATAGTTTGCCATTATTTAATAGGATTGTGGGAGAGGCTCGTGACGGGGAAACCTGCTCCACAGTGGGTTATTGGGGAAGCTGTGGCTTCTCGATGGGTCATTGGGGAAAACTATCAGTTTGTCTTTCACCACAGAGCAACCTTCTGGGATCTCCGATACCTGAGGTCAAAAGGGAATTAAACACAAACAAAGAAATCAATAAAATAAGGCTCGTTATCACACTCACTCACTCACCTCATTGCCATTTGGTGTCAGGCCAAGCGTAAGCCCTGATCTGGGGGACAGACCACAGACTTAGCTGGAGAAGTGACATGACCACAGCTGGGTGTGGGTGTTAGGTACAAACAGGTATATACTGAGATCAGGTTTCAAGGAAAAGAAACAGTAAATGGTTTCTGATATACAGCATTGTTATAGGATTGACCTGAAAGGAATACTGCCTCTTTACTGCTTTTATGGCACAATGTATCATGTTAGCATTTTCTTACAATGGAAATGTTACTAAGATATTACTGATGTGTTGACATCGCGGCTTGATAACGGACAGGGCTGTATGTCCAGAATGGCAGAGCTCGGCTGAATGTGTACAGCGACCGTAAGATAAGGCCAGTTGCCAGCACGTTACCTCAGCCTCGATGAAAACAGTCAAACAGCACAGCCTGTATCACAGACAAAGCAAACACCAGCTCTGGGTCATTTGTTCAGCTTCCTTTCTCGTATCAAGATGTATAATTCTTCCCGACTTCGAGTCTGTACTTCAACAAGCAATCAGCCCAGACCTCGAAGGGTTAAGTCCGTCAGGCCCACGTCTGGAGAGGCTCTGCGCTCCCCCGGCCTGGCTGTCAGTGGGACTCAGCATCTGGCACCTTCCAGCAGTTTCAGCAGATAAAAAATTCTTCTCAGAAGAAAGTGCTGTATCTATGGCCTGTGGAACCTGTAACAACAAGAGAGGAACCTGGACTGGCGTGGAGATCACACTGTGCCTGGGCCAAGAGATAAGCGGGGACAAAACTGGCATTGCCTCTGAAATAGTGCCAGTTACACCCTCAAAATTATTTGAGAATCTTGGGGCATCCTCCCGAGAGCACACCCACTGACGTTTCAGTTTTCTGCCTCTATTAAGAAGTGTTAAAGATTTTGCTATTTTTGCATCCATAGTGGATAGTGGATGTGGAGTCCTGTAGCTCAGTGGTTAGAGCACTCGCTTTGCAAGCGAGACACCTGGGTTCAACTCCAGGCAGAGGGCGAAACCTTGGGCAAGTTTCCTTACTCCACACACCTATTAATAATCCCTCCAAAACAAAACAATAATAAATTGGTCATTTTCAATCCACGACTGTTTGTGGGACACTGCTGTGCGCAATTGGCTGCCGCGTTCGCCCACAAATATACAGTCAATTCATTTTACAGTCTATTCTGTGAAGCGCTTTGAGATGTCGAGAAGACGTGAACAGCGCTATATCAAATGCGAGGATTATTATATTATTATTATGACCAAACACTTCCCCACATTGAATTCCATCTGCCACAGTTTTGCCCAGTCACTTAATCTGTCTAGGTTCCCTTGTATCTTCCTGCTTCCCATCAACACCATTTATTGTGCCTCCTAACTTTGTGTCATTGCAAATTTTGATATAAAACTCTCTACTCCTTCATCTAAGTAATTTATACATATGGTGAAAAGCTGAGGCCTCAGGGGACACCACTTGTCACGTCCTACCAATCAGAAAACGTTCCTTTATCTCTACTCTCTGTTTCCCGCTCACCCAACCAAGTACCAACCCACGTCGCAAGGTTACCTCCGATTCCACGTGCTTTCATTTTTGCTAATAACCTTTTATGTGGAACCTTCTCAAATGCCACTGAAAGTCCATGTAGATGGCATCCACAGACACACTCTGAGCCACCATGTTAGTGACCTCAAAAAATTCAATTTGATTCATCAGGCATGACCTACACTTCACAAATCCATGCTGACTCTCTTTGATTAGCTCATACTTATCCAAATGCTCTGTCATTCTGTCCCTGATGAGAGATTCCAGTAACTTCCCCACAACTGAAGTTAAACTGACAGGTCTGTAGTTACCTGGTTTCTCCCTCCCTTCTTAAATAACAGTGACATTTGCGATTTTCCAATCCAAAGGCACAATTTCCAACTATAGAGAGCTTTGGACCATATATTTGCTCCAGTCGTACACAACTGTTAGGTGAGTGACCAATTTTTCTCTGGGGGATTGTTGGCCAGGAGAAACTTCTCTTTTTGAACAGTGTCATGAGACCTTTAACTTATCCCTGAATGGGCAGACGGGATCTCGGTTTAATGTCTCATCTGAAGGTCGACACCTCTGACAAAGAAGTATCCCCCCTGCACTACACTGCAGCATCAGCCTCGACTGAGCTCTGACGTGTGGCATGAAATCACAACCTGATTCGGAGCCGAAGATATGATCAATTGAGAAACCCGCCGTTATGTTCATGTCAGGATTCAGTGTGAACCATCACTCCTTCATAAACTGAAGTCTACAGATTCCCTGTGAGCAAGTGGAGCCACAGTGAGTCGCAGGCAACAAGTTTGTTTGCAAACTAATGCCAAAGTCAGGGCTGATTCGCTCACACATACCACATCACACGTGAGGGGAATATATTGAAGAGAACAGTTATTGATTTTTATTACTGACCTGACCACAATCCCACATTTCAAAGGTTCAAAGGTAAGCCTGACTAGAGACCTCCCTGATGTAACATGAATGTTATTTCCACAAACCTGCTCTCTGTGTAGTTAAAATAAAATGGGTGGCTTTAATTTAGGGAATTACATTCAGCATTATTGCCAAGTCTATTGTGGAAAGGTTTGGGGTCTGGACATGATGTAGTTCACAGTCTCTCTCTGAGGATTATTCTTCCAGCACAATCCTGCTGTGCTGTTCACACTAACAATTGCACAAATAAGCATAAAATGTCCTGACCTTGTCAAATGCCGGCTGGATGCGTGCACCTCCATTTCGTTGCTTTTGTATTCATTAAGTTCTTTACGAATGGCTGCCTGTGTTTAAGAGAACAATGGGTTACATACACAAAATCAGCAAGTCAAGTCTTTGCTCAGTTTGGGAGCTGAGATTTTTAAAGAAGTAATACTATTCCTTGCGTTTGATGCAGTGCCTAACAAAACATGGAGGTTGTTTCAAAGCAAAGTTTCTATGATGTTTTAGCGACTGTCTATTTACAGGTAATGTTCGCACAATGTATAATTAGTCGGCAAGATCGGGGAGCACGTCACACTAATGGGTTTAAGCCACTACCGGCAGAGCCAGGAGGTAAAGGTGTTACTCACAACCGGACCCCTCAGGCCTCGGGTCCGAAACCATGGTTTAAAGGCGCTATACAAATGTAATATTGTTGGTTAATCCGGCCCTAAGGTGGCAATCAGAATTGCATTTTAAGTACAGGATGAGGATCTTTAAGTCAATCCTATGAGGTTTGGGTGCCAGTGGAGCTTGGGAAATAGGAATGAGCATCAGTAAGAATGGCAGAATAAACGGACAGGAGAATCTATACTAATAAAGACAAAATGTCTGTGTGTCTGATCGCCGATAACGCAATAACCAATTGAACTAGAGATCTGACTTATACCTCAGTGGAAAGGTCTTGCGTGGGGGAGTGTCATGGGCATACTTTTTTGGGGGGGAACTCTTATCGTTGATGAGCTATATTAAAATATGCTTTAATCAAGCCCCAAAATATGAGGTGTGCATGGAATTCTACAACAAAGTAGCAACAGAGGAAATCACACATCCTTCTAGATATATCTATACTAATAAAGACAAAATGTCTGTCTGTGTGCCTGTCCGCTAATAACATAATAACCAATTGACGTAGACATATGATTTCTACCTCATCGGAAAGATCCTGCATGGGACAGTGTCATGGGCATACTTTTGTGGGGGGGGGGGGGGGGGGGGGGGGGGGGGTGATCTCCTATTGTTAATCTATGACCTAAACAAGCTCATCGCACATGTATGGCAGTTTTGCTTAAGGTGTACACACAGTAGGTTAAATAGTTTGGGAGTGGTATCACTAAAATCTACATTCCATATTGGATCCTTTGGTTGCAAGTGCAGAGTTGCAACAGGTACAGATAATTCATAATAATCCGTGCATTTGATATAGACATTATCACGTCATTGAGAGGTCACAAAGCGCTTCACAGGATATATTGCAAATTGGAGCGACTGTGTATTTTGTGGATGAAACAGCCAGTTGCACGCAACAGTGTCCCACAAACAGCCATGGGGTGAGTGACCACTTTAATGATCTTTAATGTCCACCAGAACAGGCAGACGGAACCTCAGTTTAATGCAATCTAATGCACTGTCACACAATACAACACTTCCAGCACCCCACCTCCCCCCACCCCCGCTCATTAGCTCCCACATTTACTGACATAGCATCACAGCACTTCAGAGTAAATCACGGGTGGTTTGAGGGGAGGCTGCATCAAACATAAGCAGAATTGTAACTATCTGAAAGCTGGCGCTTATGTCCCATACTGCCCCCAGCCTCAGCTCTGCACTGTGTTTGTCAGCAGTATGCTCTTTACGTACAGATATTGGGGTTCAGTAGTCACTGGGTTTAGCCTACCTAGAACTCTGCCATCTTTAATTCTCCCTTGGAGGGAGGGAGAATCATAGAATGCAGTCCATAGACTTAGGTTGTTGCTGTTACCCCTTGTGAAGGTGCTATATCAATGCCAGTTGTTGTTGTTGACTATTTTCCAGGCTGAGAAGGGGAAAGCTTGGCCTCCCCAGCGCCTTGTGACGTCCTTCCGACTTGAATCGTGCTATATAAATGCAACTAGGTGTTGTAATTGTTCACTGGTGGAGTTTGGGGGTCTGTCTGTCCTTGTGCTGGTGATGTGCTCCCGGGAAGCCTGACCCCTGTGATACCTTGTCGGCTGCGGATAGTCGTGTCCAGGGCTTGTCCGCTCGCCGGTCATAATCCTGGGCTTTCGCCACCTCCACGTAATCACTGAAGCGAATGAGGATTTTCCGGTCTCGCAGCTCATCAACTGTTGGCCGCTGGTTCAGCTGCAATCAGAGGGGTTTACATCAGCTGTATCTGGCTGGTGTCAATCACACACACACACACAGCCTCCATTCAATCCTAACTCAACCCTCTGGTAACTGCTCCCTGACAAACGTCACTCTGATCAGTCTGGGGCCTCAGACCGCACTGAGACTACACAGCATAGCATAGCCCAGCATAGCCCCTCTGTCTGCATAATGAAGGGTGAGCGCTTAAGCGGAACCTATTAGTAATAGCTCAGCATTCTTTACCACTGAATCAATTTTCTTTCTCTAAATTTCCACCACTCTCTGCCAGTGTGAGGTGTGTGTGTGAGCTATGTGTGAGGTATGTGTGTGTGGAGGCGTGCGTGTGAGATGTGTGTATGTGTGAGGTGTGTGTGTGAGGTGTGTGTGTGTGTGAGGCGTGTGTGTGTGAGGTGTGTGTGTGAGTGTGAGGCGTGTGTGTGTGTGAGGTGTGTGTGTGAGGCGTGTGTGTGAGGCGTGTGTGTGTGAGGCGTGTGTGTGTGTGAGGCATGTGTGTGTGAGGCATGTGTGTGTGTGAGGACTGTGTGTGAGCTGTGTGTGAGGTGTGTTTGTGAGGCGTGTGCGTGAGGTGTGTATGTGAGGTGTGTGCGTGTGTGTGTATGAGTGCGTCGTGTGTGTGTGTGTGTGTGTGTGTGTGAGAGAGAAGTGTGTGTGTGTGTGAGGTGTGTGAGGCGTGTGTGTGTGAGCTGTTGTGCGCCCGTGTGTGTGAGGTGTGTACCACACCACCTTTCTGTTCAGCCGCTGTTTGATCTCTCGTCTCTCTTCCTGTTCAGTTTGATCATTCCTCTCTGAAAAAGAACAAAGCAAAATATATAAATGAGGAAAAAAATTAATAAAAATAAATGTACTTGGTTGGCCACCTTGACCGACACTCTGGGGGGTGTTGCACTGTGAGAGGTGCCGTCCTTTAGATGAGTCGTTTAAACCATCTGCCTATTCAGGGGGGGGAATGATAAAGATCCCACGATGCTACTGCAAGATAGAAGGGAGTTTCTTTCCCTGCGTCCTGGCCAACAATCCCCCAATAAAATTGGGCCCTCACTGCATGGCTGTTTCTGGGACACTGCAGCACTGTGCAAATTAGCAGCTGCGTTGGGTCTACAAAATGCACCGTCACTACATTTTACAGTAACGTTTTGCGAAGCAACTTTGAGACGTTCCCCCTGACGTGATGAGGTGCTGCACCAAACGGAAGGGGTGTGCATTGTTTCTAACCAGGGATTTCAACGCTGGTGGTGAGATTGCCGACCCCGGCCACAGCAATAAATATATACACTCACCAATAAAGCGGGGTTCAATCAAACAGAGACAGACAGGCAGATCCTGGGGAAGGGGATACAGAGACTCTGCCCAAACCGTGCTGTGTGGCGCGTGTGCGTATGTGTGTGGGAGGGTGTGCGGGTTAACACACAGCATTTACACATCGGGATTTACCTTAACATGAGTGCGTGTTCACTCACATTGCCTTCACTGGTCAGGGAAGGATGGTGAGGTGGGAAGAGTGGGGGGGAGGTGGGGGGGGGGGTAGGAGTGACGTAACAGTCACAGGCAGGAGATTCCCCTGTGCTCTCGTTCTCTCTGTTAATGAGCTCAGGTACAATGTTCCTGGCTTTAAATAGACCAGAGTGGGCAGCAACTACACATTCGAAGTGAGTGTGTCTCGTACTGCAGTCAGCAGCTAAACTCAAAAGCAGTGAGTGATAACCTGATATTCACAACTTCGCACAGTCACGACACATCTCTCGTGTAATGAGCTACAGACAGACAGACAGCCAACCCGCACCACTCTCACAGGCATCTCACAAACCACTGTCACGCAACTCACACGCAGCTCACACGCTACACATCCGCACCAGATACACATACGCAGATACACACACACACAGATACACACAAACAGATATATACATACATGCAGATACACACACACAGATATACACATACACACACGTAGATACACAGCTACACACATACACACACACAGATACATATACACAGATATACACACAAATATACACACATGCAGATACACACACACATAGACATGATACACACACACACACAAATACACATACACACATAGACACACACAGACACACACACAGACCTAGATGCACACACACAGATACACAAACACACACAGATACACATACACAGATACATACATGCAGATACACACACAGATACACACACACACAGATATACACACACACAGATACACATACACAGACATAGATACGCACACACAGATAAACACCGCAGACATAGATACACACAGATACACACACACAGATACACACGGAGACACACACACACGTGCAGACACACACATACCGATTCACACACACAGATACACACAGATACATACATACAGAGATACACACACACATACACACATATTCACAGATATACACACAGATATTCACAGACACACACACGCAGATACACACACACACACAGATACATACCCACACAAACACTCATACACACACAGATTCACACCCAGATGCACACATAGATGCATGGATGCACACCCACCCAGGCACACACACAGATACACACACACAGATACACAGACACAAGCGTGCAGATAAACACACGCACACAGATATACACATACAACAGATACACATGCATAGACATAGATACACACACACACACATAGATACACACAATGATTCACACACAGATGCACACACACACACAGGCACACACACAGATACACACACACACACAGATACACACAGATAAACACATACAGATACACACACACACGCACACACAGATACATACCCACACAAACACTCATACACACATAGATTCACACACAGATGCACACACACCCAGGCACACACACAGATACACACACACACACACAGATTCAGACACAAGCGCGCAGATAAACACACACAGATACACACACACACACAGATACACACACAGATACACACGCACACACAGATACACACACAGATATACACACACACACAGATACACACACAAGATACACACACACGCACAGATACACACACATATATACACACACACACACAGATACACACACACACACACAGATACACACATACACACAGACGGAGGTGGCATTACTCACGTTTCAGGATATTCCTGCGCTCCAGCTCCTCGGCTGCGGGTCTCTGGCTCAGGCGCCTGCAGACGAAAATCAGCATCACAGTCTGTACCATCAAAGCAGCCCCGCACCAGCCCCGCTCACACACACACACACACACACCCCGCTCGCACACACACCACCCCGCTCACGCACACACACACACACACACCCCGCTCGCACACACACACACCCCACACACACAGACACCCTGCTCAGACACCCACCCCGCTCAGACCCACCCGGCTCACACCCACCCGGCTCACGCACATCCCGCTCAGGCAAACACATACCACCCCGTTCACGCACAGACCAGCCGTGCACACACACACAGACCAGCACGTTCACACACGCGCACATCAGCCTGCTCATGCGCACACACACACCACCCTGCTCACACACACACACCACCCTGCTCACACACACACACCACCCTGCTCACACACACACACCACCCTGCTCACACACACACACCACCCTGCTCACACAAACGCACACCTCCCCGCTCACGCACACACACACAACCCTGCTCACACAAACGCACACTTCCCCGCTCACACACACACGCACACACACAGACACCACCCCGCTCGGGGGAAGCAGGGAGATCGAAAGCTCGGTCGAAGAGGAGGGTCTTGAGGTGGGTCTTGAAGGAGGTGAGGAAGGGAGCGAGACGGAGGGACTGCGGGATAGAGTTCCAGAGGGTGGGTGCAGAGCGGCGGAAGGCCCGCCTGCCGCTAATGGGGCGAGCAAGGCAGGGGACGTGAAGCAGGCTGGAGCCCGCTGAGCGGAGGGAGCGGGCAGGATGGTAGGGGATTAGGAGGTCGGAGAGGTAGAGGGGAGCAAGACCATGGAGGGCTTTGAAGGTGAGGTCCAGGATCTGGAACTGTATCCTCTGTGTGATGGGAAGTCAGTGGAGGACGTCCAAATACACTGAATAGCCAAGAGTTTGCACCCGAGCTGGGGCCTGGAGTCCAGAGTCACAAAGCCCGGCCCCATCGTATAGGAGGGGGGAGAGAGGTTGAGCTGGCCATACCTGGGCTGCCCCTCTCAAGCTATGTCATGCTCCAATACACGCTCCAATATGCTCTGACATGCTCCAACGCGCTGACACACTCCGACACATGCTACAACAACAACAATAACTTGCATTTATATAGCACCCCTCACACAGGGTTGCATCCCAGAGCGCTTGACAGTGGTGGAGCAGAACGCAGAGTCGGGGGGAGGTGACTGTAGGCACAGTCGAAGAGGAAGGCCTTCAGGCGCGACATGAAGCTGGGGAAGGAAGGGGCAAGGTGGAGGGATGGAGGAAGAGTTTTCCAATTTCGGGGCTGTAGTGGCTGAAAACACGGCCACCGATGATAGGCGAAGGGCCAGAGGGATAAGCAGGGGCCGGAGCCAGTCGAGCGGAGACATCAGTTAGGGAATAAGCAGTTCGGAGAGGTAGGAAAGTGCCAGGACATGAAGCGATTTCAAGACGAGTGTGAGGATCTTGAAATCAATCAGTTCGGTGACAGGGAGCCAGTGGAGCCTGGCTAGAGTTGGTCTAATGGGGTATGGTGTTTAGTGCGAGTGAGTATGCAGGCGGCAGAATAGTGGAGTTTTGGATTAGTTGGATTTTGTGGATGGTGGACCTGGGGAGACCAGCGAGGTGGGCATTTGAATAGTTAAGGCAGGAGGTGACGAAGGTTTGGCTGTGGCTGGGGAAGGCAATCCTGGTCAGGGACAGGATGTGGGGTAGGAATGACGGCTGTGAATCGATCCTGGAGCCCAGGTTGCGCATCGGTTCGGTGCGTCTGAGCTGACGTGCTGAAACTCTCTGACACGCGCTGACACGTGCTAACACGCCTACCTGGACAGCTTGAGCTGGATCTGATGCCGCAGTTCCTGGCGCTCCGCGTGGCTCCGGATCGGGAAGATGTTCCGGTCCTCCAGTTCCTGTTTGGACGGCCGGTTCCTCAGCTTAACGGCCAGCAGCTCCTTCTTACACACACTCCTGGGCAATGAACCTACAGGGAGACACTGACACTGAGACAGGGAGACAGACACTGACCCTGAGACAGGGAGACAGACACTGACCCTGAGACTGGGAGACAGACACTGACCCTGAGACAGGGAGACACTGACCCTGAGACAGGGAGACACTGACCCTGAGACAGGGAGACACTGACCCTGAGACAGGGAGACCACTGGGTCCCTTTGAACTATACACACAAAATATGTAACATTACTTTCTGAAATTCTTTCTTGCGTGACTTTATACTTGCAAACATGTGAACCGCATGATCAAAACATAATGTACATGTCACATTGTGCTCAATAGACAGGATTGCGAGTACGTTCACTCTATCCCGGATCATTGTAGATCCGAGTGAGTTTTTGATGAGACTCATCCTTGAGGACGAGTGGTCGCCTTCAGAGACTCACCCCCAAGCCTTTGTGTGTCAAGAATATACAAAGAGCGACGGCTGCATTTGGAAATGTTGATTCCGCAGAGTGATTGTGTATCATATTCTGTAGTATTTCGCGTGGAGTTTTCTCACACGTAACGATCAGGGAGGGTGGAGGGCGGGGAGGATAGGGGTATGAGGGAATCTGAAGGCACGTTCAAAGAAGAGGGTCTTGAGACGTGTGTTGAAGGAGGCAAGGGAGGGAGCAAAGCAAAGGGAATGTGGGATGGAGTTCCAAAGTACGGGGGCAGAGAAGCCGAAGGTTCGACTGCCGATGGCGGGGCGGGTCGGGCGGGGGACGTGGAGCAGGCCGGAGACTGCTGAGTGGAGGGAGTGGACAGGTTGATAAGGGGTTAGCAGTTCGCACAGTTAGGAAGGAGCTGTGGAGGGCCTTGAAGGCAAGGATGAGCACTGACCATCTTCTAATTTGACCGTTGCCATGTGGGAGCCACTGTGTATTCGCTCACCAGTGAGGTAAGGCTCAGGTCTGTCGGGCTGGCAGTCGCCCTCCAGCGCCCTGTTCTCCTTGTCCTCGTCAGACTCGGCCTGGCCGCTGGGCTGGGACCCTGACCCCAGCCCCGGCAACTGCTCCCGGCTGTTCTGCCGGCTCAGCCGCCTCTCGGTCCTTCCCCGCGGCGACGCCCTGCTCTCCGTCTCGTGAAAGCTGCAACACAACGTCACAAAGTTCAGTCACGCCCGCCAGAGGAAACACATAGTGACCCCCTACCCCCCTTTCCCTGCCGACACGCTGACCCCAGGGTGGCCGTACCTCTCCTGCTGGTGTTTGACGGCCAGGGCTCTGTGCAGCTCCTCGATGATGTGGCTGGGCGGTGGCACGCGGAGCGGCGACGCTGGGCACGGGGAGGCCGCGGACAGCCTGCTCACAGGGTGCCGCGCGGGCACCGAGGCTCGGGGCAGAGTGCAGAACGAGAAGGGAGCTGACCGGCCTGTGCTGTTCTTTGGCACTAGAGGTGGTGAGGTCTTGAGAGGAGAGTGTTCAGTGCTGATCACTGCAGAGACACGGAGAAAAGAGGTGAGGGCCTCAGGTGCTGGGGCAAAGGTCTCGGGCACTGGGGAAGAGCTTATGACGCAGGGGGAGAGATCTACGATGCTGGGGGGGGTGTAAACGGGGTCTCCTTGGAGCTGAACCGGCTCCAAGGTGACCTGCCTGGCCACGGAGTGTCAGAATCAAGCCTCTGTGGCAATCTCGGTAGTCCGGTTCCTGAGCCAGACGGGTCCGCAGTATTCCAGGGCACTGCTGATGACAACACAGCACAGCCTGGCTCATCAACAGGTCTTGGAATGACAGACTAGTCACTGGGAGTCATCCCACTCAGCTCCTGTTAATCCTGCAAGCCAAAGCCCTAATGGGTAGGGTGGACCTAGCTGGCAAACTATGCAGTTTTAGCTGGTTAGACTCCAGCAATTACCCCAACGCACACTCTGGGATTCCCAAGTCTTGGCTTTTGCCAACCTGCATCTAATACATACCGGAATTAGGTAAGCAGGTAACGTCCCTCTAGGGGAGAATGCGCATTTATTCCAACAATCTATCTATTCTATCAATGGGATTTCCGGGTGTATGTGGAATGCATGGAATTCTCAACTTGGTTTGGATACTCACAAGCACAGTGATGGGATTCCACATGTGTCAGACTCCCAGCTGACAAAAAAAAGTGCTGGGGGAGGAGTCTTAGGCACTGTGGGGGGGTTTCAGTGATGGAGGCAGGGTGTGGACACTCCTGGTTCCAGCCACTGTAACCCGCAGCTGAAAGGCTGGGTGATGTGTGACCGATGTAAAGAATGCGATGTTCTGAGTAACAGAGATGTGAGTAAAAGTGAAAAACAGGAGGTATCAGCAACAAATAACACACAGACTATAACACACAGAACACGGAGAACAAACTGGGGCAACTGGAGGTGGGAATCAAAATTGAAGAATTGGATGTAATTATATAAACAGAAACATGGTTACAGCCGGCCATGATTGGCACTTTTATACATTTAGAAAGGACAGAGAGGGGAAAAGGGGGGTTGGAGGCGCAGAATTGGTCAGAGACTCTATACTACACAGAAAAGGAGCGATGTAAATAATGAAGGGGGAGTGACAGAATCCATCTGGTTGGCGATAAAGGATAAAAAAGGACCAAGCACACTACAGGTGCCCCAACAGTGGAAAAGGAGTAGAAGAAGAAATCTGCAGGTGGCAAAGGGAGACGAGCAAAAATAATAAAATAATAATTATGGGGGATTTCAATTATCCCTAGAGTGACTGGCAAAGGGGAGTAGGAGGCGAGAAGGAGCTGGAGGGTTTGCAGCGAGTGTGTCTTTCCTGTTCCAATACATAGAAGCTCCAACAAGAGGTGCTGCTCGCCCTAGTTATGGGCAATGAGACAGAGCAGGTCAGGGTGTAAATGTGGGGGAGAACATCAGGAGGCAATGACCATAATAAGGTTCAAAATGTTGATAGAAAAGGAGATAGGTAAGACAAGCACCAAAGTCTTTGATTGGGAATAAGGCCAATTATGATGGCATGAACCAGCTGAGGTAGATTGGAGGGAAAACTTGGCAAACCAACTTGTTGAGCAACATTGTACAAATGAATCCTTCACCTCAGTTTTCACAAAGGAAACTGATAAATGGAGCCGGGTGTAAAATCGCACCAGTTAGACAGGGAAAGGGAGGTATTGGTGAGAAAAATTGGTGAGGGTGGGGGTGAGGGGATAGTGGTGAGGGTGGGGTTGAAGGTATCCTGAGGGTGGGAGTGATGAGGGGGTGAGGGTGGGCGCTGGGATTGAGGGGGTGGGTGTGCGGGTAGGGGTGAAGGTGGGGGTGAGGGTGAGGGTGGGGACAGACATGGCTGACCTGACATTTGTCTGCCAATCTTCGCCAATGATTTTGGCTTTGGGAGTGTGTATGGGACATGTGTCGAGGGTGCTGTTGTGGGCCTGACCTCCTGCCCAGGGTGTGGGGATCCGGGGGCGGACGCAGCACGGCTGGGGGCAGGGTTTGGAGGACGCTCTGCACCCCTATCAGCTGGCTCATGTTCCAATGGTGATTCATTCACTGCTGAGAAACAAGAGTGTGAAAACCAAGTCACCCAATTATTTTACACACTCACTCCTAACCCCTTACACGCTCACTCCTAACCCCTTACATGCTCATTCCTAACCCCTTACAAACTCACTCCTAACCCCTTACAAATTCACTCCTAACCCCTTACAAACTCACTCCTAACCCCTTACACTCCTAACCCCTTACACGCTCGCTCCTAATCCTTTACATGCTCATTCCTAACCCCTTACACGCTCACTCCTAACCCCTTACACACTCACTTCTAAATCCTTACAACTCACTCCTAACCCCTTACACAATCACACCTAATCCCTTAAGCACTCAACCCGCAGCAATTACAGTCAACATTTACACTCAATAATAATAATTCTTGCATTTCATACAGCACCTTATCACGTCTTCAAAAGGTCTCAAAAAGCTTCACAGGATATACTGTAAGGTGAATTGACTGTATATTTTGTGGGTGAAATGCGGCACTGGAATCTCGTGCAGAGTCCCTGTTCATACTGCCTCTTCTGTCTCGGTCATACAGCCATATACTATGTCCCAGTCACGTCACACCCACTCACCTTGTTCAAATATCTCCAGCAAACCTTTCTTGATTAGCTCCTCCCGGCTTTGCCTGCCTGAAATCTTCTTCTCCAACGCTGCACAAACCAGCCAGAGTTACATTGACGGACAACATATCAAACTGTCCCCAGCACAGACACACACACACTGTCCCCAACACAGACACACACACACTGTCCCCAACACAGACACACACACACTGTCCCCAACACAGACACACACACACTGTCCCCAACACAGACACACACACACACTGTCCCCAACACAGACACACACACACTGTCCCCAACACAGACACACACACACACTGTCCCCAGCACAGACACACACACACTGTCCCCAACACAGAGACACACACTGTCCCTAACACAGACACACACACACTGTCCCCAACACAGACACACACACACTGTCCCCAACACAGACACACACACACTGTCCCCAACACAGACACACAACACACTGTCCCCAACACAGACACACACACACTGTCCCCAACACAGACACACACACACTGTCCCCAACACAGACACACACACACTGTCCCCAACACAGACACACACACACTGTCCCCAACACAGACACACACACACTGTCCCCAACACAGACACACACACACTGTCCCCAACACAGACACACACACACTGTCCCCAACACAGACACACACACTGTCCCCAACACAGACACACACATACTGTCCCCAACACAGACACACACACACTGTCCCCAACACAGACACACACACACTGTCCCCAACACAGAGACACACATACTGTCCTCAACACAGACACACACTGTCCTCAACACACACACACACTGTCCCCAGCACAAACACACACACTGTCCCCAACACAGACTCACACACTGTCCCCAACACAGACTCACACACTGTCCCCAACACAGAGACACACATACTGTCCTCAACACAGGCACACACTCTCCCCAACACGTATACACGCACTGTCCCCAGGACAGACACACACACATTGTCCCCAACACAGAGACACACATACTGTCCTCAAAACACAGACACACATTGTCCCCAACACAGAGACACACACTGTCCCCAGCACAAACACACACACTGTCCCCAGTACACACTCACACACACACTGTCCCCAACACAGACACACACACACTGTTCCCAGCACAGACACACACACTGTCCCCAGTACAAACACACACACACACTGTCCCCAACACAGACACACACTGTCCCCAACACAAACACACACACTGTCCCCAGTACAGACACACACACACACTGTCCCCAGTACAGACACACACACACACTGTCCCCAACACAGACACACACACACTGTCCCCAACACAGACACACACACACTGTCCCCAACACAGACACACACACACATACACACTGTCCCCAACACAGACACACACACACTGTCCCCAACACAGACACACACACACACTGTCCCCAGCACAGACACACACACACACTGTCCCCAACACAGACACACACACACACTGTCCCCAGCACAGACACACACACACACTGTCCCCAACACAGACACACACACACTGTCCCCAACACAGACACACACACTGTCCCCAGCACAGACACACACACTATCCCCAGCACAGACACACACACTATCCCCAGCACAAACACACACTGTCCCCAGCACAGACACACACACACTGTCCCCAACACAGACACACACACTGGCCCCAGCACAGACACACACACTATCCCCAGCACAAACACACACTGTCCCCAACACAGACACACACACACACTGTCCCCAGCACAGACACACACACTGGCCCCAGCACAGAGACACACACTGTCCCCAGTACAAACACAAACACAGTCCCCAGCACAAACACACTGTCCCCAATGCAGACACACACACAGTCCCCAGCACAGACACACACACTGTCCCCAGCACAGACACACACACTATCCCCAGCACAAACACACACTGTCCCCAGCACAGACACACACACAGTCCCCAGCACAGACACACACACTATCCCCAGCACAGACACACACACTATCCCCAGCACAAACACACACTGTCCCCAGCACAGACACACACGCACACTGTCCCCAGCAGACACACACACACACTGTCCCCAGCGCAGACACAAACACTATCTCCAGCACAGACACACACACTATCCCCAGCACAAACACACACTGTCCCCAGCACAGACACACGCACTGTCCCAGCACAGACACACGCACTGTCCCAGCACAGAAACACGCACTGTCCCAGCACAGACACACGCACTGTCCCAGCACAAATACATGCACTGTCCCAGCACAGACACACGCACTGTCCCAGCACAGAAACACGCACTGTCCCAGCACAGACACACGCACTGTCCCAGCACAAATACACGCACTGTCCCAGCACAGACACACGCACTGTCCCAGCACAGACACACGCACTGTCCCAGCACAGACACACGCATTGTCCCAGCACAGACACACGCACTGTCCCAGCACAGAAACACGCACTGTCCCAGCACAGACACACGCACTGTCCCAGCACAGACACACGCACTGTCCCAGCACACACACACTGTCCCAGCACAGAAACACGCACTGTCCCAGCACAGACACGCACTGTCCCAGCACAGACAGTTGAGACTAGAGTAGAAGAGGAGCCTGTGGCCGAGGGGAAGCCGATGGCTGAGAAGCGGGTGTTGGTGGAGGGCAGTAGGCGCCCACTGCTTACCGGCTGACGATTGTTTGAATTTCTCCGTTTTCTTTTTCCTCCACTTCCAGGGTTTGAAGATGCGGCCGAGAGAGGCCAGCTTACTGTGTCTGCGGAGAGGCGGAGTGCGGAGTCCCGGCTTCACTGTCTCTGATCGCATCCCGCCCACTGGCTCCACATCCTCACCTACAGCAACAACACACATCAGCCTGGAAACATTCATTCATTGACTGAAAGCACGGCCACCGATGGTGGAGCGGAGGGGATGAGTGGTGGGGGGCAGGAGGCCAGAGCCAGCTGAGCGGAGGCATGGTCGGAGGTGGGGAATGTGATGGAGGTGGAAGAAAGCGGTCTTGGTTCGGGACCGGATGTCTGGGAGGAAGGACAGCTGGGGGTCAAACCTGACGTCCAGATTACGAACAGGTTCAGTAAGTCTTAGGCGGTTGCGGAGGTCAGAGCCACAGGAGAGAAGACGTTGACGGGAGCCAAGGAGTATGGCTTTCGTCTAGTCGACATTGAGAAGCAAGAAGTTTGCTCTTATCCAGGCCTTGTTGTCTGACAGACAAGCTGGTCGCAGCTGGTTGAAGAGAAGGAGATTTGGGTTGCGATCCGTATACATGTGGAGGTTTACCTCTGGTCTGGGGATGACATCGCTCAGAGGGAGCATGTAAATGAAGAAAAGGAGGGGGCCAAGGACGGAGCTTTGGGGTACTAGTAAGTGACTGTGTTGGAGAAGTCAATGTTAACAGTGACAAAGTGATGACGTTTGAATAAGTAGGACTTGACAGCAACAGAGGCAATGCCCCCCCCCCCACCCCCCCCCCACACACACTGAATGTAACACATACACCGCTTTCCCCTCATGCCCTGACAGCCCCCATCTCTTCAACCTGCTCTCTCTCTACACTACTACCCGCTTCCGCCACTCGACTGGCTCCGACCTCCTCCTTGTCCCCTGGACCCTCTGCCCCACCGTCAGCGGCTGTGCTTTCAGCCACTACGCCCCGAAGCTGTGGAACCCCCTCCCTCAGTGCCTTTGCCCTCTCTTTCCCCATTTTCAGGTTGCACTTGAAGACCTCCCTCTTACGCTGTGCCTATGGTCACCTTCCCCCCCTCCCCACCCCCTCGGCTCGGCATCGGGCTCCGCCACCGTTAAGTGCTCCGAGCGCTGTCCGGCGTGAAGGGCGCTGTGTAAATGCAGGTTGTTGTTGTTGTTGTAACACAGCGACACACACAGCAGCCACTAACCCCCCCTCACACTCTCTGTCTCCCCACCTCACTTCCTCTCTCTCCCCCCCTCCCTCTCCCTCCCTCTCCCCCCCACCCTCTCCCTCTCTTACGCTGTCACCCCTCATCACTCTCCCCCCCCTCTCCCCCCTGCCCCCCCCTCCCCCCTGCCCCCTCCCCCCCTCCTCCCCCCCCTCCCCCCTGCCCCCCTCTCCCCCCCCCCCCCCCCCCTCTCCCCCCTGCCCCTCCCCCCTGCCCCCCTCCCCCCCCCCCCTCCCCCCTCTCCCCCCCCCCTCTCCCCCCCCTGCCCCCCTCTCCCCTCCCCCCCCCCCCCTCCCCCCTCCCCCCCCCCCCCCTCTCCCCCCCCTTGCCCCCCTCTCCCCCCCCCCCCACCAGCACAGTTAGGAGCCGCTACTCCCGCCTGAGGCTGAGCCACACTCACCGCCCCGGGCAGCCGTTGGCTCCTCGCCCGCCGCCCGCCGCTGTCTGCCCGCACATCGCATCCGGCCAGAGACCCGCAACCCGCCCGTTCCGCGCGGCCTCCGCACCGCCTTCCCTCTGCAGTCTCCCCGCTCGCATCGCTCACTGCTCATCACAGCCGCGGCAGCTCGGGCTGTGTGCATACAGCCGCCAGGCACTGCCACTGCCACTGCCACTGCCAGGCTCACCCACTGCCACTGCCACTGCCAGGCTCACCCACTGCCACAGCCACTGCCAGGCTCACCCACTGCCACAGCCACTGCCAGGCTCACCCACTGCCACTGCCACTGCCAGGCTCACCCTCAGCCACTGCCACTGCCACTGCCAGGCTCACCCACTGCCACTGCCACTGCCAGGCTCACCCACTGCCACTGCCAGGCTCACCCACTGCCACTGCCACTGCCAGGCTCACCCACTGCCACTGCCACTGCCAGGCTCACCCACTGCCACTGCCAGGCTCACCCACAGCCACAGCCACTGCCAGGCTCACCCACTGCCACTGCCACTGCCAGGCTCACCCTCAGCCACTGCCACTGCCACTGCCAGGCTCACCCACAGCCACTGCCAGGCTCACCCACAGCCACTGCCACTGCCAGGCTCACCCACTGCCACAGCCACTGCCAGGCTCACCCACAGCCACTGCCACTGCCACTGCCAGGCTCACCCACTGCCACTGCCACTGCCAGGCTCACCCACTGCCACTGCCAGGCTCACCCACTGCCACTGCCACTGCCAGGCTCACCCACAGCCACTGCAGCCAGGCTCACCCACTGCCACTGCCACTGCCAGGCTCACCCACTGCCACTGCCAGCCCACTGCCACTGCCAGGCTCACCCACTCCCACTGCCACTGCCAGGCTCACCCACTGCCACTGCCACTGCCAGGCTCACCCACTGCCACTGCCACTGCCAGGCTCACCCACTGCCACTGCCACTGCCAGGCTCACCCACAGCCACAGCCACTGCCACTGCCAGGCTCACCCTCAGCCACTGCCACTGCCAGTCTCACCCACAGCCACTGCCACTGCCAGGCTCACCCACTGCCACTGCCACTGCCAGGCTCACCCACAGCCACTGCCACTGCCAGGCTCACCCACTGCCACTGCCACTGCCAGGCTCACCCACAGCCACTGCCACTGCCACTGCCAGGCTCACCCACAGCCACAGCCACTGCCAGGCTCACCCACAGCCACTGCCACTGCCAGGCTCACCCACAGCCACTGCCAGGCTCACCCACAGCCAGAGCCCGGTTCACAGACACATGGTCAGTGAGTCAGAGATACAGTCAGTCGGTGTGGATACAATGTGTCAGTCAGTCAGAGGTCTGTCAGTGCGGATACAGTCAGTGACATACATTGTGGATACATTGTATCTGTCAGTGTCTGTCGGATGGTTTGGTTACAGTCAGTCTGTGCAGTTACACACACACACAGTGTGACTACAGCCATACAGGTACCGCAGCGCAGTGTGTCACACAGCTCGGCCCCCCCCCCCCCCCATCCCCCGCCCCCACTCCCCCCCTCCCCCCTCCCCCCCCCCCCCATCCCCCCCCTCCCCCGCCCCCATCCCCCCCCATCCCCCCCCCCGCCCCCCCCATCCCCCGCCCTCCCCATCCCCCCCCTCCCCCCCCCCATCCCCCCCCCCCCCCGCCCCCCCCATCTAAGTTGGTGCCGTACATTCTACCCGTGAGCCTTTTCTTTGGAGACAATAGATCTTTTTTCTTAAAAGAGCTCCATCAGCCCCTGGGAACCCGGAACCCCCCCCACACCCCCCACCCCAACCCCACAACCCCCCCACCCCACCCACAACCCCCCCCACACACACCCCCAACCCCACAACCCCCCCAACCCCCCCACACACCCCCCCACCCCACCCCACACCCCCCCCAACCCCCCCACACACCCCCCCAACCCCACAACCCCCCCCACACCCCCCTCCCCCACACCCCCCCCCAACCCCCCACACACCCCCCACCCCAACCCCACAACCCCCCCCCCCCCAACCCCCCCCACACCCCCCCACACCCCCCCAACCCCACCCCCCCCACCCCACCCCCCCCCCACACCCCCCCCCCAACCCCCACAACCCCCCCCCCCCCCCACCCCCCCCAACCCCCCCACAACCCCCCCCACCCCCACCCCCCAACCCCACAACCCCCCCCACAACCCCCCCACACCCCCAACCCCACAACCCCCCCACACCCCCCCCACACCCCCCCCCACACCCCCCCCAACCCCCCACCCCCCCCCCACCCCCCACCCCCCCCACACCCCCCCCACACCCCCCACACCCCCCCACACCCCCCCCCCCCCCCCCCACACCCCCCCACCCCCCCCACACCCCCACAACCCCCCCACAACCCCCCCCCACCCCCCCCACAACCCCCCCCACCCCCCCCAACCAGCCCCCCACACACCCCCACCACCCCCCACACCCCCCCACCCCACACCCCCACACCCCCCACAACCCCCCCCACCCCCCCCCACAACCCCCCCCCACCCCCCACAACCCCCCCCCACCCCCCACAACCCCCCCCACCACCTCCAGCCCCCCCACAACCCCCCACCCACCCCCCCACCCCCCCACCCCCCAACCCCCCCACCCCCCCACAACCCCCCCCAACCCCCCCCACCCCCCAGCCCCCCACAACCCCCCCCACCACCTCCAGCCCCCCCACACCCCCCCACCCCCCAACCCCCCCACCCCCCCAACCAGCCCCCCACACCCCCCACCCCCCCCACCCCCACCCAACACCCCCCCACCCCCCCAACCCCCCACCCCCCCAACCCCGCCCACACCCAGCCCCCCCTGAGGGTGACTGAAGGCGCAGTCAAAGAGTAGAGTCTTGAGACGGGTCTTGAAGGAGGCAAGGGAGGGGGGTAAGGCGGAGGGACTGCGCGATGGAGTTCCAGAGGGTCGGGGCAGAGTGGCAGAAGCCCTGCCCGCCAATAGATATGAAGCAGGCCAGAGCCCACTGAGCAGAGGAAGCGGACAGGTTGATAGGGGAAAAAATAATGTATTTTCTCCTGGCGTGCTGGCCAACAATTCCCCAAATAAAATTGGTGACTGGTCACTCCATGCCTGTTTGTGGGACACTACTGTGCCCAGCGGTTACCACATTTCTCCCACAAAATACACAGTCTTTACAGTATATCCTGTGAAGCGCTTTGGGACATTTCAACATGATAAGGCACTATATCAAATGCAAGGATTATTGTTATAAAATTCTTTCATCCCGTTCTAGTTGGGAAGACATTTTTTAACAATTATTGAACGAACCAATTAGAACTGAATTTTAATTTTTCCACAATTTTAAGGTAAGACGGTGTCACAAGCAATGTAAGAGATTCTGATGGAGATAACCAATACGGTGTGTAATAATCCAAAGTTTATCAAGGAATACAAATAGCTTAACTTATTCTTAAAACTGAGACCACAGGTACAGTAGAATCAATATTGATTCCACTGCGAAGTGCGCTGGCCCTATGCACAACTCCCACTATTCCAAAGTTACCTCTTTCTTTTATGTGTTTAAAAGAAACTCCACCTCCCCTTGTCACAGAGGTAGTCCCCACCCATCGCAGGCTGCTCGCGATCTTGAGCAGGGCTCTTTTTGCATGGGAAAATAACTGATAAGGAGAAAAAGAGATGGACAGCTTTATGGGAGGATTCTGCCATCTCCCTGTTTCTTAGCCTTGACATAAGCAGATGTCCACGAGTGCACTTTTCCCTCTGCGCTCAAGGACATAATTACTTAATTCTTAGATGGGAGGATGACACCTACCCAAACACTGGACGAGGGAAACTTATCAAAACCTGATCTCAGCCGGGGTCAAGCCAATATAATAATAATAATCCTTGCATTTGATATAGCGCTTTTCACGTCGGGAGGACGTCCCAAAGCGCTTCACAGAACACACTGTAAAGTGAATTGACTGTATATTTGTGGGCGAACGCGGCAGCCAATTGCGCACAGCAATGTCCCACAAACAGTCGTGGATTGAAAATGACCAATTTTTATTATTGTTTTTGGTTTTTGGAGGGATTATTATTAGGCTCTGTGTGGAGTAAGGAAACTTGCCCTTTGCTAAGATAATTGGCACATGTACCCTCTCAGGGGCCCTAAGTTAGTCATTTAAAACACACAACCTTGTCCATGCCCTAATAACGAAGGAATGCTACAATAAAAAGATTACAAGCTTTTGACTACATTTTAAAAGTATATAAAGACTAATTAAAAAACCTTTAAAACAGTAAGCATCACAAATATAATCGTACAGCAACAACAACTGACATTTATATAGCGTCTCGGAATTCAACACCGAGCCAGGTTGTGGGAAGAGGTGACCGTAAATGCATTTGAAGGGGAAGCTCTTCGGTCTTGAGTTCTCTGCTCCAAGGAGAATAATCCCGGTTTCTCTCGCCTCTCCTGATAACTGAAGTCCCTAATTTCTGGTACCATCCTGGTCAATCTCGTTTGCATGGGGAGGGGCTGTGAAAGGGGAAGTCAGGATCAATGTCCCCCCAGAATGTGCAGTGAGAGTCACTTACTGTCAGGTGGCAGCATTGCCTTGTACACAGAGCCAGGCAGCTACTCACACAGATAGCAGCACCAGTAGAGGCAGTGCTCTCAGTTCAAATAGTTAAATGATGTTGTATTGTTTTGATCAGAGAAAGGCTGCACCAGGGTGTGTGTGTGTGGGGGGGGGGGGCTGTGCCAGGCTGTGTGGGGTGCCAGGTGTGTGTGTGTGCCAGGCTGTGTGTGTGTGTGTGTGTGGGGGGGGGCTGTGCCAGGCTGTGTGTGTGGGGGGGGGGCTGTACCAGGCTGTGTGTGTGTGTGTGTGTTTGGGGGGCGGGGAGCTGTGCCAGGCTGTGTGTGTGTGTGCCAGGCTGTGTGTGTGGTGTGCCAGGCTGTGTGTGTGTGTGGGGGGGGGGGGCTGTGCCAGGCTGTGTGTGTGTGGGGGGGGGGGCTGTGCCAGGCTGTGTGTGTGTGTGTGTGGGGCGGGGGGGGCTGTGCCAGGCTATGTCTGTGTGGTGGGGGGAGAGGGGGTTTGTGCCAGGCTGTGTGTATGTGGGGAGGGGGTTTGTGCCAGGCTGTGTGTATGTGGGGAGGGGGGTTGTGCCAGGCTGTGTGTATGTGGGGAGGGGGGGTGTGCCAGGCTGTGTGTAT